GTGTGTTCAAATTATGAACAACGACATGACATATCATCAACGACCTAGAAATATGCCCCAACAAGATTCACTTGAAGCTGACAAACGGGGTGACGACGGATTTTGTCATAGCAAAATGTGCCGGTAAAAGTTTTCCGTTTACGTGAACAGAATACTCTTTTTTTCGGTGAAACCGGCAATGAAACCAGATTATCAAATTCGATAGCAGTTACTTCAATTAGTTTGCCGCATTGTTTCTTTCGGGCTGCTTTTTTCGTCTCTCTTATTGTTGGTGCGGCTGCTTTTGCCGTTTGTATAGGCAAAATTTGTAATCAAATTTGATTTTATTACTTACTCTTCGTACGTTCCGTGAATAATAATAATAGTAATATGTCTGTTTGATTTGCGAAATTACTTTCGTGCGTTCGATTTGAAGGGAAATCGGAATTGCGTTCCGTCATTGTGAATTGCAAGCAAAAGCAGAAAACGAGAGGCCAAGTTTGAAACCCAACTGAAGCGAGGAGAAAGAGAGACGGTAGTTGTGGTTTTTTCGACCATAATTTTATGGCGGCCAATTAAAAAAAAACATTTCAGTTCAATTGCAAGGAGTCTCGAACGGAACATGATGCACAAGAAAATTGCATACGTTCCATTTCCCCCTTCACATTTCCGCATTTCTTCCCAGAACCAAGCATGACTTTACTTCGATTGCGACTAATTTGACTGCTCTCTGTTCACTGCATTTTGATGAGAAACGATTTTTTTTTTAACAATAACAATCAATAAGCAAATGCAGTTTGTTATTGTCGCACTGTTGCTACTGCAATGACAATGATAATGATGTAATTTTGATGGGCCAACGTACGTCAATGAGAATGTACACAGAAAACGAGAAAGTTTCGTTTTATTTCTCTTGTTCAAGTGCTACTTACTAGAGACGTTTGTTTTGACGCTGCTTCTTTCTCTCTCTTTTTCCACACAATCGCTGAATAATGCACAATTCCTAATGTGGTTTCGATTGTTCAACTCTTGCGCCTGCTTGTTTTTTTTTCTTCTTTGAACGGTTGTCAAGCAACGAACCCATGTTCATCAATTACATTGTATTATTTCATTTGATTTGTCTTTATTTCGATGATTCTATTCGTTAGCGCCTCTGTGGCAAGTTGCCATTGGCAACTCACATCTTAAGTACCAAACTGTTCAACCCGATGATGATGTGTCCAAAGAGATGTACCAATTGAGAGAGAGAGAGAGAGAGATAGAGAGTGTCAATGTGAATTACATCAACAATGTGAATAATGTGTGCGTAATTAAATGTGAGGCTATTTTCAAAACTAAAATTCGCCGGTTACGGAAACTAAATCCGTGCTTAAGATATTACAACACTTACGTGCACAACCATTTTTCCATTTTGTTCGATGGCAAAGAGAGAAGAGGTAGAAAAAACAAGCAGCAGCCCACTAAATAATGCGTTGATTGCATTACGTTGCTGCTGCTGCTGCTGCTGCTGCTTGAAAATGCCGATTCGATGAACGATATTATATAATTTTGGATGTTTTTTTTCTTTTTCGCTATATATTTTTTTCGATTTCATTATGCAGACACCAAGGTATAATCACGCTTACGCTTTATTGGACATTAACGAAAGCATTAAAAAGCGACACGAAAATAATAGCGCAGATCTTGATGTTGTTTTTACATGTATCTAGTGGAGACCAAAAGACAGCGCCGAATGTGTGATGTGACTATCAATGGTAACGGGCCACAGCGTGTCTGCAACCGTACGGCAATCAATTTTTCCCGAACTTACATTAATTTTATTTCGACACATTTGCTCGCGCGCGTTCGCTCTGACACACACACACACACACACATACACGCGCGCGCGCACAGAATTTTAAGCCTATGTCTGGTGAACGATTTCACTTTTCGGCCGGCCATATTATGATGCGATCGATTGCGCTGTTCCGTGACGTAGCCCGTTCCGATTTAATTTTTGTTTCTCGTATGCACACCACAACTATTGAATTTAAATGCCCACAAATATTACGACATAATTGAAATTTCAATCGAAGTTGGTCAGAACACCGCATCAAATATTCTCCATTTTTATTGGAATAGAGTGTTCACGTAGATAAAGGTAAAAGGTAATTAACTATATGGAAACGATTTCATCTCGGGCACATATAGCGTGTTGTTGTATCGTGTTGTTTTGTCGCAACAGTGAAACGATATATCGATCTGATGGGAACTGTTATGGTGTATTGCGATGCAACGGTGCAATGTACTTTGAATACATTTTTTCTTCTTCTATGCATATGTTGAAATGAGAAATCCAGTTAGATCGGGCTTGGGCAATATACAGAGCGAATTGCTTCAATCGATTTTATCAATGGTACGATTTCGGTGTTTTTTTTTTCACTTCCAATGTGTCGATTTTCTTTTCTCGCTCCATCGATAGAAAATGTCATTGATCGTGTATGAATCATGAAAAATTGTTTATCAATTCAAAGCGATAAGTTTGTAGTGCGACTTATTTGCACGCGGTAAATACTCATCATCGATAGCTGAGGCGATTCATCGTGCCACTATCACACAATTCATGGGCATATTTACCTTTTTGCACAAAGGCAAACAAAGTAGAATTTTATTATATTTTAAGCTTTGATCATGCACAATTTTTCATGGTTTTTTTTTGTCTTTCTTCTTTAATTGAATAGAATAAAAAAGCCAATCGTAAACATTTGATCAATCAATCAGCCATTAAAGTTGCAAATAGGCTCTGTTTTTCTCGTTGCTCTCCGTTGAATTGACGATGTAAACACACTTGACCCAGTCTATAAATGGCGCCTGCAATCGCTATGTCGTTATGATTCAAGAGTTCAAAAATAGCATTCTAAATCTAGAAAGTTCACTATACAATTTTATTCGATGGTTTACGACATTTACACACAAAAACAATACGGTTTATGTGTAATGAGTAACTGCAGAAAAAAAAATCTCTTAAATTTAATGTGTTCATTGTGAATTCATTGACTCCGTTCGGCTACGTGATACCCGAAAACCTAGTAATAAACATTTAAAAAAAGTAATGCGCTGACCGAAATCATTTAAAAGCCGAAAAAAAGAGCGACAACAATCAAGTTTACGAAACGTCACATGGCGAATGTTTGCATTTGAGATCGTTCAACAAAGCAGTTCATTCACAAGTGCTCAATTTGTGGTTTATAAGCATTGGTGATCCAAGGTCAAAAATTTATCACAATGTTTTTTTTTTCTTCGTTTTGGCATTATGTGAACGTTTGTGACTTTGTCTGTCTGTGTGTATGTGTGCTCGAGTGAATGCGTGCTGTTTTCATGATTCATATGTAATAGCAAACCGCTGGACCGATTAATCTCACTAAATATTTGAATTTCAAATTCGAAAAAATTGGGAAATTCCGTTGCATTCAGTCAGCATTCATTTTTATATTTTTTTTTTTATTCGGCGATCTCTGTTGACCCAAATTTGTGTGTTTTTTGTGTGTCGCATGGAGAATGGATGCATTTTAATGTTGAGTTCATCCATAAAATAAAAAATCAAATTGGATAATATAGATATAGATTGGGTCATGAAGAGAAATGGACAATGTCAATTCACAGTGTTCATGATTTTGCGGCGTTTTTGGTTTTACCCGTGTGGTGGTAATTATGTAAGCTAATGAATTTTGCGATTCATTTCCGTTGATCCATACAAAGTGCAGGCCTTCCATTTACAATGCATTCAAGTGTGTGTGTGTGTGTGTGTGTGTGTGTGTGTGTGTGTGCATGTGCATACGAAACCGAAATAGCTGTAAAGTAATTGGCAATAACATATCGGATGTGCTAAAATTATCAATGCGAAAATGTGAAAAGAAGCAAAATGCTTTACACGGATTTGGATTGTTTGCATAAAATTTAATAAATTTAGCACATACATCAATCGCAACCATCACACGAAAGAGCCAACACAAGCACATGTAAGCAAGCACACTCATAACGAATGGAAGCTATTACAATCAATCGATCGTTTGATCGACGGATGTGCACACACTCATGCATGCTATACGTAACATATTTTTCTTTTTTAAATATTTATATCAGTATGTTTCGATATTACGTGTGCTTTTTGAAAAAAATACGTCCATTTTGAGCTTGCATTGCCACCGCGCCAAGCAGACCAACAAGAAATATGGATAATTGAATGATTGAATCGTTGGAATAGCAGCAACTTCAAGACTAAATTGCAATGCATTCACTCTTCGTTGCGTGGATAGATCGAGGGGTAAATCACTTAAAAATAATAGAGAAGTAATTTTTCCCGAAAACAGTAATTTAGGTACAAAAAGTAATTGAGGTAGATGTCATTGAGACATCTTGGACATAGTTTGGTTATGTCTGTTCGCCATAAACCACATACCCGAAGTATTCTTGGATAAATAAATAATGATATAAAATGAAAATGGAAAAATATAGTTTAGTGTGGGCTCGATTGCGTTTTTTTCCAAATGCGGCATCTTCTGGTATTTCAAAACCAATGTTTGACAACGTCAAACTTTGACATAAACGTCTAATTACTTTCGTAATTTACTGAAGTAATAGCGTGCCAAAAAGTAATAGAAAAAGTAATTGGAAAGTAATTCAAAGAGTGATTTCCCCCTCGAAATAGATAGCATTTATGTGTGCGAATGAAATCGAAATGCGTATGATCGAAAAAAAGCAAAGAGTTTTTAATTGATTGAAATGAAATAATTGGCGTTGAACAGTTGGCTTTAAAATGGTGCGAGGTTTAACTAAACGATCGTTACATCAGATTCACTTATGCGAAATTTCCGATACGTACACCGTTTATCGTCACACTTGAGCAACGTGTGTCTCCGATGGCAATTTTCCATTTCACATTCTATAAATTAATCATTTGAAAGTCTTTTCTATTCGTTTTTTTTTCTCTCTCATTTAATTGCCCGTTTATATTAATTGCTTCTTCTATTTGGTATTTACAGTGTTGCAAACCGAACCAGTAATTTCCGATTTGAAAACCCCAACCAACACCGAATACGATCCATACGTTTGTTCGCTGAATTCACATTTCAAGCAAATTGCCAAAGAGGAATTGCGCGAAGATGAGAATATACGAACACAAGCTTTGGCACAATTTCGTGAATGGATTGCCAAGCACCCGCACATCAAGAGATGCCGAACGGATGCTGTTTTTCTGTTGCGCTTTTTGCGCGTAAAAAAATTCTCACTGCAACCGGCCTGCGAAATGTTGGAAAAATACTTGACCATTCGCCAATTGTATCCGCAATGGTTCCGAAATTTGGACCTCGAAGACAAAGCATTGGAAGAGATCATCGATATGGGCTATGTGGTACCGTTGCCGGAACGTGATGAACAGGGACGTCAATTGATTTTAACCTGTGCCGGACGTTTCGATCCATATCGTTTTACATCGGCTCAAATGGCACGCGCTCACTCACTCGTCACCGAAGCTCTGTTAGACGACGAAGAATCACAAGTGGCTGGCTACTCGCACATCAACGACGAAGAAGGCTTAAGCATGGGCTTGCTCAGTTTATGGTCATTGACTGATATCCGCGCTATGTTAAAATGCATTCAGGTAAATTTCATTCAAGCACATCATTCGATCGGTAAGGATTGGTGATGATGATTGGTAACCGGTTTTTGTCCCGTTTTCAGAATTCAACCCCAATGCGTTTGAAAGAGTCATACTTTCTCAATTTGCCAGCATACGCTAACAAAGTGATGGAATTTGCAATGGGTGTGCTCAATGAAAAGTTGAAAAAACGTGTCATCGTAAGTATCATAGAATTTAAACTCAGCCAAATACTTATGTGACGATCCATCTCAATTGAATGCTTCCCCCTTTCTCTTCCGGAACAAACAGTTCAGCAAAAATCTCGAGGAATTGAAAACGAAAGTAAATCCAGCATTGTTGCCAAAAGAATACGGTGGCACCATTCCACTCAATGACATGATTGACGCATTCAAAGCACGCGTTCGGAAAAACCGTGAAGCACTCCTTGCTTTGGATGACATGTACATTGAAATCACCAAGGAATCCACCAATTTCGCTGGCAACGATGATGCAGACATCGATGCGGGTATGGTCGGTAGTTTTAGAAAATTAGAGGTAGATTAGAAACAGTAAACAACTGATTACAAATAACAAAAGAACACACAATCAAACGGCAAATTCTCTTTATGCCCTGGTTGCTTGGGATATTTTATCTTGAACACACATTCACACATTTCAAATTGACATTGTAGATCTCCCTCTCTTGATTTTCGTACTTCACTTCTTCCAACTAACAATTTGTTTGTATTTTTCTTTCGTTTTTGAGCTTTATCACTTTTGGATTTTACTATTTTCTCTTTCGGTTACGATTCGATATTCAATAATCAATAAGAAGTAGTTTTTGGTTGTAATTTGAAGCACATGAAGCCACAGCACAAGCAATATCCATCCAAAAATTTTCAATTAATCTGAATTGTTGGCATGTAAAATATCTAATAACTGCATCGCCTTTTGCACTTGGATGATAGACGTGGAATGGCATCAAGGATGCTTCTCGTTTCATCATTTGCTGTAGAATGAATTTTATGAATTGCTTTCAACATATAATCTCGTTTGATAATTGCATTTGGATTGGCCGAAAATTCTTGAATATGTAAACAATAATTTAATTCCGATTATTTAAGCCCCGCTTATTTTCTTATCCCGACTTCCAAACTAACATTTCCAAACAAAAACAACATTTACGACAACTAACATTCAATGCAATGGTATATTTGCCTTCCATTCTTCTTTATCTATTTGTAGTAGTTTAACGACAATGTTTTTTTTTCGTCTTTTATAAGTAGCCAGTAAGCACAATTTTAATTTGTATTTGATAAACAAAATGTAACGATAATTTGTTTTTGCATTAGAATTTTTTTTATTGCACATTCATTAAGGCAACTAAAAAATGAGCACAGAAAAAAATGAATATGTTTTAATAATTTAATATTAAAAATAGTTGCACAAAATTTGCAAATAATTATGTAAACACAAAACGAAATTCCAATTCTATTGCTAAATATAAATGTGAGCCCGTCGGTGGATAAAGTTACCATATCTGTGATCCTTTTCAAAAGGGATTTTTTTTTAAACATTAACAAGTAATGCAATTTCTTTTTAACGTTTTAGGGAATCTAATATTCGTTTCATTCATGCTTTTAAGTTTTAAGACAACTTTTTCGTTCTGTTTTGGGAAAATTTACAAGAATAAGAAAACACATTACAACTTTTGTGCTTGTTTGTGTTTCAAAGTTTGTTAGTTTTTTTCAAAGCCACCAATAGGTTTGGTAAATTCAAAAAGTTTACTTTTTTCTGTGACTAAAAAAATGAAATTAAAAAATAAAATAGAAACATGTATTTCGCATTTCTGGCTTAAAATAAAATTTATCAATTTTTGCCGTCCGATTTCTGTGTTTTATTCATTACTCTGCCTCTTGGAAGAAAAGACAGTTTGTATGAAAAAATTGAAAGTAGTATTGCATATAAAAAATGCAACACGTCACGAATGGCGCATTTGTGCTAGCATTTGTGTCTTTTCCAAAAGTAAGTAAATACGCACTGAAGACGAGAAGTGTGCATTTAAATCGTATTTGATTATCGTAAAAAAAAACAAGTAACCCCAATTCGATTCGAACATGTTTTTCTCTAGCAGGCTTTTGTTATGCGCTAAATCCATTACGCTGAATAAATTCATGCGATAGATTTATGCGATAAATGTGATGCGCTCGCTTTGCGGTGAACGAGTTCTGTTGCTCTTCATTACCGCTTAGCGATGCGTTCACTGCAAAGCATGAACGTTCATGCGTGAACAACTGAAGAGCAACAGACTTCGTTCCCCGCAAAGCGAACGCATCACATTTATCGCATAAATCTATCGCATGAATTTATTCAGCGTGATGGATTTAGCGCATAACAAAGCCTGTTCTCTAGTGTGCTAAAAGTTGTCAAATAACTATAGGATACTCTTAACTTTGCGATGAATCAAAAAAAAACTGTCCAATTTAAATATTCATCAATAACTGGTTTGTCAACATTTCGGTATTTTGTTCATACTTTGTGGACCTCAAAAACATGAATTTCTTCAAAAAAAAAAATCAAAATAAGTTGTCAGTCAATTGCGCCGAAATCGTAAGAAATATTCAAGAAATTACGTTTGTGATTTTGGCTCTGTGAATGTCACGTTGTTTCTGAAATTTAATTCAAAAAAACAGTTTTTTTTTCGTTCTGCTGAAATAGCACGAAAAATCTGTCTTTGTTCAATCCAAAGCACACCAGCCCATCTTATCACACATGACAAGCTTAAGTCGGAATAGATGAAAATGTGGTTTTTGATGATGTCATTACGATGCATACTATTTCGACAATCAATTGTAATTTTTCTTATATTGACATCGATTTTGAGTGAGTTGAGAAGAAATAAAAAAAGAAAATAAATCCAGAAATTTCGAACACTTTTTCAAAGCTTATTTTAAAAACCAAATTTGTGTATCATTAATAACAACGTATTTTTTCTTTGCTTTAAAACGGTGTGTTCCTGGAACCGCTAAATGTGTGATGATACGTACGCTAGAGGCGCTGCAATCAGTTTGACTGTCTCGTAGAAGTGTATGGGATCGAATTGAAGTTGTGACAGTTTGACAGTTGGCTCTCACGCATTAATCCGTCCCAAATCACGTAAATACAATTCAGTATATAAATGCGCTGTCGTTTACAGTGTTTTTGTATTCTTAACAAATCGCCGTCGTGTATTCATAAGACAACAAGACGGGAAAGAAAGTGAGTTTTTTTTTGGAGGACAAAAACAAAAACAACTACGATTATTGTGGATGCGATATATAAAGTTGTTTTTGTTGTGTTGATTTGTGTATCGTTAAAATCGTGATAATTACCTGGAATCGGACGTGAGAGCACAAAAATTGATTAAGTGCATCGTTTTCGAGTCGAAAACATAGACACAGACAACACACACAATGCCGTTGAAAAAGAAAAAATATAATGCTCGCTTTCCGGCTGTAAGTGACACGAAAATCCATTTTATTTTATCATGCAAAAAAAAAATTCTATACGATAACATCGAGTTGGTGTAATGTTTAGTTGGCTTAATGTTCCATAAATCAATTAAATTGCTGGTCAGTGGTGTAGTTCATAAAACAGTAAAATAAAAACACACCACAGTCCATTCGATTGGTCAATTTTCAGTACGCATAAAATATGCATAGTAACACGTAGGTTGTAGTTAGGTGATAAACAAATGTATTGATTGAATGTTGTTTATTTGTTTGGTCGGTCGGTTGAGTTGCTTGAGTCGTGCAGCACTTGAGCGCTAAGTCGAAATGAATTTGTTTGATGTGAATTTAATTGCCGATTGTCATACTTAAATTCTCGTATTTATTTCACAGGGCCGAATCAAAAAGATCATGCAGAGTGACGAGGAAGTGGGAAAAGTAGCGCAAGCCGTACCAATCATAATCTATATCCTTTTTCAAAAAATTAACAGAAAAACAACAACAACAACATTGCAAGTCATATCTATAAATGTACCATAACACAAGCGATGCGTCTGTACGTTGCGCGATGTCATCACAAACGAACAAAAAAAATGAACAATCAAAATGATTCTGTAGAATTTTCGTGTGGAAGTGGCTAGTACTATAGATTTGAGGTTAGGTCACACGCTCTTTTATATTGCAGTTAAATAGTGGTAGTCTATGCGTACACACAATTATTAGGTCATATCAGTACATTGTTTTTTTTTTCAAATTCGAATGACATTACCATTTCGATGGTTTTGTTGGAATTTATCGCCGCGAATTGAAATGGAATTTGTATATGTAGCTCCAATGATTGTTTATTTGTTTACTAGCCACTACCAACAATGCCAACGAATGAAATATTTCAATTGTTTATAAACGTCACACATGCGTTTATTCAATTGAAATGCTTCAATGGATCTCGTTTTCTTTCATTTCATATCTCTAAATCTGTTTCTCTTCCCAATCAAAATTTACAAACTGAAATTCTTCCTTAACCGAATAAATACCTCGAACTCTAGAGCTGTTCGTCGAATCAATGTTGACCAAAACACTGCGAATCACAAACGCACGGAATGCAAAAACATTGTCACCGTCGCACATGAAGCAATGCATTATGTCGGAGAGTCGTTTCGATTTTCTGCGTGAATTGGTGAAAAATATCCCGGACATTAATGTGGCTGAGGAGCAACAATGCGATAATTACCCGGAACGACGCGAATCAAGCGAAGATGGAATGTTATCGATTGACACACCGATCAATGGTATCGTGAGCAATCCGAATGGATCGATGCGTGAATCGAATGCGGTGGCGGCGACCAGCAGTAGCAGCACTTCACATTGGAAATATACCAAACAGCATTCAATGGATTCCATTGCAACGAAACACCAAAATAACTACTCAATTACAAGCAACAACGATAATAACTCACCGATAAATTATTCAATTAAAATTAAAGTGGACGATAAACCGACGCCGGCCAAACTACTGCGAATGGAATCAACACCAGCCTCATTTGGTTCGAATAATAATTTAGCATTATCGCCGATCGTCACACCAAAATACTTGCCAATCACAACCACAACCAAATTGTCCGATAAGAATGATAGTAAGCAACAGCCCATTCTACATTTTGATTTTACGAAAATTCCATTATTGCCATCATCAGCTGCAAGCACATCGCAAACGGCCACCTCATCAAATCATAGTCATTCTGTAAGCAATATACTGAAACTAAACGAAAAGTCATCGCCGTCAATTGCGGACGCGACCAAAAATGAGGTAAAACCACTGTCACACAGATGCATACAATTGTGAAACTGGATTTTAATGATTTTATTCGCATTTTTAGCTTCAATCTCAGCTAGGAAAGTCGACACTGCGCTCAACCAGCAAGTCACTTCTGGCCAAACAAATGTCACATCCATCTGCTTCGTCCACCGTAACATCAAATTCATCAGCACCACAAAACAGTACCGCTTCCAGCACCCAATCCAGTTCGCAATCATCCATCACATTTTACCACGCACCATCGTTGTCGACAGTTGGCTCATCATCATCCACACTTGAAATGGACGAGGACTACGACAACATTTAAGTGATCGAATTAATACTAGCAAAGCAAAACGAATTTTTGAATAACGTGACTTTGTTCGGACACGAGCTAGAGCTGTGTCTTCGACTCTTTTTTTTTCAAAATGGATTGTTTTCTCTTCTTTTGTTGTTTCATTCGAATCATAAAAATATCTATTTTTGTACAAGTTTAGTTCAGTTCGAAAATGAAACGAAAAGAAACGGAGAGTGATTGAGATATGAAGCAATTTGTAGGAATTGTGTAAGTTAAGTATAGTTAATTTAACTAAATAATATTTTTCATTCGAACATTTAGGTATTCACTCACTAAATTCATGTTCATATAAAGAAGAGGAAATGACTCCATGATCAATCATTGAAAAGAGAGAAAAATTAGTTCCAATATTATTTGCGTAAGGAATTGTTGTTAAGCTTTTTATTTATCTTTTCAAATAAACAGAAAGAAAACCATCATTTTACAAAGAAAAAAAAAATGAATCGAGCGTGAGAAGTGCACAAAAAGCGAATATTCTCTCATTTTCCCACTCCATTTTGTGGACGTTATAGTCGTGGAAACGAAACGAATTTTAATTCACACAATGAAATGAAATCATACGTATCATATTTGGTTAAACAACAAGTTGGAAAATATAAATACATTGATGAAATTACAGAAAGCGACAAATAAATGTATCTGTTTGTTTAATTTATAACAATTTCTTGATACATTCTTTAATCAGGTGGCCCCATCTATTTAAAACATAAGCATACACACAGCCAATGTTGACCACGAGTCAGTGTAGTGTGTTGGGACAAAACTTCTGACAGTTACTGCGCGTTTGTCCCATGCGTTATGGATGATTTCGCAATCGACATACAGAATTGAGGTAAACAACAGAGGAAAATTTGTTATCCACACGAAAATTATCTCGAATCACGATTCAATACGTCATCGATAGACATTATTATTATCACACCGTATTAACGGTGGAAGAGGCGTACGTGTTCCATTCAGAACAATTGTAAATAAACCGTCAGTTTGTAATCAAATTTACGACAGTAGTAAGCCCACTGCAAGCATAAAAGTGCGGCACTTATTTCAGCTACGGCACAGTATTTATCAGCAGCTACTTCGTGAAACCGCATCGGAAAGCAGAGCAAATTTTGTTTTTTTTTTCTAACTTTGAAATACTATTTATTATTAAAGTCATTCCACTCAAGAAAAACACCATGGTCCATCAATTTAATAGCCGAGATGACACGATCAGAGTGGTGAGTATCATACAGTGTATAGTTTATCTCGCGAATTCTAATCATAAAATGTGACAGCAAATTTCAATTATAAATTGTGTATTTATCGACATTGAAATTGATTTTCAGCCAAAACATCTGCAAGGCTCGCAGGACGTCCGTGTCATTTTGGCCGAATTCATCCTGAACTTTGATTTTCCACGTGATTTTTATTCCATTTTGATTACCGGCCTCCTCATCTATCTAACATTGAAATTGTTCCGGTTCTCCATTCATTTGCTCATTTCGCTGATTCGGCCCATCATTTTTGTTGCCTTGACTTTGGTGAGTAAATGGTCTTTATTCAGTGGAAAATCAATTTTAGAGCGGTGTTTTACTCGTTTCAAGTGTAGTGATCGGTTTTAAGTGACAATAATTTCAATAATGTCTTTGATTTCATTCAACTTTCACAGATCGCATTGCCATATCTTTACGAGATGAAAAGCGGTGTGGCTTCAAATCGCGTGGTATCCAATGTGTCTGCAGCCACAGAAGGTGTATTCCAGAGCATCTATGAAACATTAAATTCCATCTACATGCACACAATCCAATTCTATGCGAAGAACTTTTAATTTAATATCAAATTCCAGTATTAGTTAAAATGTCTCAAAATTTCTACCGCCATAAGTCATTGTCATAAGTGAAATCATCATCAAGATGATCATTGTAAACAAAATGTGTCGATAGTATCCAAATCTTGTCAAAAGTTACCAAATAAATGTTTTCATAAAAAAGATATTTTCATTTGATAATTATTCAAATTATGGAATTTTACATTTTTGTCAAATGGCAAAACTGAGAAGATACGACGATACAATAGTATAATATACGGTCAAAATTGAGCCATTTGTACGAAAAACATGCGAAACACAGATACGATTTTTCCTGAATCCAAATTTAAATACTCAACGGTCAATTCGTTGTATGCTAAAGAACATCAGGTATGTTATAGCGAAGAATCGTGCTTTTTGACAGATGTACTAAATTGAATATTTTCTTTGTCGCCATCTGGTTGGTGATACTAATATCTTCTCGCACGGTTCTGATGAAGATTTTATTTATTGTTTATACAATTTTATACAAAATCACTTTTTCATTCATAAACTCAATTTATTCATTTCATTCATTTTCATTATAATATTTGAGCTCATTTTTCCGGAGTTAACGAAATATTTGAAAATTTTCGTGTCGAGACGATACAACTGATCGTTGCACATTCGTATGTAATAAACGGCACGACAATTTTCAAATGGTATGATTTCGAAAGTGAATGTTATGTTACTTTTCCCAAATAAAAATTAAAAAAATAAAATATTGACTGTTTTTAAATGTTTGCTATGAATGTCATTTTCAGACTGTAAAGTTTTGACAGATACCATTGCTGACGTTAGAAGGGTGTGTTCAATGTCGGTAGGGTACGGTGGGGCAAATATCCGCACCAGACGTGTGCAAGGTCAAAAATTCTAGGGGGGGGGGGGGTAAAATGATTTTTCCCGGGGGGGGGGGTTGGGAAATCGATTTTATTAAGTTTAAAACCAGTTTCCGAAAAAAGTGAGGACTAAAAAAAAAAAAAAGGTCCTCACTTTTGAAAATCGATTCTATCTAGTGTAAAACAGTCAAAATTCCACTATGGGGGTCTACAATTTTGCCAATGGGTGTCCAAAAACAAGTGAAGACCTAATCGAAATAAGTTTGTTCTGGATATTTATAATATTTGTGGTTAAATAGAGCTACTAATGTCAAAGTTGGTAGTGGGGCAAATATCCGCACCTCATATATATAAGCGGCGCACCTCATGTATATGTCAATCGATGAGAAAAAGGTAGTGTCACTTCAGGCGTAATAACTTCACTTCTAGCGGTCCAAATTCCATGAAATTTTGACACAACATCAGCAAAGGATCGACAAATCTAACACTAAAACTTTTTCTGATGATAAGTTTATGAAAAACAATGAAAATGCGGCTGCGGATATTTGCCCCACCGGGTGCGGATATTTACCCCACCTGCGGATATTTACCCCACAAATCAGGGTAGTGCGCGGAGGGCAATATCGGACCCTAAAAGAAGTCATATCAAAAAATGCTCTTCTATAAAAGTTAGGTATTGACTCAAGCTACAATATGCAACCAAAATTTGCTAGGTTTTTTTCGATTTTCATTGCAATATTCGATTTAGAAAAAAAGTGCGGATATTTGCCCCACCGTGCCCTATTGAACAATGAAATGTACTAAACACGTGATTGTGAAATTATGAGTTGTGTGAAAAAATTCACTTTCTATCGAAAATGTGGGAATTAATGTCCACAAAGAGACGAAAGACTGATTTGCCATTTATTATTTTGTACTAGTGTTTTTTTTTTCAGATAATATTCGGCTTCTTTCAAAACAAAGTTGCAACACTTGAAATTGGTCGTGCCGTGTAAACTTGATGATGACAATTTTTTTCACTCTTATGTTCTAGGCATTTTGCATGCAAAATAACTCGACTGTCGAAATAACTGTGATTTTCTTTTCTAAATTGGGTCTATGAATGAAAAAGTGATTTTGTATAAAATTGTATGAACAATAAATAAAATCTTTATCAGAACCGTGCGAGAAGATATTAGTATCACCAACCAGATGGTGACACAGAAAACATTCAATTTAGTACATCTGTCTAAAAGCACGAAAATGCCCAAGGTTCTTTGCAATTTTTGCTGAATTTTAGGATAAAAAAATGTCGAAAAATAGGATCACACGAATGATATCAAGAAGCAAGTCAAGAAAGTGGAAAAACTCAAAGAAAGCCTGGAGAAGCAAATTTATCGACATACTGAGCTATGATTAGGCACAACTAGATATATCATCCTAGACAACTGCAATATTTTTCTTGTTGTAATTGAATCTTTGAATAAACATATTGTAAATGAAATTGTAGATAATCATTTTTTAATTATATCTGCGCAATTTTCAGGGTAAGCAAATACAGTTGCTTTGGATTGGATACAAAAGATTATAGAATTATATTGCATGAGTCTTGAGCACAAAACAGCGTATATAGACTTTAAGCATGAGCAAAAGAAAACCGAAACCATGGCCCACTCTGTAAATATTATTATCAATAAATTGAGTAGGAGATGAAGGGAGGAAAACAAACAACGGCCAACAAATTTGTTTTCTGTAACATCTTCATTTACCCGAAGTCATTTTGGTAAATCTTCCAAGATTTGAATATCCATCTTATTAAATTGGTATTAAACGAATAAGTGTCTCGAAATTTATTTTTAAATCTCTATGTTTGTTCTATCAAAGCATAGATTGAGCTCGATATGATTTCACACCCATTGGGTTAAATTGCCTAACAGATGTGATGAAAATTAAATTTCAAAATTTCTACCGCTGTAAGCTGTTGTTCAATATCAATAAGACAATCATTATAAACATGAAAATGTATTCATAATTTTTATTCTATTATTGAGCAGAAATTTGAAATAAGCGCTTTCACATCAAATCAACAAAATGATCGACAGGTGTCGCACCTTCTTATCCCAGTTTAAAAAATGATACTTTTGAAATTGAAACCATTTAAAAACGGTTAAATTTCGAGGGAAAATAGATTGGATCTCGGTTAAGTCATAAAATGAAGCAATAAAATTTGACAATAGTGAATAGAATTCAATTGAAAATGGATCAATAGAACCATTGAAAAGCAACGAACGAACGAGCAACTGATCGAAATATGCGTGTGTGTGCATGTTTCGTACAAGTCTTGGAATTGTTTGCATTGTTCCATGTGTGCAGGCAGGTACTTGCTTCCATACCGGCTGTCATATGCTTGTGAATGCAAAAATAATCGAACGAAAGTATGATGGTATAGATTTTGCGCACACACACACACACACACACACACACACACACAGCAATAAAGAAGTATATTTCCTTTGCTCTCTTTACATTCATATTCTATGTCTATTCCTCATTCAAACGAATTCGTCTTCGTTTGCCGTTCCATAGAAGTTCATTCATTGGCGATCACACGGCAAACAGCACACAGCAGGTGGTCGACAAGTGTATGTGTGTATCATCGCACTTTGTTTTCAACAATTCAACTCACAGTGTTTGGAGCCGAAATCGATGAATAGACCTGAGCAACGCACACACATACACCCAGTGTGTGTGTGTGTGTGTGTATATGCCGCGCGCAGAAAGAAGAAGACGACGACGACGACGACGACAAAAGCACAGAAAAAAGCAGCAATACTGAACAACAAAAGCGACGAAAGAAGAAAAAGAAGAAGAAGGAATAAGCAAAACACAACAAACAAAGGCTAAATTCATTTCTGTATCGGCATACACTACGTGTACACCGTGTTTTGCTCCGTGTTCGTACGTATTGTTCGTAAAACGAAACACACAGTGCGAGCGAGCGAGCGAGAAAGAAGAAGCAAGCAGCTCCGATATAGGTAAAATAGCATTATATCTATATGATATTTTTTCTGTGCCTGTTACGCTTCAGTGCAACTGTGATCGTCGGACAACAATAATGTTTAAACAGAGTGCGAGCTGATTTGTTCGATATTATTTGTAACCGTTTCGAGCTCTGTGCTCTGTTGTCGGTGCCTGAACATATTTTTCGTTAACCAACCGTCTCACAGTGTGCGCGTGTTTTTAGTCGTGTTTTTTTTCTCTCTCTCTCTCTCTCCCAGTCTGTCTCACTGGATTAAGAGACAAATTCACAAGTTCTAAACACAGAAGAAAAAAAAACCGATGTGACCGACAAATTAGAAAAGAAAGAAACATCACATTTGGTTGTAATCATTCAAATTTTAAACTAATTAGCAAACGAAAAAGAATCGAATCGGTTTTCTTATCTCGATTGAAGCAAATATTGCTCGTGTTATTTGGCCACTTAAAATTTTGTTGTGATAAAAGTGCGCCGATACACAATGTGAAGTTAAACGGTCCAGCAAACTGTTGAACAAAGATAATTTCGTCGATTTTTTTTTCTCGTTGGAAATCGAACGTGAAGAACGAATTATAACTACGTCAAACGGAGAAGTAGCAGCAGCAGTAGCTAAAAAAGAACAACAACATCAAACCAAAAAAAAAAGGTGGCCACTCTCAGGATACCAACAAAGAATTATTTTTCGTGTGTGATAACCCGAAACACGGCGATAATCATATTCGTCTGAATCGATATATACATAGATGATTATTGTGTAGAGTGTTCTGGTTTAACAGACCTACAGCTCATTTTATTGTTCGTGTTCGCGTTCGCGGTCATAATTTTGCTTCTTTGTATTTTGAAATAGAATTCAAGAGCAGTGAAATTTTGGGCACAGTTCATTTTAATTTTCTATGCCTCGTCGTCATATCGTTTCGCTCTCATTTCGACAGTGTGTTTTCATCGGACGAAACGTCTAATTTCTGTGAAAGAAGAGAAACGAAAAAAATAATAATAAGAAACGAATTCGATTCGGATTTTACCATGCATTCTTTCTCTCTTGCCATCGAATCGCAATGTTCTAATTAACTAGTGACGAGAACAAAAAAAAAAGTAACAACAATCACAACAACAAAGTAAGATTGCCTTATATTTATTTCATTGAATACTTAAATATCGAACTTTGATTATGTTTTTTTTGCGCACACACCGACAAAAAAAAACAACCATACCACAAAAATCGTAACAAGAACAGTAAATCAATTATTGTTTTATTTATAAATTGTACGGTAGCCAATTTTCAAATCAACCCAAACGTATCAATACACACATTTTGATATAAAGAAAAGTACAATTTTATTTATTAGCGGTTATAATGTTTGCATGAGCCGATATATCGAGATTCTGCATTTCGGTTTGAATAGAAAAACCAAATACATTTATAATCGTAATCAAATTCGTTGAAAAAGAGAACAAGACAATGGGGCAAGATAAAACATGGCACATAGAGCAAAAAAAACTGCAAACGGAAAATGCAAAATAGCAAAACCAAACGTAATTAATTTATAAAATATGTATATGGAAATTATTTGATGTTATGAAAATTAATTTATTGCAAAAGGCAATATCATATCGTCAGTGCATACTAAATACACGCAGTGGCAAACTTTGCAACGGCATACCGGAGAAGACGAAGAAAAACCATGCAAAAACAAAGCACAATAACCAAGAAAGAAAAAACGGTGGTTGGAAAGAAAATACATTGGAAATAATTTGTTCAAAAACCAACGTAAAATGTTTGCCATTTACAATGCGAGCAATGCGAGTGCAGTTGACGCACGCGGTTTTGTTCAGTCGATTTAGGCTGAGATGATATGCAAGGCGTTAAAGCCCTGCAACACACTCAAATTCCGTACAAAAAAAAACATGCAAACCCTAAGTGGTCAAAAGGGGAAAAAACGTGATTAAATTACATTTTATGACCATAAAGTCTTAACACATTAGTCTAGTCCGGTCATGAACATAATTTACCACCACTGCCAACGCCGCCACCGCAACAACCAACCACCATCGACCATTGCATGACCAACACTCACTCACTCAATATCATCAGTTCATCGCATTCTTTTGAATCGTACTCATCGCCATCGATTTAAAGGCGAACATTTTTATAGAACAATTCTCGAAGCAACTGTTTACGGCTTAATCGCATTGAACTTTGACAACTTTGTTGCGTGTTTCTTTACATACCTTTAACCTATTTATAGCCACGCTGTTTGTGTGTATTAATTTATGGTTTGTGTTGGTTATAGATTTTCCACATTTTTCCCTTGGCGTTAATAAGGTGCTTACATAACAAATCCACCGAAAAAGAAACCCGTCGAATAAGAGCGAAAAATGTATGATTATAATCATCACCAAAAAAAAACGAATGTAAAGGAGAGTGAAGAAGAAAAATTCCACCCGTAAATATGATTGATGGTATTAGACGGGAACATACGGCATTACGATGGATTTAGTTTAGAAAGAGAGAAGAAAAAAAAAAAACAAGAAATTTCTACCTGCACCCGGGTGATTTGATCAGTAAAAATTGAATGATAAATAGAACCGAAAAATATCGAAAGAATAGTCTAACTTTTTGCCGTTGCCGCCGTTGTTCTTTTCCCTGGTTGTAGTTGTTGTTCTCATACTATCTTTCAATTCTTCCTTCTTTCAAGAGCAAGAATTTCGTGTGAATATTTTAGGACGAGCATTGCTCGAAGGCGGATTGCACCAAATGAAAAGCACCGAAAAATTGATGAAAAATGAACGAAGAGAAAAGACTAACCAACGACAACAACAACAACACGAAGCAAAGTTCATGAAATACCAAAATCATTTGTAATTGCAGTGCACGCTATTGCCACCATATATTGGGCAAAGATTAAACACACGTGAGAACGGAAAACACAACCGAATAGAATTATATCCACAGGAATTCAATGCACACACTAGTTGTATTTTGTTCACTCTTCATCATTCTTCATCATATTATTTATGCGTTTTTTTTTCTCTTCACTTTTTCTCTCATTCTCTCTTTATCTCTTCGGGTTTGTTTACGGTTGCATTGCTCTCAGAGCGTGTTATTAAAATATTTGTGTGTTATTAAAGCGACAAGGGTCTTCTTCTTCTTCTTGATATTGTCCTGCCATGCACATCTTCTGCCCCGCTCGTCCTCTCTCTCTCTGCTTTGCTCTGTCTCCCGTTTGCCTTCATGCAGTGGGTTTTTTCCAAAAAAAAAAACTATATTACGTGTACGCTCACAATAAACGCCAGTTCGAGACACAACCACAGCAGCAGAGCAAAAGATGAAAAAAGAATTCCCCCGTCCATGACAACGGTGTTTGAACCAACAATTCTTGACCGATGTCAAAATTGCATTTTTTTTTCGTCAACTACTGCAATGCAATTTGCAGCGCTTCACTGCAACTTTTGGTCGTGAGAGAGAGAGAATACCATCTCCATGTCATCGAAATTCGTTGCATATCAACGAAAAAGCCAACAGCATCAGCAAGAAGGAACATTGAAGAAGAAGAAGCAGCAGCAGAAGCAGCAACAACAACAAGAAAAAGCGTTGTATGTGAATACCTTGAAACGAGTTTTGTCTGCTGCATTTTAACGTTAACCAAATAAAGATGATTGCACATATCGTAAGACTCTCGGTTTTATTTAGCACACATTTATCTGAGGTACGTGTGCGCGCGCTCGCGCCCGCGATTCAACAATACGATTTCAATTTCACACATAATTTTTTTTCTCCGCCAACTGAAACAGCAATCAGTGGCTGGCACTGGAACGCTTTGCACAGTGTGTATTACTTGCCGTTGCAATAATGATGATTGTAATAATAAACAATGATAAAGAGAAGAAAAAAAAGAGCCTAAAAATAGTCAAGCAGCTCGTGAACACGCGTATACTTCTCTTCATTTCTTTCTTTCTCTCTCTATCTCTCTGTCGCTCGCTCATTCCGTTGCGATTTGAAACTGAATAATAAAAACCCACTTATTTGCAACAAGCATAAATATCCCGGGCACGATGCATTTGCACTTTCTGCGCCCTGAGCATAGAGTAAGATGTTGAATGTCTTGAACGCATACACAATGAACTTCTCTGTGCGCACGGTGCATGCGCTCTCGCGCGCCTTTACCCGCCATATGATTATAACAACCAGTGTATGTATCAGACCAATTAATTAACTAAAACGGATAAAGTCAACACATTGAATGGGTTCCAAATTAAAAAATGTGCAGAGAAAGAATTGAGTGCAATTGCAGAGTTGTAACTCTATGTCAACTCTTGTGTATTGCTCCACACATACATTTATGCACAAGCACACTAAATGCGCGCATTTTTCCCGTGCCTCTATTCTTATTTTGCCGCGTCTAACTGACTTGTTTCGCCGGCGGCACATTGCTACATTTCCGCGAGGTGAGAAAAAAAGGTCTACATACAACAACGTGCGCGCCGCTGCTAAACCAACCGCAAAACAGAAGAGAAAAAAACTACACACACACACCGCCCAAACAAAACCAAACAATAACAATATAGAAAAAAAAATCAATTTGTTCGGAATGAAATAGATTTTCCGAGACAATCAAAAGTAATTGCCTTATCTGGTGCACAAAACAATACAGAAGTCCGTGTATTTTCAGTTGTTGTTGTTGTTCGAACGAAATAGTGCAGTGACTGCAGAAAATAACGCCGTTTTCATTGATTACAATCTGAGGATTAAGACATAAAACATTGAAAGTTACGCTTTGATTTTACACTTGATTTGAATATGATCGCTACTGTACTGTTGGCTTTGATTTAACAAATTGAGGAAAATAAAGACCGATGGGGAGATAGGAAATGAAATGTGCTGAAGCCACCGCATTGTTCAATTTTTTGTTTGTTCGCGCAACGGTCTTTTCTCAACTACGCTCTCACACACATCGTAAAGAATACGACGCACAAAACTTTGAAAACAATAATGTTGGAAGACCCAAAAAATGTTTCGTTTTTGTTTTTTATGTTTTCTTTTATCTAATTTTGTTTTCTATCTTATTATTTTTATTTTTTTATTTTTATTTTTTATTGAGTATAAGATGTAAATAACAGGAAAAATCCCTTTTACAATTTATCACCTAAAATTAAACTCTAAAAATAAAAATATCTCATTAAACTGATCGAAATCCCATGTAATTCACTAAATGTATTTCTTCTCTGTTTCACATCTTGTTTACAGTGTCGAGTTTGGAGCCTGAGCAAATAATTAATGACAAACGATAAAGTTTTTTTTCGCATTGCTCGATGAGTCGTTGGAAAAAACTACAACCAATTTGATCGATAGAATTCTACTGTCAATAACGGCAACACGCAGTGTCGGGAAAAAAAGACAACAAGCCGAAAAGCAAATAGCAACAAAAACCCAACACAACACAACACAACACAACACACGAATCCACAATGAATAACCATAGTATGAACGACACGAGTAGCCGACAATCATCACAGTTATCGAATTCATCACATCATCGGCGGACAAACGGTGGAATGCATCACAGCAGCAATGGCAGCAGCAGTCATAAAAGCAGCAATTCGATAAATCCAAGCATTTGGACAACGAACACATCGAGGTCCAGTTCAAAGAGTAATTTTACATCCGGCTCGAATGATTTTCATTTCATTCAAGCGAGTGATATCAACACAACAAAGAGCAGTGATGTACAAAATGGTTCCACTGCCAAACTATTACCATACGGCGATGACCAGTCGAACAATCAGGTAAGGCTAAATCATATTTTCGTTGTTGTTTTTTTTGGTTTCTTCATATTTTGAAGAATCACGTCGATCACCCCAGTCGACGTACACACAATGTCAATGTGTCATTCATTTGGTATGTGTCTTGGCCGGTTGTAAGCCGTTTTTTTGTCTTTTCTTTTTGGTTGGTTTTTTTCTCTGTTTGTTTTTTTTCGGCGTTTCTGTGGTTTTGTTATCATTTCGATAGTTGGTAATGTTGTAGTTGTTGATACGGGTTCATGTAAATGAATTCCAAATAGCAAATAGGAGATAACAACAAGTTGACATAAAAAGTGGTCATGCTTCTCTGTCGGTGAACAAGTCGAATCTGTGTTGGCAACACAGGTGACATTTTTTTCGTTTCACTTTGCTTTTGCTACTTCTTTCTTTTGCTCTCTCTCTCTCTCTCTCTCTCTCTCTCTCTCTCTCTCTCTCTCTCTCTCTCTCCTGGTCTGTATGTGTAGCTGTTTCTATTCTTGCACACAAATTACGTCCAAATGTAATTCAGAAGAAAAATGGGGAAAAAAATAATAAACGTACAGCCACCATAACTGCGGAACGTGCGGAAATCGAATTACGGGACTCGTCCCGATAACACCAAAAACCGAAGAAAAAAAAACGTAAAAGAAGTGCATAGCAAATCACAATGTGAATATGTGCGTATTTGATTAGTGTTTTATGTAGTCAGTTTAATGGCAACGGCGATGTGACACAAAAGTCACCGAGAAACGTACAACGACGGAAACGAAGAGAGATAGAAAAAAAAGTAGCGGTTGGACGGTGCCATAAGGTTAATTGCGTGTCATTTTAAACGTTATATTCTGAGTGTGTTTCAGTATGAGGCACGTTTTTTAATTGAATTTACAGACAAGTTTCGAGGATCATAAAGAAATTCCTACTTTATTGCCACATGGAGGTACAATTTATTGAAGCCATCGTGTTTCACGTAAAACGAATCCGATTCAAGGCAGAAAAAAAAACATACACATTTAACTAACGAAGCTGCAATGATTAAATATAATCGTGATCTTACATTATGTCTTCAAATGGATGGAAAGAAGAGAAAAAAAACAACAACAAACAAACAAGTACACGGTAAATGCAATAAACGTGCAGTTTTTATCGATATTATTCTACGCGATTGAAATTAAGACATTAAGAATGGCGAAAAGCCCAACGTCTAACGGAATACTTTCCTCGAAATTTTACGATCCGCGAAAGCGGCCAATAGAATAATAAAAGAATCATTACGATCAATCATTTATCTTACAAATGATTTAATTGATTTTTCGGAGGCCGCGCTCGTTTTCGCTTTTCAAGCAATTTGTTTGCACTGTGTTTGCTCTCTCCTAATTTCCAACCGTAGTTTCTTTCCCTTCACACTGTGTGTTTCTATTTCATGTTTTTTTTTCTGTTTCTCCCGCCGTTCCGTTGAACGTCAAAATGTGCAGTCATAACACAGTCGGCTCGCCACCGACTTGAATAAAGATGAAAATATGATCGTGTTTAGCATGAGTGAAAACATCACATCGAACCGAAAAATTGCGCAAAAAAAAAAATCGATTTCGACTTTGAAAATGGAAAACTCCCCAACAAATTCCGATGGTGCTCATTCTTTCTCTCTCTTTTTTTTTCTTCGTTAATTATTCGAACGATTTTATTAATAATTTTTGTTTTGTTTTTTGTTTTAACTCTCGCGCATCAGTTTTGCTCGAATTGATGTGTCTCTTTACGGCGAGATGAACACCACAGCCATTGTACAAACAGACACCAACCACATAAGCGATTACGAATGTATTGCACACCAAATGCAACTACTAATGGCAACCACTCGATTGCATTTGAAAAATCGTGGAAAATTGCAATTGCGCACGTTCAAGTGTGTGCGCGGGTGCAAGCTCGCACATTGGCGCGCACGCTCACGCTCAAACAAACAAGTGAGCGCACGCTTTAAAACGCTGTACATTTTGTACCGTTTGCATTGGAGAATATGAAATATAGAGTGTTATGGCTCTCTACCTCCCTCCCTCCCTCTCTCTCTCTCTCTATGTGTATGTTTTTTTTCTCTTCTTCTACATCTTCTCTCCGTCTCTCTTTCTTTCTTGGTATTTGTGGACGCGCGCGCGCCTTCAGTGTTGGCGTTATGATTTTTGTCTGCATAGCATAAATATGTCTAATTAATGCAAACGTACTACGTGCGAGCAAGCACCATATCATGTACATTCTTAGGCAAACCCGTTGCGATTACTCTCTAGCAAATACTATGAGTTCACTTGAATATTCTTTGTGTTCAAAATTACTTCCAGTTGAACTGCTAAGTAGTTGAGCTGCTTCAATCCTTTTTTTTTCACGAGATTGCCTCGTTAAACAAAGTGGAAATTTGTCCGACGATTACTGGGCATTGTTTAGTGTCTCGCAGTGAAAAAAAGAAAGACGTATGCAGAAAATCAAACAAAAACAGATTGTCTGTGCAAATCGTGCACAGCAGTTCATTATTCAGAAAAAAGAAATGAAATCCTTTTGGACGGCGAAACTAATGCGCAAACAATGTTTTCGGTGCATTTCCCTGCTGACGAGACTCGATTCCATGTAATGCAATTGCAGCACCGTTCATATATGAAAGTCATACGCATTATTTGCTTCGTACCAACATACAATGAGTGCGAAGAAGATAGACTCGATCGCAATTGCGAACGAACGAACGATCTGATGTTTTTTATGTTATGCTTTGCTGCAGTTGGTTGATCATTAAATGCATTTGTTATTGTTAGAGTATTAATAAAATCATATCGTTTCTTTTTAATTTTTCTTCTTCTTCTTCTGTTATTGCTTCTTTTTCATTCGTTTGGTTCTTTTATCGGTGCGATGGAGAGAAAAGAAGCTCCCGACTTGGGTATTTTTCTATTTAGTTTTTCTTGCACCGAATTCAGTACGTTTCATTTTGGCGCAGCTAACGCTATGGATATCGTTGGTGAATCGTCGATGTGACCACCACACAATAAATTATCATTTCTATAATATTGCACTTGCAAAATGTGCTGTGCTGGGCACGCTTCAACATCGTTGTTTGTTTTTTTTTCGCCCGAAATCACAATACGCACACACACTTTATATGGCCAAGAGACCGTTAGTGCTGTTTCGGTTTTCGTATTACTGAACAAATTGAACGAATAGAATTTATTGCACACATCGAATAGTAGTGGACGCCATCGTGGTTGTCGTTGCAGTTGTTGTTGTTCTTGTTATTCTTGTTTTGTGATTCAGTGATGTTTAATTTGTAACCCAAAAAAAAGAGAGAGAAAATTTCAATTTTAGTATCACCAAACGCCACGATTAAATCCAATGCAAATAAGTCGCTTTCGAATGATTGCGCCAAAGAGATTAAGTGTTGCGAAAAGAAGAAACACCCGACTCATTCAAATGTTGAGTTTAAACGTTGTTTACATTTGGTTTTTCCAGTAGGAAAAAATCAACTAATGAAGACAAACGACACGACGAGTGAAAAGCAACGAACCGACAAAACGTAGTAAAATCCCAGAATTTGATAAGTGTGGTTTGAACGTGGCTCAAGATGGGAATCAAAATGAGAATAGGAAAATGAGCGATGCAAAAGATTGTGTGCAGCGTAAGAAGTGTGTTAATTTGATAATATCATCCAAGTGAATGTTTGTTGGATTTACGAAAGATACAAAAAAAACAGTTGGTGTTTATGTGTGGTTTTGTGTGTTGTTTCTTTTTTTTACATTTTCATTCGTTGTTTTTTTTTCTTGTACTTTTGCAATCGTTCATTCGTAGTATCCGTGTTTGTGTAATGTCTAATGAACCAGAATAAAAGGAAGCAAAATATTTACGCTTGATTCGGAGTTTCAACCTCGAAAATCAATGTAAACCATATAACTCTGAACAACACACATACAGCCAGGTCAAAGCAAGCAAGCCTAGTACACAGTAACACACGGTGGGGTATAAACGGTGTTATCGCATTTTGCATGCATAAATCCTCCAGCCATGTGAAATTCACACAAGCAAAAAGCACGTACGCAATTCTATTTAACCTCCGGTGCGACATAACCGTTCATATTGTGTTCTCTGCGCTTTTTTTTCATGCATATTTCCATTTGGAATTACAATATTATTATTATTGTTATTTTTTTTTCCAACACGGCTCATCTTTAATATGTGTTTTTGTATCGGAAATGGTGTACGCGATCAACGACAAACAAATGGAAAAAAACGTAACAATTAACAATTGAAATTTAACGCCTTTTGTCGATTAAAAAAAACGCAGTCATATTGGGTAGAACGGAAAGAGTATGATGTTTTTGAAAAGGGCCGAGCCCAATATCAATCAATGCACAATTAGCTAGATTTTCGTAACAATTTTTTACGAGTTATTTTGAAAATAAAAATGAAGAAAGAACAAAATGGCATTAGTACGCATACATCTCGTACTTGTACATGTGCGAAGGTTTATAGCCTTATATAATGAGTAAGTGGCGTCAACGCAAACGATTAACAATGATGACGATGTCGATGATGAACAATTGTAACGCTAATTTTGCCAAACAATAAGTGTCGCGTCTAATTGTCATATGTCTCTTTCTCTCTGTGTGTAGAAAGAGTGAAATAAATCCCCCACATCATCGTCATAATGACGAATAATCCATACTGGCATACACCACAGCCCATAGCTACTAAATACATTTCTTCGTGATTTTTCTCTCTCTCTCTCTGTGTGTGTGTGTGTCTCTATCTCTGCTTCTCAAGTCTGAACACTTTTAATGGTGCACATCGAACGAACCGTATTGTTCGTTTAGCAGTTGTGATTGATCGATTGGCTTCTGCCATTGCCATCGACAAGATACGTTATAATGAACATTGATTCAACGGTTTTTAAGGTGAACGAAATCAAAGAAGAAAAAAAAATGTACATTGTGCACGTATGATTTATGCGCGTACGCCACTTGTCTATGACACTTACTTTAAAGGGCATGAAGCAATACCACACAGCATACTCATCGCGTGAAGACGAAACAAGAATCAAGTGAATATGATCGTTAGTCTGGATGAATCATATGATAATGAATTTATGGAGAACAATTCACTGGCATTTCCAATGCGACACATTTGAATTTATTGCAATTCAGCATATTATATTATATATGCATACAACACGTTGTTGCTGTTGTTGTTGTTGTCATTGGTGCATTTGAATTGTTACGTTTTGGTTTACACAATAAAATCAAGTTTTTTTTCTTCTCCTGAATTTGCATTGGAAATGAAAGTATTTCTGACTTTTGCTTGGGCGTATGTGTGTGCATTTCATTTCAAAATGTTTAAAATTCAAACGAAAATAAATAATAACAACAAGTGAGACATCGTCGTGTACTTGAACAACTATACGACGATAAAACAAAATTATGCAATCAGTAATAATAATAATAATACAATTAGCAAGATTTTCTTCATGACCATGAAGATCGCACTCCGTGTGCTTATGATTTTCGCTGGTTGTTGCTAGACGCGCGCGCGCCGCGTGTGTGTATTTTCTGTTCGTTTGGTCGTTCGCGGAATGTTAAAATAGATAAAAGTGTTAGATATGTCAATTACACGCCTTGAAACTAATCAGGCGACAATGGCCAAATCATTTAAATCACTCACACTCAATTAAATTCGTTTTCAGAATAATGGAAATGTGTCTATTTTTAAAACACAAAATTATAGTTTTTTTCCATCTACATCATGAGCCATTTAAAATGAAATTTGCACATCGTTAAGTGTTTTTTTAAAGCATTTTTAACACAGCACACGTAGCAAAGCACACGCCAAGTGTATATGGCTGTGTGGACTGGAAGAGAGAAAAACAAAACGAATTAAAATTAGTTTCATTTAGAATGCAGCAGATAGAATCGATCGTTGAATCGAGGTGAATGTGACTTTGTGTATGCACATGAACAAGTGAACGAAGTGTACGGCATTGAACAATGTCAATACTTAGCCGAAAACCAAAGAAATGTGCTTCGATAAAAACCGATTACCGAATATCACACTCAATATATCATCCATTGTCATATACAAGCCAAGAGCAAACAAAACAAACAAACAATAACGAACCACCACGTAAATCTTATACGACATCAAAGAAAACATAACTAACAAGACAAAAAAAAAGAAGCGTGAAGAAGAAGAGAAGATCGCGCGCGCGAGCGTTTGCAGACGCAACAACAATTACATTTTAAAATAGCACTATGGATTTATCTACAGCCAAATATATAATGGATTATATATATTTTAATCGTGCTAACGAAACGGCATTCAAATACTATAAAAAAGTAAGTCTTCTTTTTGCTCTCTCTCTCTCTCTCTCTCTCTCTCTCTCTCTCTCTCTCTCTCTGCCCCCCTCTTCCCGTCTCTTTCGGTTCAACACACGTGTACTATGTACTGTTGCAAAGCCAAACCATATCACGTCGCATACTCGATCTATGAATAAGCGTACACTTGAAATGATTATTGAATGATGAACAGTTTTTCATACGACTGATATCATGGCACGAACCTCTTAGTTGTGCTGTTGTTGTTGTTATTGTTGTTATTGTTGTTATTTTTTTTCGTTATTATTATACAGATTACTCACGATACTTCAAATTCTTTTTTTTTCTTTTGTTGAATAATTATGAGAGGTAACCGTTTATATCCGCCATACTGTTTAACATCAAAATCGGGAAGTATAATTCAAACGAGCGGTAAATAAATTCAAGTCATTCAAACAATGAATATTATGAGTTAAGTCGCAAAAGTTTCAACGGAATAGATCGGAAAATATCCGTAGCAGAAGCAGCACTAGCAACAACAATGTTCATTCAATGTGTTCACTTGCTGGATTCATTTAGCCAAAATTCTGAATATTCAACAGCTTTTCGGTATCAGTATATAATCAAAACAAGAAATCAAAAGAAAAGAAAAGAGAGGCAGGTCGTATCCATGATAAAAACCAAATAGAGAATAAAGTGCATCCAACAACGAAAATACAGTAATCATGATCGAGATGCACCTATTAAAGTTAATTGTTAGCTTTGAGATTTGAGCTCTCTCAGTTCCTGAAAATAGACGCGAGAAAACAAAGTAGCAGCGAACCAAACACAGTGCACGAAATCAGAACGAGGCAGCCAAAGCTATATACACAAACAAATAAAACAAAATTTAATGTTCCACAGATAAGGAAAATTGACTATGCGGACCGAATTCCTCTATCTGTGATATTCTTATGCGAGTATTTCAATAATCATTACAGAAAATACTTGAATTTTTTTTTCGTCGGTTCGCTCGTTTGTTTGTTCGTTTATTCATTCCATGCTTTTGTTGTGTGTGTGTGTGTGTGCTTTTTTTTTCGAAGAAAAAACAAAAACAAAATATAATCTTGCACTAGCCGTGTTCGCATTATTCATGTGATTATTGCCTTTGATTGTTGCAGCCAAGCAAACAGTACACACACACATACAAAATATTGCTACTATCTACTCTATCTGTACATATAGCTGGATTCGTGCTTCACAATATTTCGTGGAGCTGATTTGCATTGAGAAAAACCACTTTAACTGTCAATCAGACAGTGATTACTTACTACGAAGAGGAGCATGCCAACAACGACTACAACATTTAAACTGGTTGGAAATTATTACAACGAAATTACCGCCTTTGAAAAGAAAAACCCGAAATCAAACTCCGCAATACAAATATTTGGAAAAATTTATGATTAGGCCATACTATTTCACCACATATCGATATAATACATTAATTTGCAATAATTTTTTTTTTATTTCTCTCGGTTTAATTTTGTTTTATTATTCTCTCTCTCTCTCTCTCTTTCTCTCTCTCTCCCTCATCATTACATAGTCAAAATGTTCGATATTTCGTGATGTGATGTTATGCCTGTGTTTAAATCTAACATATGCGAATGTTGTACGTTTTCCCCGAGAACTAGATCGACATGGCGTCGCATTTTTGCTACCATATTTATTGCTATTTCTGTTGGTTGGTATACCAATTATACTGTTGGAAATAGCATTAGGTCAATTCTTGGGTCAAGGTTCAGCTCATTCATGGCGTGCATCACCAATTTTTCGCGGTAAGTTAATTATCACTCCATTGCATTGGATCAACACGTAACACACACACACACACGCGCACGCATAAACGGGCATACAGAGACAGTTATTTCAGCCGAAGATTATTCGGTGGATTCATAACGCGCACGGCTGACATCACAAATGGGTGCTCGTTGCGGTCTATGTGTGTGTGTCGACGTTTGGTTCATTAAACTTAATTAATGTAATGTTTTCCGAAAGTTTGTCAAGTTTATTTGCTCTATCTAGCATGAGCCGGCAGCCTTATTATTTCATTCTTTCCATCACCACAATAATTCTCATTCAGAAAAAAAAACTACTCTTGACAAAGATTTTCAAACACATAATTTTTCACGTATGTGCCGTATCGCAGCCGGTTTTTCTCTCTATCTTTTTTCCTCTCGTTTCATTTTCGATTGCACAATGTGTACTACGAAACCAAAAAAAAAACTATAATCATATTTAGTGGGTCAACATTTTTGTTGATTCGCTCAAAGACAGATTTAATTGTTAGCAATCGACTTGAAATAAGTTCTGCTATTTTCATGCTTATGTTTTATTTCTATTTTCGTATTTATTATGCTCATTCAAAAACAAAACAGAAATAAGTTTTTCTTTATCTCCATTTTTACCGTATACACATCAATGACACCAGCTTTTGTTCTGTTATCTTTATGGATTCGATTATTTAGGTGCAAGTATTGTTGGCCGTTTGGGATCATGGCTTGGAGCAATATCGATATCACTCCAAGGCGCTCTGGGAATGGTGTATATCGGTGAAATTTTATTGAAATCTGTGCCATTTAATCAATGTGAAGTATGTATTGCTATGCGTTTATCCATTTTATTTCTTTTCTTTGAAAAAAAAAATCATAAAGAAAAGCGATCGTTTGACATACGATATGATAAATTATAATTATACGACCGAAAATATTTTTATTTATTTTTTATCCTTCAGAACGCCTATGATCATAGAACAGAACCACTTACGCCATTAAAGGGACAGGCATGCATGGAGTAAGTTATAGAAATCTGTGAATTTATTTTCCATCCAATAATCATAAATCCAGCCCATACTAATTCTCTGTGTGGAGCGCGTATGCGCGCATTTGCCACTTTGCATTTGTAGATTTGCCAATAATTACATTTTTGCATTGAAATGTGTGCTGTTGTTGTTTCTCTACACCTCTCTATCGCTCGCATTAGAGCCGATTAGTAGCACTTATTTTATGTAAATATTTCTTAGTACGATTTATCTCCTGACTCGCTTTTTTTCCTCTCTATTTACGTAATAATTCACTTGTGATACCAACCGAATACGGAATTATTCACATTTGAAGTCAGGTAAATCATTAAGAGAATACAGAGAGGGAGAGAGAAAAATAACAACAACAAAATAAATGAGGAATGTTGGAATGTGAAAAATTCAAAAAAAAGGTCACCGTGAAATGCAAACAATGCATCGTATTTTGTCGATCGACTGAGATAAATAACAATTTATATCGAGAGATGTGTGTATTTGTGCATGTGGGGGCTACGATTTTGATTACTTAGTTACACTGTTAGGTTCTATATTCTATCACAATTCAAATTCGTCTGTTCATTGGTATTTGCGATATTCCTTTTGAATGCTGCTGCCATTGTTGTCTTTACGGTGTTGTTCGCGTTCGTTCGTAGTTTTATTTACAGCGTTATATTGCGTACGAAAGGACGGGACAACCTGTGAATATTTGAATATATTGTGGTTCTGGTAGATGGATTTTGTCATTCGTTGGCAATTAATTTGATATAATTTTCTTCGTCTTTACTTACCGTAAAAATTGCCTTGTTTCTTTCCGCTAATAATAATCCAATTTACTCAGGCCATAAATAATCGAATAAACATGTTAATTGTTAAGATATTTCGATTTCGATTGCAAATAAATCGACAGAAAAGAACAATTGCACTCGTCCCATCTGTCCACATGACATTGGTTCAATTGACTCTAATACGATACGATTTTTTCTCTTCTTTTCAGAAAAACCTTTTTGACACCTGTTTGGGAAAATACTCTTTATTTTGCGTTGATCTCGATGAGCCTTGTCGTTGTATGGACACTTGCTGCTGCTTGGTAATGATCCATTAAACACATTCAATTTTGGAGTTTTTTTTCTTTTGCTTTCTATTCAGTTTGTGTCATTTACATATGTGAACTATTTTGCACACGAAACTTGACACGTTTTCATTATTTATATCCTGTTGGTATTTATTCATGTTTTTCTTTTTCTTTCTGTTTCTTTTTGTCGTTGCATGAATCCATTTTGCAGTACCTACAGTGCGAAAACGCTTCGTCGATCGATAATTATCGTTGGTTTAGTGACCTTAGGTTTATTAATTTTCGAAACCGGCTGGGAAGCCACAAAAGCCGTAAACAGTAAAAAAGACCCACAGCTTAACATAACATCGATAACCGTTGAAAAAATATTGCCACTAAACGGTGACATATGGTATGATGCGCTTGTTCAAGTGTTGCTTTCCACAAACATTGCGATTGGCCTGTTGCCGGTCGTCACTGGCAAATTTATTTACAAAGGAGATGCCGTCAGGTATTTAAATGTTTTCCCATAATTTCTCCCTTCCTTTTCTCCCTCTCTGCCTCACTCTTTCTGCCTTTTCACACGTGAAAAATGAACATTCATCAATAAATTTTGGTTTTTTTTCATTTTCTTTGGAAATTATTTACAGAACGTCATTGGTTTACATAAGCTTCAATGTGCTGGTGCTAATATTTTCGACGACATTTTTTCTGATTCAATTCAACAATACGTACACATTGAATTCAACACTTGTTGTGCCCGTGCCGGAGCTCAAGCCATTCACATCCGTTTACGATAATGCACTCGAGTATGTTGGCGATGAAGCAACACCGATGCTAACCGGAATGGCGTACGCAATGATTGTGCTCGTGTCGATAACAACAATTGCACTGCAAATATACACAGCAGCCCGACTGATTCGACGGCATCCGTGCTATGTGATGTGCGCCACAGCGTTAATTGTCGCAATTACCGGTCTACTGTGCCCCGACTACATTGTGATGCGTTTGTTTGATATGCGCATCGTTGGTGCATTCATTGTTTGCGCATTAATCTTTGACCTGATTTCGATCACGTGGATTTATGGTGCCAAGAATATCTACACCGATTTGGAATTTTCAATTGGACGACCGATTTCGAAGGTGTGGGTGTTTCTTTGGTGTATTACGCCAATTTTGCTCATGTCAATGCTAATCTGGTGGGCAATTGGCTACAATCCCGACGATTTATTAATCGATTACGTACCAAAGTGGTTACCCATCGCAATAGCGCTGAGTATAATTGCATTTTTGGCCTTCACCGAGGTGTACAAGCAAGTCGACTATAATTGTTGCAGTATGATTCGAGAGGCGGGCATTTCGTCAAAAGATTGGGGCCCAGCCGATCCGATTGTACGTCATGCGTGGAAACAATGGACGGCCGTATGCGAAGATACTGGCGAAAAAGACTTTACTTTACGGCGACGTGGTACACGTGACTATACGCATTCCATCAAGCGCAATCAATGCTCACACAAAATCAATTCGGCATATTCGGTTGGAAGTGTGCCAAACGCCACCAGCAACTATGTGATGAAGACATCAACACTTGGTCGCGGCTCGCCAAATTATGCGGGCTCAATATTTGGCGATTCAGCCATCGAAGAGGACATAAGCATCGGTAACTATCCAGTGCAATACAACACAAGTACACAGCGCATGATTGTACCAAATACGGATGATCGCAGTAAATCCACACTGAATCGTTGCGCCAGCAACGATCCACGGAAGATGATCATTCGATTGCAACAGAATACCGTACAAGAGAAACAGAAAATCTACGTGCCCGGAATTAATCCGTCACAGCCGTCGACAATGGAACGTGACAAAGGCCGAATGGCGGCCAAATTGAATGGCATCACATCCGATTACAGCAGCCGAATCATCATAAATGCACCGCAAAGGCATTCCATCATCAGTCCCAGTTCATTAACATCACACGAAACCGATAACAATAACTATAGCAGTCTTCGACGAGCAGAAAATGCAAACCACTTACCATCATCATACCTAAACAATCATAAATCCGAACATATTTGCTGGCGCAAATATTCAAGCAATGCCGAAGAATTTTCCACGGAATTATAGTGTAGAAATTTGTAAGAAACATATTGTTTAGATGAGATATATATATATACAAATTGTAGCAAAGTATTTGTAATATTAATTTATAATTGAGATGAAAACAAATGAAAATTTAGATGGAAAACAAATGAATAATTGAAAATCTTGTAAAAAGATTGCGATAATGAAATGAAAAGGAGTTCAAAAATACCAAATATAGAAAAACGACAACCAAGCTCAAATTTAGTAGACAAGGTGGTTTCAATACGATAAGCGCTATAGGATAATTAAGTAGAAAAAAAAGGGAAAAGTCGTACACGAAGGAAGAAAAATGAAATGCGTGACATCTCAACACCGTTCGATGCAGAGAACGAGACATAACGTAGATGAACGGTGAAGGGGGAGGAGGACGCATGTTGAAGGGAAGCGAAAAACAAAGAGCCGAAACCAGGACAATACTTAAAACACCTCTAGAATTCGTTTTCTGTTTGTTTGTTCAACTGAAATAGATCTTGTTTAATTTGAATATTTCTAGTCTATTTCGATACAAAACTAAAGTTATTATGATTTTTTTTCTCTTTCAATTATTCTGTTTCTTCTTCTTCTTCTTCTTCATTTTTTTAAACAATTAAATATCACAATTTGTGTAATTGGTTTATTGATTATTTAAGTACTTGTTGTTGCTCCTCTGTTCGCTTTCGATTCCTTCGATCAAACGCAAAATTGAATAAATAATGATATGCAAAAAAGAACAAATCAAAAAGAAAACGTCAAAAAATAGTAGTTTTTGCTGTGGTTTGTGTGTGTGTGTGTGTTGTTTTTTTTATGTTCTTTTTCAAACTTTTTGATGCAATTTGTTTGTGTCAGATTTTTCACTCGATTTTTCTTTCTTTTCTAGTTGCGAATCAATGTGAGTTATTTTTAATTAATAAGTTAATATTGTCATAAATACAAAAGTTCATTGCCGATGTGATGCCCGTTTTCAGTACACTGGGCCACATGCCTTTGAATAGTCCACGATAACCTTCGCGTTCGATCGTCACTCGGAAACAGTCGATAATACCCGTACACTCGAAATGTTTGCCAAAGTTCTTTCGATGCTCGCCAAAACCTTGAATTTGCATCCGTTTCTTTGCTAAATCTAGGGGATAGACCACTGCCTTTGACACCAGTCCAGCCATTGCACCGTTGAAAAATGTGATAAGCGCCGGAATCTCGCTCTTTGCATGCAAATTCATTACGTCGACGGTGGTGGTGCAGAGGAATTTGTATGTCATAAAATTGATACCAGTCAATGGAGCTACTTGAATTAAACTAAGGTAAAAACCGCGATACAGTCCACGAATGCCCTCTCGTCTGCCAATCGTCATAAATGCCCGGTATGTATTTGGATAGCCGCGATGCGAATCTTGAGCGATGAGACGGGTTCGCACCACATCAATCGGTGTCACTGTCACTATAATAGAGCACAAAAACAAGCACACACCAAGAGAAAGGGAGAGAGAGAGAGAGAGAGAGAGAGAAACACACACACGCATTAGTCAGTTTTGATTTAATTCAATTAGTTTCAATTCAAAATGTAATCGAAGGTTGTCCAATTCAATGTGTACATTGTATGAACGAAGAAATAGTAATACAAACATACCTGTTCCTAGCGCACCAGCCATTGACCCACATACAAAATTCGAGATATTTTCATTTTGATGATAGAGATTTAAGTGCTTGGCATAGTCTTTGCATTCTTCGAATGCCCAAAATTGTGTGACACCATAAACGATACTCAATAGTTGGCCGGGCATGTGTCCTTTCCAGAATCCGGCTACACCTTCGTCACGAAATATCGTCCGAACCGCCTGTGGCATTGACACATATTTTGATTTGTGACAACCGAGCGGTTCCACTTGCAATTGAAATCGAATTTTCAGCACATCAAACGGTTGGCACACGAATCGTGTGACGAACGCTGCTATGGCCCCAGCAAACGCCTCTTTCCCATGGAAGTGATCGATGTGTGGCCGTTTTGTGACTTCGTCGCTAATTGTTCGAATTGGCGCACGTGCATCTTCCAGCGTCATCTTATCGATGTGTTTACTTGTGGTGGATGAATGATTGCTTTTGAAATGTCACTAACTCGTTGAGTCTTTTCTTTGATTGGTTAATTTCCCGAAATTGCTTCTAGTTTTTGTGCTTTGGAATACCGTCGAATTTTCTATTTGAAGGAACAAATTTTTTTTTTCGTGTTTGAAAAACAAGTCCATTTATTTTTAAGCCGTTCACTCACTTCAATTCATGTTAATGAACTCATTTCTATTTTTACTTACGTAATTCAATATTTAGCGGTCACAATTTCTCTAACAATTCACATGTGAAGAAGAAGAAAAAAAAAACTATCTGTCGCTCACCAAATCCGACGATTCACCGAGAGTGAGAAAAAAAAACTCAATTTTATTTCCGACGATTTCGTTTTTTTGTTAAGGATTTAGGGCAACGAATTAATTTAATATTCGACATTAATTTTGAACAGAAAGCCAAACACTTTATTACATAATCTGTCAGAGGGAAAAAAAAGTTCTAAAATTAAAATTAAACTAAAAGCCAAAATTATATACAAATTATGCGTGTGAAAATGAATGCGGATTTGGTGATGTGTTTTAAGCCATGTACAACATGGACTTGTTCGTTTCGTTTCACTTCTTCTTTTTTTCTCTGTATTTTATGTAATGATAAAACGTGCTTTTGCGCTACGGCTACAGTGTGTGCGAACGAAGAAAAGAAGGCGCAACAACGAAAACAAAAAGAAGAAAAAGAACGAAATACTGTTTACGAATGCATATCTCACTGACGGTGCTCTGATATACACATATAAATTGTAACGTAACCCATAAAAAGGCAGGTTATGTCAATAAATCGCATTCGATGTACTCGACGGCGACGGCAAAACACGTTGAGAACGTCTGTACGCGCTCGCCATTGACATTCCAACGCTTCAACATTTTCATAAAGTCATAACGCATTCGTGCACAGCCATGCGTTAGATTCAGTTTGTTTTGCGCATCCTACGCCAAACACAACATTTGTTTTCTCTGTCCGTTTGTATCGTCGTCGTCGTCGTCGTCGTCGTCGTCGTCGTCGTCGTCGTCGTCGTCTTCGTGGTCTTCGTCTCCTTTGTCGGTGGCACACTTTCAGAATTTGCAAAATCATTTTTCAATTCAGGCTATTATAAATGTAAATTTTATTCATCATCATCACTATCGCTACACATATCTTTAAATATTCGTTCTAAATACTGGCTATAATCACTGTTGCACAGCCACGAATACACGGGCTGCGTTTGTTTATCTTGCTCCATTAATGTGTCTTTGAATTTTTTCGGTTTCATATCCGAAACGCTATCCAATAATTCCTAAAACGACAAAAGAATTCCAATGAGAAAATTGCATGGTCGATCGCAAAAACGAGCTGTTACCGCTTCGCCTTACTCGATAGCACTGTTTCAGGAATTCTTTTGTTGGACCATCGTCCAAATCATCGATGGGATATCCAGCGGTTGTGTTGGCTAACAGTTTGTACAGCGCCTCTAAATCGATGCCATTCAATTCAGCTGGCGGCGGATGTTTTTCCAAATTTGCTATTGCTTCCAGGGTTACCGGCAACGTGTTATCGGTCACAAGCACACCATTCTCGGTTAAATTTCGTGCACATTGATCCAAATTCAGGATGTGCTTGTCATTTTTTGATTTTAGAATTTGTTCTAACCGTGTTTGTGATAAGAACGCTTGCGTATTGATAAAACCTAAAATCGACATGTTCAATATTACTCATATGTGGTTCCAGGAAACGAATGAAAAAAAAACAACAAGAAAACGATACAAAAAAATCAAATGTTACTTACTCTTGATAAGATTATCGTCGGTCACTCGAAAACGTTTGCTCATTGCATTCAATTCCTTGGGATGGCAGTTCGCGTGTTTTAACATTTTGAGCATTTGTTTCTTATTGTAATTTGAGATTTTATTCTTTTTGGCTGGTTGAAATTTCGATGGTTCACGACTGCTAGTCGCCCTACACTCTTGGTCCGACATTTCGATATGGTCTGCTTATGGTCGTCGTTTTTTTCTACAGAATTCAAGAAAAAAAAATATCGACACTACAGCCACTTTGTTTTGGTTTCAGCCTAAAATGTCACATGTAATCGCACCAACATGCGTATCGTTCAATGAGTCACACATAGAACCAACGAGAAAAACGATAATTTCCAAAATGCGATAACATTTCAAATTTATCTCTCGAGAATGTCGTTTAGTCATAGCTTGATATGCATTGGAAATTTTAAATAGAACAATTATCAAATTTATGAAGAAAAAACAAATCCGTTTCCTATATTTCTACAAACAAATTCATGTCAGTAATGCATGATCCTCAGTTGTATGATTCAATCGTTGGTGATTTTCATTGAACGTATCCATCTCTCGCATTCCACAATACACACAGCAGCGCAGCGAGCGTATGTGTATGGTATTTGCGATATTGTGACATTAGTTGAAAATATTGTGAGCAGCAGTACGATTGTGCTAGCAACTACCTGAAACCTGAATTCCCTGTCTGTTTTCATTCGAAGAGAGAAGTGAGAGAGAAAAAACAACACACTTCAAGAAAATCATTTGAAAAAAGTGATATCACAATAGATTGAGACAGTTTCAGATTCATTTTGGCCAAGCGACCCAGAGTGGATAGTGTATTGTGTGAATTCGTGAATTGATAACTAGACTCAACCAAAAATAAAAGTGAGTGGCGTAATTTCATCGAGACCTTATTAAATATTTTCAATGAATGGAACTCCACATAAATAGATCGATTTTTGTTGTTTTGTTGTTGTTGCCGCCGTTGTGCGTTAATTTGCTAATTGAAATGGTCAAAATTAATTCCCAACTTATTTATGCTGTTTGAATATTTGTCAATTGAATTTGATTGTGAAATTACTTCCAATATCACTTTTTCACGTATAATTGAAATTATACTCCTCTATGTGTCTGTGGCAGCGACTTGTTTCACTAATACATGGGCATGAAATGTTTACTTAAGAAGTATATGAAGAAAGAAAGAAGAAAAAAGTATTCGAGCTGCTGCTGCTGCTGTTGCTATCAAAACCCGTATTTATATCATCAATATTTAAATGTAGACAAATCACTGTGAAAATCATCAGAACGTATACGAATCCAAACTATTCCTTTTTGACTATTTGTTTGAAAATGTTTGGAACATAATGGCGATAAAAGAAAACACACAGTGTTTTCACACAGTGCTGTTCTAGTTCAATATGTGTTCTATGCTATTTGGTGTATATATATAGATTTCGAGCATTACATCGTACAGATGAAATGACCTTCTCCAACGCAGATATTTCAAAAGCAGCAATTTTTTTTCGCTCGTTTTTCTTTCTTCTTTTTTTTTCTGTCGATATATAATTATTTTGCTTCTTTTTGTTTTTGTGTGGTTTTTTATTCACTTTGATGTGCCCATACACATATATCGCGTACGCACATACACACATGGCCTATGCTGTGTGAATTTGTAATTTTCATATTTTTTTTTTATTTCTCTTTTGAAAGAAAGAAAAAAAAACTGTTTTGCATTGTGTGGTGAATTGAATTTTCATTTCCAATTACTTTAAGAAAAAACACATATCGCTTGTGTTATGAGAATGGCGGCTCTATGTATGTGCTAGGCTAGCCCTGTTGTCTGTGTATTTTTCTGCTGCTGCTTTTATTCGTTGCTGAGTGATTCATATTTTTGTTTGGTTTAATTTACACATTTCGGTGAGAAATTGCATGGCAAATTGTATTAAAGTAAACAATTACTATCTCATTTCCAGTAAATAAATTAAATTGTTTTGAGCGGTTGCCATTAAATGTGTCTGCTGTGCGATTTAGTTAGCTATGATTAAGAAGGTTTTAATGGAATTACATGTGATTGCTATAAATATACCAATTTTTTTTATTTTTGTTTATATTTTTTTTCTACTACCACCTAGATGAGTAAAAACGGAGCACCACCACCTGCATATGGCTTCGTCGCACCACCATCAGCTCCTCCCAGCTATGCACAAGGTAAATGTGGAAAAATTCCAGAAAAATAACGCACATACTCATACCCAACCCCATGCATATTTGATTGCAATTAATGTTTAATCAAAATCTATTCATTGTATATAATTAGCTGTCGGAGGTGTACCACCGTCGAGCCCGTTTGTTCCACAACAAGCAACTACAACTCACATCGTAACCACGGTTTTGCCAATTGGAAACCACCCAACACACATGATCTGTCCTAGGTTAGTGATTTCAATGTTCTTTTATTTCATACTTTCGCTAGCTCATGCTCGCTCGCTGGTTGGCTGATCTCTTTTTCTTGTTTATATTTTTCCTCGAGAATTTTTCGGTGCGTCGGTGCACTCAATTTTTTTTTAATGTCTTTTTCGATTTATACATGATTTTTTTTTTGTCTCGTTCTACTTCAATTGCACATGTGTCTTTACACAGTTGCCATGCTGAGGTTCAAACACGAACACGACGTGAACCAGGTTTGATTGCATACGTATCCGGTTTTATCATTGCTTTAATGGGGTTAGTACTTAATTATTCCTCTCTGTAATTGTTTGTCTTTGAAGAAAGCACACAATTAATCGATTTTCATTATTTTTTTTTCCTCTCTCTTGCTGCATCTTCTCTTCTTGTCGCTGTTGATGACGCGCAAACGAATATTTCAGATGCTGGCTTGGGTAAGTACATAATGCGATTTAGTTTCACTTCCGTCGTACTTGATTCTATTTTGTATCAATTGCATGTGTTGTATCATATTTCAGATGTTGTCTCATCCCGTGCTGCATTGACGAATGCATGGATGTACATCATACATGTCCAAATTGCCATGCATATTTAGGACGCTATCGGCGATAAAGGAAAAAAAAATAGCCGCCACAACAAACCATTTAAAGCTTACCGGGCTTAGATCGATGTGTTTCATTAAAACACATTTCGCCGAAATCCAGAACTTTTTTTTCTACAAAAAACAACTTTAATCGTAATTCTTCTATAAAGCAAAAATTCAGTATTTGCTCTTTGCAACAACAAATGAATGAAACAAAATAAATCCATGTTAAATTGCACTCTTCATCCCAATGAATTTTAACAAAAATTGCATAGAGATTTAGATCGATCAAAAATACAGAGAAACATTACTATGTATTAGGATTATTATTGTAATTGTGTAGCGCCGATCTAAGAGAGAAAAAAAAGAATTCTTCCTAAACTGAACAACAAAATAAATAGCCATATGAGGAAATTTGAAAAAAAATGAAAAGAAAAAAAAAGGACTTAAAAATATAGTGCACGCATAAAATGAACAAACAATGAATATAGTTTCTGTGAATTTGTTCATCGTTAAAACCAACCAATGCTCTCGCTCTCTTCAGAACAACTCAAAAAAATAAGAATTTTTTCTTATTTTTATTTAAATATATTTTTTTTTGTACATTTTTATTTCTAATATCAACGAAATGTTCGTCTCTCATATATAGATGTATTTTGCTATGATGAGTGTTACTGACAATTTTTTTTTCTTTGAAGTAAGAGCCATTGGTTTTCCTTTTTTTATTTTGTTCGAAAAAAATACAAATTCTTTCCTTCTTACAAATAGTGTGCTGAATAATTTTTGAATCAAACGAAAAATAGGGAGAAAATCTGTTTTTTTTTGTTAGAAATGGAATACCGAGTAATTAAGTTTATTCGAAGTTTATCTTAACAATACACTATATATATTATTAACGAGACACAGCTTGATGACAGCGATAACAATGTATTTTATATAAATTAATTTTTATTTTCTAATAATAATAAATAATTCCAAGAATGTGACAACAGTATTAGTATGGTGTTTGTGTTTCATTTTCTCTCATGTATCGTTTTTATGTATCATTTTTTCTTCTTCTAGCTCATGTTTCGTGTGTGTAAATCATTCAATGCCCATATAAATGAGATCATCAACATAAAACAGATGTTGTTCTTCGCCGTTGCGTCATCTCAATAACGCAGCCAACATTCACTGTTTGACAGTTCGTGACAGTGCCCGTTTGACAGATTGGGTCGGATCTCGCAAAAAGAGTATATACAGTGTCGATGAATTGAATATATAGGTAGCCGCAAATGTAAATTTTTCCATTGAAAATGATGTTGAATGTGACGCGACAGATAATTTCAGGTTCAAATCACCTAACTACAACCGGACTGGTGAGATACAATTGAATACCGATATGTGTTATGCTTCAATTTTGACGAATTTATTTATTTTGAACATTAAGGTTAGGTTAGGTTTAACACATTTTGCATTTTGTTTCTTTTTAGAATCTTCAATTCGGTGCTTTAACACAAGTTCGATACAAAAGTAAACGGTATGTGCCACGGCCAACAAAAGTCGATATCGTTAAATTCGAAGCATCAGCACAGTCGCTCAAAGCGAAAGGGTAAGTGTTTTAAAAATTTCCATTTACAATGTCGTTTTGTTCATCAATCATTGTTGTATACTCTATTGAAGATATCATCGAGCACAAGACCCATACACACCACCAAAAAACGTTCCACAAATCGTTGATAAACTCAAAACTACGGCCGGCCTGCAGACTGGATTCAGTGGAAAAAAGTTCAGCATTGAAGATAAATTCAATTTTCTAACGGTTTGCGCTGGTGAATTCAATCATACCGTGCCCAATTCAGTGCTGCATGAAATCGAAACAATAAGTAATTGCTTTTGATCGCCATAATACCGAACCTATTAAACGGAATGTACTGATACATTTGTTTTTATTGCTTTTTAGATGATGTCGTTGATTTTTATCAGACGCCAATCAACACATTTTTGCCATTGGATGAACTGTTGACACGTGAACTGCCACCAAATCTACACATTGAACAGAAGTACACACGATTCAATCCAGATACAGACACCATGTTCGGTGGTAAAACTGCCTTCCCAGGCAGCTCAACCATTGTCACCGGCATCAAATATCGAAAGAAATACCCCGGTTTTAAGGCTGAAACAAAATTGGGCATCGACGAAGATCCAGAATAATTGTATATAAAACAAAATGCGCGGTTGTTTCCGTTAAAACCAATAAATAAACTAGAACATTTCAATTTTAATTACAAGAAACTTTTTTTTCCTTCAAATTTTCCATTGGTATCGAGTTTGATACGCTGCAAATTTCAGTGTGACCGGCAACGGATACTGCCGAAACTCATTTTGTGATGCGCGCAACATCTGCAATGTGTGATAAAGACTCGCATATCTTTATTATTTTTTTCTCGTTCCATGAACAAGTGTCAAGCAGCCAACCACCGCACAACTGAATTCGGGATGCGTTCAGACACAGACATACTCACCCTTACATTCGAATGTAGTCAGCACTTTTGCGAATACACCAACAGAATAATACACATTACACTTATTATTATTTGTACGACGCAAACCTTACAATATGTGAAAGGTGTATTCAAATTAGAATCGCTTTCCAAACTTGTGTTGAATATCTGACATACACATTTCCTAGGGGCTAGGAACAAGTTGTGAGATTCACATAGATTCGCATATATTCATGCGTTCGTGGTTTTGTTATTGTTGTTGTACACTCACTGCGCTGCGAATGTCTCGTATACACAATAACACGAATTCACAAATATTCGTACGGATTCATCTCAAGCGCTTGTGTCCGTCCCATTACATAGATATCACGTTATATTGAATGAGACTGCAGACAAGCACCAATACTTTTACTTAAGTTTATTTGCTTTTATTATTTTATTTTTATTTCATCCTCCTCCACATGGGCTTGTAATTTGAATACATTTTGTATCCATAGTTGATAATTTAAATAATTTAAATGATTATGATTCGTGAAAAGCATCCTACACCCATTTTTTTTTATTGCAACAGTCATAAATTTTCATTTTGCATCGGTCATCGCTTTTTTATTGTTTCGTTGGAAATTTGAACACACCTTTTCTGGTGCTTTTATTTTCGGGCTGGAAAAAAAAGAGAGAAGGAAAATTGTAGCATTTTGATTTTGAACTAAAATGAATTGAATTTCCAGTCTAGATATGCCTATACCGCATGCCGATTTCCAAATAGCATCTTAGCTTTATCTTCCTCTTGTGGACTTGGTCGTTCTCCATCAACGGTCATCGATCGATTTCTGTGTATTTGCAATTTTTGCTTAATCGCCTGTGGATACAAAAATTAAAATCCATTCAATCGTGTTTCAATTCGAAAAATTGTAATAAAGCACGCCACAAAATATTGATTAAAAAAAAAACATGTTAATTCACCTGTGATACAATCACACGTCGGCTATCTGATTTCATTGCGAGTAGAAGGTCGAGCCATGTCCATGTGACATTATGATATTCTAGCGTCGGAATGACCAACGAAAAATCAGTGATGTCTTTGAAGTTCTTCTGTTTGTTGCCCTTGTAGCTAACACGAACAGGAACTTCGGGTATTTTTATATAAATAAATAGTTTATTTTTCTCAGCACGTTCTTTCATTTTTTCGACGTCATCCTTTTCGATTTTTACATAAAATGCCGAATCTTTGTTGCTCTTCTTCGAGCGCATTGATTTTTTGCTGGTTTGCGCCGTCGCACTTGATTTAATTGATGTTGTGCTTCCGCTAATTGAAGCCGTTCCATCGTCCATTTCATCCATGGTCTCGGTTTCGGATGTGTCACGATCGGGGAAACAGAACTTCAGCATCGTACTATAGAACTTACGTGTGATTGCAAGCGTGATTGGTACAACGTTAATTTCAAAATGCTCTTTCACTGAAATACCACCGACTGGCGGCTTTTCGCGACAAAAGATTCGCAGCACTTTTTGATGATCAACCGGCATATCTTTTTGAATTTCGGTCGGACAGAGCACCTCTTTGTAGGTTTCACGCGGAATCAAATTATTCATTCGAATGTAGCCAAGTTCAAGTAAATGCTCCACAGAGTCATCGCTTTTGGTCACTTTTTTATACAAGAAATTACTTAGAATCAAATCGGCTATACCAATTTGACCATCCGCTTCGGTGAGACGCCATTGTGCATGTTTGAAGCAAATCTCATTGGTTCGAACAATTGTAATTGGCTTATTCTTTCTTACGGTGGCCAATTTATTCATAGCCGACAATTGAGTTTCTTTATAGCATGAAAACATCATATCCAACTCTTCGCTCTGGGCATTCAGTTTCTCTTTGCACTCTTGGATTTGTTTCTGAAAATTAATGGACGAAATGAGATAAAAAAAATCGAATCTCAAATTTTGAATAATATCGGTTCCAATGCCTTACCTGAACCTCTTCATATTCATGTTTGAGCTCATCACTGTCACCTTCTTCGGCGCGTGCTCGCCCAATCAAATGAATATCTTTCTCCAATAATCGCATTTTTGACATCAAATTCCGGATTTGTGTTTGCAACTGTTGAATTGGCCGCTTCTGATCTTCACTGCTGTACAATTGCAATTGGAATCGCATGCGAACTAATTTTTCCAACGCCTGTTTGCGTTGTGGTTCAACGTACAACATCAGGTTGTTCACAATATCCAAAATCATGGCGTACTGGAGTGAATTTGTGCATACATCAAGATCATGATGCATCAATGTGAATGCATCGACTGGATCATCTTGCCGTTCCCATGGGCTGAGTGTTTCCTCGGGCGGTGGTTGTGGCACTTCAGTCAGTGTTCCCGGATCAATTGTATCACCATAACTGACGTAGAAGAATTCACATTTACATCGCGATACAATGCGTTGCAGTTGGATTGGATGTGGTTCACCAACTCCTATATTTCCAGGCGCACCAACCGTTTCGGAAACAACACCACCCACACTCTGGCCACTGCCCACTAAATGCGGTATGTCTGGTAGATCGTTAATAACAGTTGCCTCTTTGTCTTTCTCCTGAATGTTGTCTAGTGTCAGCCACATGATGTTTTCATCAAGCAACGAATCGTTTTCTCCCGGGCTAACCGTGGCATAATACTGCATGCTATCTAAAAATCCAACCCAAGTGGTTTTCGACACCAAACTGCGATCTCTCCACACGGGTCGATGAACACGTTGCAAAATCTCCGCTTTGGCCGCGCTCATTATCACATAGCCTGATGTTTCACAGCCTTTCAGCAATACTTGCGAATTAACCAGTGAGATGAACCAATTGTATTGTGTGACATCTTCATCTTGACAAGCTCGCAGTCCTTCTAACTGTTGCTCTCTTGTTTGCGTTGACAAATCATCGCTGTACACATTGAACTTGTGATCGGCTTCGGCAATCAACTGTTGCAGCATTGTCGAGGCATGGGTTTTCTGATTGATTTGACTCGTATTGCCCGACGATGAACTGAGAATTTGCTGTGTCGATGTTGATGGTGTTGAGGTCGGTGCCGTCGTATTCATTTGATTCGATCTCGATTTCATCGGAGTATTTGTGTTGTCTTTTCGAAAACCTTGCAATGCTTCCGTTGATAAATTGTATTTCAATTTCTGTGACTTCATGAATGAGTCGAACAGAGCAAATGCCACGTCTCGATTATTTTTAGTCCATGCACCTTTTAAATCGTACACAACCAGTTTGTGTATTGGTGAATCCTTTTGTTTTGGCTCCGAATTGCTAGATTGGAGCAGTGCTTCACGACCATATGACACTTTGGCCAAACTCAGAAAATAAAACTTTACAATTTTCAAACCATCCAAATTGGATATGTTCTCGGTGCTCACATCGACTTTGTCATTCAGAATGCTTTTTAGCCAAATCTCAGTGTCGTTGAGTTCACAGTTCATGTACATTGTGGCCCATTCAGCACGCGGTCGATGTGTCAAACCATCATCGATTGGATATAACGTTAACTGATGCTCGGAGCTAAATGTAACTCGACCGCCGTTCAATTCGAAACCTCGGTGTAGAGCGTGTGACATCCAATACACCACTTGGAATTTGTGCAAGCTCATTTGCAAATGCGCCTTTTTGTAGTGTCGACTCAATTGCTTTTTTCGCGGTCGTACATTATTGAACACCGGTCCACGACGTGTGGGTCGAGTAACACCCGATAGAATTAGCTTCAAACTTTCAAACCAACGCAATGTACTGCCGTACAGCACCAAGTGCGGTAAATCGATCTCATTCTGTTGATTTTGCGGTGGCTTTGTTTCGAATGAAACCCAAATATTCAGATTCTGAGACCGAAACGCTCGGTATGAATCATGCACTTGGTTGCTTGAGTATTCGGGCAATTTATCCGGTGCACACGGTATCACAACGTGATGATCATTTGGATTACCCAAACACACCCAATTCAATTTGAATGTTAGCTTGAGATTTGGAAAATGCAACAAACGACAATCATCATAGCGCGATGCAGTTCGAACGCATATCTAGGATGGAAGAAAAATAAAAGTAAAAATTAAAAAAATGTTTATATGCGAAAAAAACAAATTAGATGCAAATAAATGGTTGCCTACATTTAATTCACCCTTGAAGATGACTTTAGCATTCGTCCAAATTATACCGCAGTTGTTCCACGTCAGTTCCATTTCTTCAGTCGTATTGTAAGGGTCGAGGGAAGCATGCAGCAAAACGGTAAATTGTTTGGCTATGATTGTTAGTCGACCGTGGTAAAGCAATCGCATTTTATCCCAAAATGGAAGCGTTGGACTTGGATCCCGCGACGGCGGAAATATTTTCTCAAAGCTTAAATTGCACTGAGCCATCACCTGAGAGAAACATTTAAGAAAAATTGTATAGAAAATCAATGGAAATGTGAAAATTTTTTGTAAAATGCGTAATCTTAAATTTAGAGTAAAAAAAGTGAACTTATTTACAGGTTCCCAACATGGTCCAAAGGCATAACTGCACAAATCCCAATCACAGTCAAAATCATGATAAAATTTCAAAGGCAACAAACTCCTCTGTATCGTATGCGTTCCGAATGGAGCACCAATCACAATTTCAACATCGCGTTTGGCACGTGGCGGTGCAGTTTGTTCTGCACCACATAAATGGCCAAATAAATGCATATTCTTCACATAAAACATTGGCTGTGGGAAGTCTCTGTGCGAAGGGAAAAAATTGTCAATATTTCGTTTCTTAAAAAAATTAGTTTTAAAAAAGAAATTTGTCAATAAAATTCACCTCAATAAAAATTTCCATTCCGTGCAGCTAAAGTTTATAGCTCGGCACCATAGAGTAACAAAATCTAAGCCATCTTCTGGCCACGGACTTTCAGCATCGATTTCTTTCATCATTTTTAAAACCTTAGCCGGTCCATGCAGCGATGGATCAGCCATAATCATAAACTCAACATCGGTGAGTGTCCATGCGAAGAGTCGGGTTCGTGTTGGGCCTGCCTCTTTAATTTTCTTCGATCTTTGGATGTAAATTTCCGAGTTTTTCTTCACTAAATTTGCATGAAGTTCGGCCAGTGTTTCGGCTGGCAGAAGTAAACGGTCGGCAACAATTTGTTGAATCTTCTGTTCAAACAACTGTTGTCTTTTAATACTTTCATGGTATTCATCCACCAATAGCACATAATTGTCGCGCAGTTTCACTTCGAATGGATCGTCGCTCAATTCCAGTAAAAATTCTTTGATTTGAATCACCATGTCGCTGGGCAACGGTGAATCGTCTGTAAATGGTTTCCGTTGGATTCCATGCAACCCTTTCAGCCATTTGATCAGCGAATTGAATTCATTTTGGAAAGCATCCGCAAAATCATGGTCATATGGGTAGATAATCTTAAAACTGCCTAACGTTGTGACCCATACTTTATTCACCGGGCACACAAAATGCTCGTAATTGGCTCGTTCCATGCGCAAAAATTCCAACGATGTGGCCGAATGCATGGATGCATCGGTGATGGTGAAAATGTGCGCATCATCAATGTTGATGAAAACTTTTTCAATCGAAAGCATTGTCTGCTCTTTGGTGGATAGAAATAGATTCTCAAAGAATATTTGCATCGAATGACGTTCCGACAACTTGATGCCAATCTCCAAATTGCTTTCCGCATAAATTTCAAATACCGTTTTCGACAGTCCATTCGATGTTTTTTCATCATCGCATGAATTGGTCGAGGTGTGCTCTGGAATCGCATTGAATTTCTCCGGTATGAAATCACGTAGAAATTGTTGCACATCCTGTAACAGTGTGAAGCATTGCATGTGAAGATTTGAATTCCACATTATCACCGCATCGTTCACAATTTGTATGTTGAATTGCTTGAGTGTCGGTAGTTTTGGTCGAAGTTTCATCAAATATTCCACACGAATCAATTTCATGTTCGTGAATAATTCAGTAAAATCGCTGAGATTGAACAACGCATTGGTTTGTGGTTCGATGGTATTTTTCACAGCCAAATGCAGTTCGTCAAGTTTAAAAACGGTGATTTGTTGCGTGCGTACCAATGACACTTCGGTCAGTCTGATCAAAATGCACGCATCGTGATTGGTAAAGAGGAACGATGTGACATCGGTTATCTTTGCATTTATAAGTATTTTTGGCATAATTTTTGACGAAGGCTCGAAACATTCGCCCATTTCAGGTAACTCAAATATTCGCCGTTGACCTGTTTTGAACCCGTACTGGCCAAGGCATTCTTTCAACCGAATCAACAGATCCGTCAAACCCGAACTGTACTCCAAGCGCAGCGTATGCAACGACAAATCCAACTTAATTGCATTGCCATAACTGCTGAGCTTCACCAAGCTGACGCCAACATAAATTGGACTGCCACGCGTGTGTATCTTTCGCAATGTATCGTCGCGTGTTGCATTGTTCAGTGACCACCAGAATGATTCGATCATCAGTTCGGTGCTCCAGTGTCGATTGCCGAGCAACATTTTCAGAAATTTATTCTCATACGCTGTGTTTCGTTTCCCTTCAAATTGATCTAGCAACACTTTCGTATGGCTCACACTCAACGATGACACTCGATTATTTACTTTTGTTAAAATCGACAAGCTAAACACTTCTGCGCAACATTTTATGATGATTTGATTCATTAACCACTCAAAATCACGGTCAGGCGTTCCACCAAATGAAAACCGTCGCTTTTCAAGCGTTTGATGATTTGGTAGAATTAAAGAGAGCGACTTTGATTGCGTCGACGGACTCGATGTGAATATATTATTATTCACCCAATCATAGATCTCCTCGTGATTATACACAAACTGAAATGATTTCATCTTGAAAAATGTGTTCAATACTTTGTGCTCGAGCTGAAAAAGACATAAATTAATTTAGTTTTGAAAATTGGAAAAGAAAATTGAACTAATCATCGATACCGTTGTGTTAATTGTAAACAATTCGATAAACAAAAGTTTCTCCTGCTGCGTATCAATTTCAAACTGCTCCAGCTGTACGGCTGCATACATAAATGGTAGTCGGAAGGTACTGTCCTCCGAATTGGTGGCGAACTTTCCATTCAGCTATAAAAATTGTTTCATTTTTTTACTGCTTCATTAGAAAAAAAAAATGTAACAATGAAGGACTAACCGTGAATGAGTCGAGTTTAGCGGTGAAATCTTCAGTTGAGTCATCTTTTACTGCTGAAAAGGCCGCATTGTCCACTTTTACCGTGAAATTCTAAATATTCAGAATTACGAATATTATTTTCCGATTTTTTGAATCATGTTTTTGTTAAATTTCTGGTCCAAAATTGATTTATTCGGCCGTGACGCATACCTTCGGTATAACTGGCGAAATTCTTTGGCATAATTCGTCGATGTTCAGTGACTGTGTTGATTTGCTGGTTTTCTTTTCAACTCTATTCAGGTGGTTAGTGTCTCGAATGAAATCATACAGACCATCATGGATATAGGTTTTCGTTTGTTTGATAACCAAATGCATTTTTTCCACAGCCAATGGTCCCGTTGCCGTTAGTTCACCGTCCAAAGCAATACCAAAACTGAGCTCAGCCAAGCAAGGTTTCAATTTGTGTGTTTCATACATGGATGAATTGTAGTGTCGGAAGAATTTCAACTAGAAATTGCAAATGGGAGAAAAATCATTAGAAATTAGCAGAGGAAATTCCTCAATTTTTTTTTTTACATTGAATTCATTGTTTGCCATTATTTAAAGTCGTCATGACATCTTATTGCATGAAATACATACCCTGGCATCACTGAGAGCAGCCGTAACTACCAAAGTCTTCAGACTATGCAAAGTGCTTCCGTCGAGATTTAAATCTCCAGCGGTTGCATGCAGGAACCAGCTCGGATTGAATGTGTTGTTCATCATGACCACAGAAATATTCTGCACATTCACTGACATGAACTAGTGCAAAAGAAAAATATGTGAATAATTTTTTCATTGATATTCTTCGCACAATCAGCCAATAAATTGACTTATAACGCCACATTACCTGTGCAAATTTGATGATGCTAGGTGGAAGTTTTTTATTCCGAAAATCACACACATTCAAGTTTGGATCGATAGCATCGTCATCGCTGACATGGCCTCCATTTGCATCCGAAGCAGTTGTCTCATTGATATCTTTGTTGACACGTATGTCTCGAATCGTAATTGATAACAACTTGCTGACCTCGGAATTGAAGAAGCTGCTTCGAATGGTGATTTCATCGATTTGCTGCAATTCAATGGCAAACATTAATACCATCATTTGAAAATACACATATTTAAATGCTTTGTTCATTCAACTCACAATCGAGAAACCATTCTTGATGATTTTCACAGCTCGCAAAGTGAATGGTAAACTAACTCGGCCGAATTTGATTTGGGTATTGAATCGTTTGATGAAAAAATATCCAATTATCTTTGGGAGCATCCTATGAAAAGAGAGAGAGAGAAAAAAGGTGCGTAGTATAATTAAAATTCATTGAATGATTTGCAATTTATTGCAATAGAATATCAAGGTTTACATACCATGTTATGCAGTAGTATATTGTGATGCAGATTATTCCCAGTAATATCACAGTATTCATCTTCGGACGATGGAGTCTCCTGTCTGCTGTTTTCGTTAATTACTATCGATTTATTTTCCGTCTAAATACTGAACCAAACCATCGTTGCGTGAATTTCGGTTGTCGGATTTGCTCTTTTGCTTCGGTGCAAAAAAAAAAGTAGGAAATGTATATATTTATGGATTCACCAACATATGTTGTGTCTAAATAAACAATCGCCTGTACTATTAGTGTCAAACTGTCAAACGTGATCTAATCGACAAAAAAAAACTCCGTACAATTGACAAGTAACGCAGTGACGTTTCCACACACAAACGTCATTATCATGTGTTGGATGAGTGTTATACACACCAACATATTGATGTGTACGGTATTTTCCAAACATACGTGATATATATATACATACCTCTCTCTGCATGGAACTTTTGTCACAATGTCTAGAGCAACAGAAAAATTAGTATGAATGAATGATGTCACAATTCGGTTAAATCAGACATTCCTATTCGTTATATCGAAATATAATTTTTTGTCACATTCATGTGGAATGAAATATATGATAATTTGAATTCTTTGAGAATTCAGTTGATTTTACGCAACGCGTTTTTTTTATTGATTTAAAGTGATATTAAAATTGTTGGTTTCGATTGAATTGACCCTCTTCATTAGGAAAGTTGAAACCAAATTTAAATTCTTTGCATATATTGGACTATTTATCCATCGTATGCTCTTTATCAACCAAAAACCGCCTACTAAATGCTTATTTAAAAGAAGAATACGATAAAATTGAACTGATTCATCCCAATAATGGTGAAGCGACCAAAAAATGCATAGTAAACTAAAATCAGTGTCCCTTACTGCCTATTGATTGATATCATTTGCCCACCGGCAAATCAATTGCGGCGCAAAACTTCGATTATGTCAATCAAACATCTCATGAGCTGCGTCATCAATAAGCAAATGCCACATATATGTTTTAATGCTTGGCATAGGTAAAGCAATTTAAATTTAACCATACAAACAATGCACAAATAAAAATAAATCATTTGTTGAATGTCAATGTCAATGTCAATATAAAAACGATTGCTTTCAGTTGCAAACAGCTGATAGAAATTGATAGAATCGATTTAGTCTTGGTTTATTTTTCCATCACGACGCAGCTGTAGTAAAATGGGTGTTTTGGGTTTAAAAACGTTTTTAGAGCGCGAAAAACAAACTCGCACGGTTAATATTGGCAATGAGATCAGCAAATGGAAGAGGTAATGAAAAGAAGAATAATAAAATCAAGAGAGTAGAGAGAAATTATATTTTTTGCTATGATTTTTATTTTCACTAATTAATTTCGCAGAGAAAATCATGGTCAATCACCGTCAGTGGTTATCGATCTTCTGAATTTGACCATTAGTCATTCAAAACTGGAATACGATGCCATTTGTGGTGGTCGTCATGAAAACGCGTTGGAATCGTTTGAAAAATTTCTAAAAGCATTGAAAGCCACCGACACTTTAATCATTTTCTTTTCGGCTCTAACCATTCAGAAGGATAAAATTGAAGAGTGGCTGAGTCGACGAAACCAAGAATTTAACTCGTACACATCCTTGTACTACTTGATTAACAATGGCAAAGGAATTGATGCGCTGATCGCGGATAATAAACTATTGAATTCAACGTTTTATGGCATTGAAATGATTGCAAGAAAATATGGTGAATTTTTCTATTCAGTGAAGAAAGAGTGTGACTTGGAAATAGCACAGTTTGCTAAAAATAATCAAGTGTTGGCGGTTATTTCGAATAATACGGACTTCCTTTTGTTTGATGGATCATGGCGACTTTGGTCGTCCGAAGATATTCGAATCACGCCATCAAATCAAATAAAAACCATTGAATACGATAGGAACGTGGCGAATATTTGCGAGTTGTTTCAATATCAACTGCCGCTATTTGCCACTCTCCTGGGCAATGATTTTACGCTGAAATATTATGAAGAATTGCAAGATTTTCATACCAGTTTGGGACCAATAGCGTACAAAGTTCATTGCGTTGCACGCTACGTACGCAAAGTTAGCAATATTGAACTATCTAACAAAGATATCGAAGAAATTGCCCAGAAAGTGTTCGGTAACGCTGCTTATGATAAACAGGAATTGATTAGAAAAAGCGTAAATTCGTACAATATTGATGCAGTACCCATAGACAACAATGATCCCAATGTAAAACTACTGTTCGACACTAACATGTACCGATCGTACTTGCTGAACGGGAATTCTATACAAGCTATTAGCTTGCCATTCTATGACATGCGTGACAAGCACAGTGCAAACCTATCGATTCTCCTTGCAGATTGGATCAAACGCAGAATTGGTGTGTTGAGACAGCATAATCGAGACAATTCATTTACATTCACGTTATTGGCAATGATGGATCCGGAAAAAGAATTTGAAGCTCATACCGAATACCCTATTTATCCCGATTGTAAGCTCCCAAAGTTTGAATCATGGATGAATTTAACAATACACAAAAAAATCCCGTTCATCTACATATATATTTTTCACAATTTCAGTCCCAGTTCCAGATTTGGAGAGTTTATATCTCGACAATGTGTCTGAAATTACTGAAATTAACTGGAAAATGCTCGGATGGATTATGTCTCTCTCTGACACAGAAGTTTCATTAGTGAGAAATTTACCAAAAGATTTCCTTATAATTAGCACCACTCTTTATGTTTTGGTGAAGGTATTCGTATATATATATCAAATTTATTTGCTTCAATAAGTTCTTAACAATGTACCGTTTCAATGAAAATAGAAAGATCTGATTGGCGCAGAAGAAGCCGATGGAATTTTGTATACTGAGAAAAAGATTCTTGATAACAAGACAACTGATGTGAAATACCCAGCGACACTCAAATCCAAATGTGTTCGAGCTGCTCATATCTACAATATTACTTTTTCACATGTGCGAGAAAACTTTGCGATCGCTGGTTTGATATCACTAGTTCAGGTGGATATAATTATTGGAAAAAGCATTCCAATAACAAATTCGGTATCAGCTTAATTTTATCTGTGTTTTTTTTTCTCGATTTCAGGATTTGATTCTACAGTTTGATGGAGTTTATTATCAAAAGGTGATGGAAGACTTTGCTAAAATCAACCAAGCGGAACGCAGAAAAGCGATTGAAAACTATCGAATTTATGCTTAGATTCATATGATGTCAACGTGTTAACTGTTTCTGTTTTATTTAAATAAAATTAATCATATTTCAAGGCAAACATGTCGAATATCTCCTTTTTTAGAAATTAAATTGGCCGCCTAAATAAATCCATAAAATAAAGATTCTTCAAAATTTAAATCGCGAATAAATAAACGTAGTTGCCTATGAAATCAAAGCAAGAATTTCAAAGTACAATTCAATCAGTATACCTTTGGAATTGAACTAAATCAAATATAAAAGATTGACCGTGAACGAAAAATAAAAAGAAAGAAAAAGAAAAATGGAAAAAGCAGAGGAAGTACAAGATGCGGAAGAGAATAAAAACGCTGAGCAAGTTGAAGAAACCAAAGAGGTTGAAAAAGTTGAAAATTCGGAACAAGAAGTAGCCGAACCGGTAAATGAAGAAGACGAAGAAAAACTGGAAGGCGACGAGAGTAAAGAAGACGGCGATGAAGGAGAAGAAGAAGAGAATCCAGAAGAATCGGAGGAATATGTAGAGCCTTGGCGAAGAGACGTGCGTATGTTGCACATTCGATCGATGGTGGAAAAGTTGGGAAATATCAAACCCGATCAATGGATTCGTATGATTGACAAAATTGAGAATCGCGAACCAGTTTTCGATTTTTTGGACAAGGTAGAGCACACAAAGCTACTATTTCTTAAAATTGGCGCAGCAATGATACCATCGTTGAATGGATTCCCAACTGATGTTGAAATTTCGAAAGGAAAATTCGTATATTTCCTACGGCGATCGAATCGTGAAGAAATTACAGAAACGAACTACAAGCAAGCAATGTTGGTTGGATCATGTTCAGACAATCCGATACGTGACTTTTCGATTTATGTGAACAATGCAATGGTGCCGCTGTTGATGAACCCAAAGAACCAGGGAAACTGGCCACAAGTGCTAAAAGACGAAATGCGGAAAAAGCTTCAAGATTTAAGAAACAGTATTACCGAAGCGTAAGTATAGTCTTTTCTAGAGAACAATCGCATTGATTTCTTCCATTGGCAGTCAATGATTTGGAATATTTGTATTTCTAAATCTAGAATGGGTGCGATTAACGATCGGACCGTGTTCCCGTTGCCCGTAACATTGCCAGCTCTCATGAGAATCGCACCCGAAGTACTAGAGCGTGGCGACATGAAGAATTTTACGCCAGCCATAAAGGAATCAATCGAGCAAATTGTGTTGCGTTGGAGCCGCTCGGTCAATGCATACGTGGCACGTTCATCGTACGACATTTTCAAGACAAAAAAATATGCGACGCCCGACGATGAGATGGAATTTTGGCGAGCACGGGTGGATAATTTGAAAAATATTTTCAATCAATTGCGAACGAAGGAAATAAAAACGATTGCTTTGATCTTGGAAAAAGTCGAATCGGCTTATGTCAGCCAAATGAAACGAATTTTATCGAGTGTGGCGTCGGCCTATGAAGAAGCATACGATATTGATTTGTATTTGAAACCGTTGCAATACCAATTGGACAAGATGAGATCCACCGAATTCTCGGATGCACACCATTTCATCGCACCGCTATTGCACACCATCGTCTTGATTTGGTCAAAGTCCAAACACCTTTCGTCCAATCAACGTATTGTTCATCTGTTCCAGTTGTTGCATCACAAGCTATTTGAATATGTGTGCGATGCCTTGAATCCAACATCTATTTTTGCTGGTGACATTGCTGACACCCTTGAAAAAATTGACAAAACGCTCAAAAATTTAGCTTATTACAAAGAAGTCTATGTTCAATATCGGACAACTTTGGATCAGTATAAAGCGGCTGCCGAAAATGCAGAGTATTGGACATTCGATCCGGATGAGATATTCGGCAATTTTGATGCGTTCGTGCAGCGAGTGGTCAAGACGAACGAAATGCTTCAATTGTTATTTGAACTTAAGAAAATGGAAGACACGGTTTTTGGTGGTCACACCGGCAAGCGTGTTACACAGACTGTGCAGAAAATAGCAGACAGCGTGTCCATTTTGACCGATTCCCTGAAAGACATCCAGTTCAATGTGTTCGATTTGGATGAGACCGACAATTTTGAGCGTTTAACGGTGAAATTTGGAAATGAAGTCACCGACTTTCAGCAAAGGCTAGCCAAAGAGTATGCAACATCATTCGATGAATGCAACACCATTTCGAAGTGTCTAAAATTGACTGTGAATCTTGGTAACACACTGCAATTGCCGATTGTAATGCAAGAACTTTCGCCGAAATTCGAAAGAATCGCTAAAATGTTGGAGAAAGAAGTTATTGACGTCGAAGAGCTGTTCAAGACACAATCACCGTTCTACAAAACAAAACCACTGGAAGAGGTACTTGATTTCCCATATATTTCCATTTTCATTAAAATCAAATCAAAAGCATACTTTTTTTTTCTAATTTTGTTCTGCGCAGCTGTTAATTTGGAGCGCAAAGCTGAAATCGCGACTTACAGAACACACCAGATACATGGACGCGCAACGTGTGAAGCTGTTCGATAGTGACTTCGGCCACTATACAATTATTCGATACTCAAAAATCTTGGAAGTAATTGAATCGTGGGAGAAAAAGCGTGCGAGAGAACAAATTGACCAGTATGATCGTCAAACCGAAGAAATTATGAAAGATTATCTACTGCATCGCAACAAAAAAGGCAAGCTGTCGATAAACGTTCGGCCGCAACTCGATTTAATATTTCAAGGCATCAATCGATTGACTTTGAACGGTATGCCTCTGGAGAAAGATGCACTCAAAGAGCTGTGGAAACGACGAGACGAATTGTGGAATTTGAAGATGAAATTGTATCGCATCACCGAATGGTATAATTTCACGCGATTCGATGTGCATGCAGTGGAAAAACGCCTGATTGAACCAAATGCCGATGCAATCGATCAACTGGTAGAAGACTTTCTATCGAAATTCACATGGAAGACCTATGACAATACAGCTCTTAATGAGTTGTTCAACACACTGGAGCATCTGTACAAGAGGATTGTTCGTGCACACGGCAACATTGACAGAATCAAGGCAAAAATACACAGTTGGGGTGATGTGCCATTCTTCGAGCGCATTCAAGAGAACGATAACTATTTACTGAACATCCAAAATCGCGATAAAATCGTCAAAAAACGATACAAACAATGCATTGAGACGCAGGAACTCATCGAAAATGTTATGCGTGAAAACTATTGCCTGTTCCAGAATAAATTGGTGACGTTGACTTCGGACGGTGATGTGGTTGTTGAACCGAACGTTCTCGAATCACTCGAAAAAAGCGAAGAAGAGCAAAGAGCATACAAACCCTACGAAGCGCATATCGATCAAATGGTTGGCGAAGAGGTTTTAGCAGCGGTTGTCAAGAGTTTGAAATATATCTACGATCAAATACGTGAACCGTCGCCATTGTTTGAGGTTTGTTTCTGTTTGGATCGAGAGAATCGAAAGTCCATTTTCCATCCCGATTTGGATGTCGATGAAAAGGAGGGTTTTGTTTCCTTTGTCACAAGCCTGATGGTTAACATTTTCGGCATGGCTGGTTTAATAAAAAGAATAACCAATGATCCGGAATCGTCAACGGATTTCACCAGTCTTCTCAAGGATAATCCCGTCATCGAAGAATATCGCTTGGATCTGGTGGTTCAATCGAAAAAGTCGTCCAAAGACGCCATAGCCAACTTCAAACAGTATGAAAAGTTTTCGTTCCTTTGGAAAATAGAGCAAAGCAAATACTTGGATGCATTTTTGAAGTATGGTCGCGAACTTACAGCAGATGACTTGGCAAAAATTGACGATGAATCTTTCAACGAAGAGCCGCAGAAACCATCATTGGAAGCCATTGAACATGAAATTAAGCGACATCGTGATCTCGTGCCGCAAATCGAACAGATACCCGAATTTGTTGACATCGAACCATGGTTCCGCGTAAAGACGCATCTATTCAAAACGAAACTCATCGCTGAGACTATGAAATGGATTAACCTGTTCATTGACTATCTCCATAATCATGTCGCCAATCGATTGGATCAATTGGAGATGTTCATATTGGATGCGAACATTGTATTAGCCGCCAGCTGCGATAAGAGTGAACTCGAGAAATTCCGAACGATGCACAATTTAATGAACGAAATCGAACGACAGGCCGAAGAAGTTGATTTCATGTTTGAGCCACTCAAAGCGGAAGTCATGCTGTTGCGCAAATATGATCATGAAATGGAAACAAAAGTGAAGGAGCAATTCGTTGAGCTGCCGTTGTCATGGATCAAACTGAAGAAACTCAAGAACATCGTACGAACGGACATTGATCCGGTGAAGGAGCATCAAATGAATTTGACTGGCAAACGTATCAAATTGTTCGGCTTGCGACTTAGAGATTTCAACAAACGCTTCCGAAGACAGGCATTCTTCAGTCGAGATTGTCAAACTGCCTACGAACTCATTGATCAAATGCTTGAGCAGATTATTAAGTACGAGAAACAGGCCGAATTGTTGGATATTTTTGCCGTTCTGTTCAATATCAATGTTGGTCCAAATCGTGCGATAATGCAAGAGTGTCGAAGAGACACAAAGGTGCTAAAGCAAGTGTGGGACTATTGGTATTCCATGCAACATCGCATTTATTTGTGGGAGAATACATTGTGGTCGAAAATTGACGTTGAAGCTGTTGAAGGCGAGTGCAAACGAATTGCTAAGGAGGTACGTGCCATGGATACCTGCTGTAAGCAGTGGGACCCATTTGTCGTTTTGGAAGGCGAACTGCTGAATCTGATGACATCATTGCGAGTACTCACTTCCATACAAAATCCGTCGATCAAAGAACGCCACATCGACGAATTGAGAGGCATCGTGGGCTACTATTTCGAAATCAACGAAAAGACCACATTCAATGACTTAGTGATGTTGAAATTGCATTTGTACGAAGATCAAGTTAAGGAGCTGGTTGATAAAGCAGTTAAAGAGCAAGCCATCGAAAAGGCACTGGTGGAAATCGTTAAGGTGTGGTCTGACATTGGCTTTGAGTATGAGCAGATTGGTAACAAGAAACTGTTGAAAGTGTCCGATGATTTTATGGAGTTGCTGGAGGATAATCTTACGCAGCTTCAATCGATGATGGACTCAAAATTCGTCGGCTATTTTTACGATCAAGTGAGTGAATGGCTGAAAAAAGTGTTCAGCGTGCAGCAGGTTGTCGAGCTATGGATGGAAGCTCAACGTAAATGGGTTTATTTGGAGGTGATTTTCGTTGGATCGGAAGATATCAACGAGCAATTGCCCGAAGAAGCGCGCAAATTTGCAGTAGTTGACCAAGGTTTTCGAAAGGAAGTCGAGATTTTGGAAGAGTCACGCACGGCGGTCGATGCATGCGGCAGAGAAGGCCTTATCGAATACCTCAAGTTCTTGGAACCAGAATTAGCCGATTGTGAACGTGCCCTGAATGCTTACCTTGAAACAAAACGTTTGGCGTATCCACGATTCTATTTCGTATCGACAGCCGATTTGCTGGACATTTTGTCAAACGCTACCAATCCGGAGTACGTTGGAAAACATCTGACCAAACTCTACGATTCACTGGCTAAGCTGATATTTAGAAGCGACGGTACTAAGCAGGCGTATGCGATGCATTCAAAGGAGAATGGCGAAGAAGTGGAATTTTTGAATGAATGCAGTTGCGAGGGGCAAGTTGAAGTTTGGTTGAATCGAACCACCGATTCAATGCGGGAAACATTGCACAACAAATTTGAAGGTACGCTAAATGTTATGAATTCTTATACTTTGAGCAAATTTGGCATCAATTTATAATTGTAGGTGCACTGAAAGCTTACGCTACTAAGCCACGACACCAATGGATTTTCGATTGGCCAGCACAGCCGGCTCTTTGCACGACACAAATCGTTTGGTCGCGTGACACAGATGCAGCATTTGCTGAACTGGAAGCTGGATTTGAAAACGCTCTGAGAAACTATCAGAAGATACAAGTTCAAATGCTGAATGCACTCATTAACTTGCTCATGGGGACACTAACCAAAGGCGATCGCCAGAAAATTATGACCGTGTGCACAATCGATGTGCATTCAAGAGATGTGGTTGCCAAGATGATTTCGCAGAAAGTTCGAACGCATTCATCATTCCAGTGGCAACAGCAGCTCAGGCATCGTTGGGATACAAAGGAGAACGACTGTTTTGTGAACATTTGCGATGCTCAGTTCCGTTATTGGTATGAGTACCTTGGAAATTCACCACGACTCGTTGTAACGCCACTAACTGATCGCTGTTACATTACTTTGACGCAATCACTGCATTTGGTCATGGGAGGAGCTCCAGCTGGGCCTGCGGGAACGGGAAAAACCGAAACGACCAAAGATTTGGGCAAAGGCTTAGGAATGATGGTTTACGTCTTCAATTGCAGTGAACAGATGGATTATAAATCATGCGGTAACATATTCAAAGGACTGTCTTTGACTGGAGCATGGGGTTAGTTTCATTTTTTTTACCGTTTTTCTTAATTCTTAACAAAGTTCACTCTTTTATATTTCATTTTGAATCTGGTCAACATTTTTTTTCTGTAAATATAAAGGTTGCTTTGATGAGTTCAATCGTATTTCGGTTGAAGTCTTATCAGTAGTTGCAGTTCAAGTAAAGTCAATTTTGAATGCGATCAAGGCAAAGAGAGAGCGTTTCAATTTCATGGGCGAAACAATTAGTCTTATACCTACAATTGGTATGTTTATCACCATGAACCCTGGATACGCCGGCCGAACTGAACTACCGGAAAATGTGAAATCACTGTTTCGACCATGTGCGATGGTTGTTCCAGACTTTGCGCTGATTTGTGAAATTATGTTAGTTGCTGAAGGCTTCCAAGAAGCACGTGTTTTATCGCGAAAGTTCATTACACTGTACACGTTGTGCAAGGAACTACTATCGAAGCAGCATCATTACGATTGGGGATTACGTGCCATAAAATCGGTGTTGGTTGTGGCTGGAAATCTGCGTCGTGGTGATAAAGATCGTCCCGAAGTGCAAGTATTGATGCGAGCTCTGCGCGATTTCAATGTGCCAAAAATTGTCACCGATGATATGCCCGTGTTCATGGATTTGATTGGTGATTTGTTCCCTGCACTTGATGTGCCACGAAAGCGTGACTTAGAATTTGAAAAATCGGTGAAACAAGCGGCGATCGATTTGAAATTGCAACCTGAGGACAATTTTATATTGAAAGTGGTTCAGCTAGAAGAATTGTTTGCTGTCCGACACTCGGTGTTCATTGTTGGTGATGCTGGTACAGCTAAAACATGCATCTGGCAAACACTCAATCAAACGTACAAAAACATGGACAGAAAGCCGCATTACGATGTGCTCAGCCCGAAAGCGGTTACAAACGACGAACTGTTTGGTGTTATAAATCGCAAGACTGGCGAATGGATTGATGGTTTATTCTCGTTCATAATGCGTAATCAATATGAAATGCCCGGTGATGGACCGAAATGGATCGTACTCGATGGTATTGAGAAAAATTTGGAAATTTGGACATTTGATTTTAAATGATTCTCTATTTTTCAAGGCGATATCGATCCACAGTGGATTGAGAGTTTAAACACACTTATGGATGACAACAAAGTGTTGACACTGGCCAACAATGAACGAATCGCGCTTAAAGCCGAGATGCGACTTTTGTTCGAAATCTCTCACTTGAAAACAGCGACACCGGCAACAGTTTCACGAGCTGGTATCTTGTTTATAAATTCAGCTGATGTGGGTTGGATGTCTTATGTTAATTCATGGGTCGACACTCGGAAAACAAACAGTGAAAAATCCACACTACGACGACTTTTCGATCAATACGTTCCAACACTCATGCAACTCGTGGCCACCAAAATGAAAACCATTGTTCCAATATCACCGATTGCAATGATTATGCTGATTTGTAATCTGCTCGAATGTCTACTTGACCCGGAGAATATGCCAAAGAAAGGAGTGGACGCATGGTATGAAATGATTTTCGTGTTTGCCACTATATGGGGTATTGGTTCCTCACTTTTCAAGGACACAAATTCTGATTATCGCGAAGAGTTCAGTAAATTCTTCCGTAAAGAATTCCAAACCGTTACATTCCCGCTGGGAGAAGGAAAGAACATTTTCAGCTACTATGTTGATGTTGAATCAAGAGAGTTTCGGCCATGGACTGACCTGTTGCCCGAATTTCATTTGAATGTTGATTTACCGCTTCAAATGGTTCTTGTCGACAATGAAGAGACCATTCGATTGAAATACTTTATCGAAATGTTGATTCGAGCACGGCGTGGCGTAATGTTGGTTGGAGCTGCTGGCTGTGGTAAAAGTGTTATCATGAATGGAAAACTGAAGGAATTGTCTGACGATTATTCGGTGGCACAGGTGCCGTTGAACTTCTACACCAGCTCCGAAATGATGCAATCCAATTTGGAGAAACATTTGGAACGACGAACGGGTCGCACGTATCGACCAATCGGACCGAAAGCGATGATTTACTTTTTGGATGACATGAACATGCCTGAAGTGGACACGTATTACACAATTCAAGCGCACACAATTGTACGTCAATTCATGGACTACTCGTCGTGGTTCGATCGAGCTGATTTCGTGTTGAAAGACATTCAAAAGTGCCAATTCGTTGGTGCATTCAATCCAACGTCTGGATCGTTTACGATTGACCCACGGTTACAGCGATGGTTCTCAACATTTGCCGTAAACGAGCCGAATGACACGCAAATCCGTAGTATTTACTTCAATATTTTGTCGCAATACCTGAGCGATCCGTTGAATGAGCTATCGAAAGGAGTTGTCGATCAGTGTGACGATATCGTTGATGCTTCCATTCGTTTGCATAAGAGAATGATTAAAAACTTTTTGCCGACCGCTCAGAAATTCCATTACTTCTTTAATATGCGCGATTTGACAAACGTTTTTCAAGGATTGCTATGGGCGACAAAAGAGTGTTGCCCGAATGTTGGAAGTTTACTGCGGCTGTGGGCACATGAATCGACTCGCGTTTATTGCGATAAACTCATCACACTTGAGGACAATGCACAATTTGAAGTTCAACTTAAAGAAACCATCGACGAGTCATTCGGCAATGTCAATTCTGACTCGGTGCTACAAAAGCCATTGATTTTATTCCATTTTGCGGAAAGTTTGAACGATGCGAAATATATGCCGATCAAAGATTTCAAAGGATTGAACCGCAATTTAATGATTGCCATGGAAAACTACAATGAATTCATTGGTGACATGAATTTGGTGAGTTAAAATATTTACATTTTCCTTCAATTATTGGTTTCTATTGATGAATTCTTTAAATGGTGCGTAATTTTCATTTGGTAGACCCTCTTCGAAGATGCAATGAGTCACATCACTCGCATCAGTCGGATTATGAACAGCGACAGAGGCTATGGCATGCTAATTGGCGTGGGTGGTTTTGGTAAACAGTCACTTACTCGTCTCGCCGCCTTCATAAACACATTGGAGCTGTTCCAAACGACCGTTCGCAAAGGATTCAGCATAGCTGATTTTCGCGCTGAATTGGCCACACTGTACATGAAATCTGGAATGAAAAATATCAACTGTTGCTACTTAATGACCGATGCACAAGTGGCTGACGAGAAATTTTTGGTTTTAATCAATGATTTTCTAGCAACTGGTCATGTTTCGAATTTATTCGCACCAGAAGAAGTGGCAGAAATTGCGAGTAATATGGTGAACGAAACAAAACAAGCCGGTATCAAAGACACGCCAGAAAATTGTTACAATTTCTTCATTGAGAAAGTTCGTCGAAATCTCAAGATGGTGTTGTGTTTCTCACCCGTTGGACCAACACTAAAGACACGTACGCGAAAATTCCCGGCTTTATTGAATTCAACAACGATCGACTGGCTCTTTGATTGGCCGAGAGAAGCTCTAAAATCAGTTTCCACCGGATTCTTGGCCAATATCGATGTTTTGCCAAAGCATTTAGTTGAACCAGTGGGAGAGTTCATGACCTTTGTACACGGAACGGTGAATGAAATTTCGAAAATATTCAATCAAAATGAAAAGCGATACAATTACACCACCCCGAAGACATTCTTGGAATTGATTGCACTCTACGATAAACTGATCAATGACAAAACGACCGAATACAAAAACCGAATTAACACACTTCAAATTGGTCTGCTGAAATTGGCGGATTGTGCGAAACAAGTCGATGGTTTGAAAATACAATTGAAGGATCAAGAGGTCGTTTTGGCGGCCAAATCAAAAGATGCCGATGAAAAGTTTGCTGCGGTGTTGGCAGAAAATGAGAAAATCCAAGGCGAACGGGACTTAGTGGCAGAGGAAGAGAAAAAAGTTGCAATCATTGAAAAAGGTGTGTCGGATAAAGCAAAAGTGTGTGCGGCTGATTTGAAGAAAGCGGAGCCAATCATGTTGAAAGCCATCGCTGCCTTGGATACACTCGATAAGAAAAATCTAACGGAGTTGAAGGCATTCTCAAGCCCGCCCGAAATTGTTGTTCATGGTGAGTGAAATGTTATGATTTTTATTACGAGAAAAAATCCTCTATAGATGAAGTAAATCAAATTGCTATTATTTTTCTTTAAGTTTGTTGTGCGGTTTCCGTGTTGCTCACACCGAAAAACAGAAAAGTCACACCCAAAGCCAAACGCAGTTGGAACGAGTGTAAGAAAATGATGGGCACAGTTGATGTCTTCTTGCAAAACTTGAAGAACTATGATAAAAAGAATATTCCACCGGCGGTCATTACACAATTAATACCGTATTTGAACATTCCCGGTTTCAACGGTGAATCGATCAAATCAAAATCACAAGCAGCGGCTGGTTTATGCGAATGGGTATATATTTGCCATTTGTTTATATGCACTGTTTAATTTGTATTTCACTTCCCTCCATCCACTAGGTTATTAACATCTACAAATTCTATGAAGTTTACTTGGAAGTGGGACCAAAAGAGAGAGCATTAGAGGCAGCCGAAGGTGAACTTCGTGATGCGCAAGCCTCATTACAAGAACTGACGGATAAATTGCTGGTGTTCCAGAGAGAGTTGGACGTTTTGGAAGGCCATCTGAATGATGCGATCAAAATGAAAGAACAGTGCCAAGCCGAGGCCGATGCAACCGCATACAAAATTGATTTGGCATTCCGATTGGTGAATGGACTTGCTTCAGAAAAAGGCCGATGGCTGGATTCGATTGAAAAGTACAAAGAATCAATCACGATGTTAGCCGGCGATGTGCTACAAATAGCATGCTTTTTGTCGTACGTCGGCGGATTTACAACATCCTATCGCTCTGATCTGCAAAACAATTACTGGTCTACAAAATTGAAGTCAATTCAACCAGCCATTCCAAATTCAGGTGGTAATCCGCTTGAGATGATTTGCGACGATGCGGTCGTTGCGCAGTGGAACAATGAAGGATTGCCAAAAGATAGTATGAGCGTTGAAAATGCCGCCATCATGTTGAATTCCTCGAGATGGCCGCTCATTATTGGTAAGTAACACTTAGTTTTTGTCTACCCATTCCAAAAACGAATGATTGAAAGTATAATTTTCTAATTGACCATCACCTGCTTCCTTCGGTTTAATGTACCAGATCCTCAACTGCAAGGCGTCAAATGGATTCGCAAACGGTATGGTGAAGATTTGGAAATAACGTCATTCAAAGTGAAAAACTACCTGGATGTTGTGGAGAAGTCAATTCGAAATGGTCAAACATTGTTGATAGCTGACATAAGTGAGGAGATAGACTCGATTTTAGATCCGTTGTTGGGCCGTGTGTTGGCGAAAAAAGGCACGATCATTGTGATAGGTGACAAAGAAATCGACTACAATCCGAAATTCCGGCTTCTTCTTCAAACGAAGCTATCAAATCCGCATTTCAAGCCTGAAATCCAAGCCCAAACCACGCTTATCAACTTCTCCATCACAGCCGATGGCTTGAATCAGCAACTTCTCGCTGAGGTTGTCAAAATCGAACGAGCCGATTTGGAGGAGCGCAAAGCCAATTTGACAAAGCAGCAGAATGAATTCAAAATCACTCTCAAACAACTCGAAGAAGATTTGCTATTTCAACTGTCGAACGCCGGTGAAAATGTGCTAGAAGATGAATCGCTTGTGTTGAACTTGGAAAAATCGAAGAAAACATCCATCGAGGTCGAGATTCAAATCGAAGAAGCCAGAAAGACATCCATTTACATCGACGAGGTCCGAATGAAATACAAACCGGTCGCTGAACGTGGCGTTATTTTGTACTTTATTCTCAATAACATGAACAAAGTCAATCCGATTTATCAATTCTCACTCAAATCATTTGTGATTGTATTTTTGCGCGGCATGATATTCACCGAACCCGAGGAGAATTTAACCAAACGTTTGAATGCGCTGCAAGAAAGCATCACCTATCAAGTGTTTATCTACACAAATCGGGCTCTGTTTGAACGAGATAAGCTCATGTTTACATCGTTGGTTGCGGTCCAATGCTTGGCCCAAGTCAACAAGGTCAGTCCAAAGGATTTGGATTTATTGCTACGTTTTCAGGCCGGCGAACCAGTCGATTCGCCTGTGAACTTTTTAACCGATATACAATGGGGCAGCATCATAAAATTGACAAAGCTTGAAACATTGGTCGGATTGGATGTGGATATTGAAACAACACCGAAGTTGTGGCGAGTTTTGTTAACATCATCACATCCGGAAAGACAAAAATTGCCCGGAGATTGGAAATACAAGAGTTTGATTGAGCAAGTTTGTATATTGAAGGCAATGCGCCCGGACCGTTTGATCAGCTCGATGCGTTGCTTCATCGAAAATAATTTGGGCACGAGATTCATTCACATTCGTCAAACCGGCTTTGAGAAAACATTCGAGGAGACCAGCAGTTCGATACATACTTTCTTCACGCTTTCACCTGGAGTCGATCCGATGCGTGACATCGAAAAATTAGGATTGAAAATGAACTTTTCATTCGATGCAAATAATTTGTACAGCATTTCACTTGGTCAAGGTGAGACACACATAAATTTTTATTTAAAATTAATTTTTTTTCATAAAATACTAATAAAAATGAAAAAAAATAGGTCAAGAGATTGTTGCTGAAAATGCACTCGATACTGCAAGTCAACTGGGCGGATGGGTCGTTCTACAAAATATCCATCTTGTAGCGAAATGGCTTCCAACTTTGGAAAAGAAAATTGAAACGATCACCGAAGAGCCTCATGATGATTTTCGTCTATTTCTCAGTGCGGAGCCAGCTGCTTCGGCCGAATACCACGTGTTGCCTCAAGGCATTTTGGAATCGGCGGTTAAAATCACAAACGAACCTCCGACTGGCATGCAAGCAAACATCCACTCGGCATTGGACAATTTCAATCAGGACGTTCTCGAATATTGCAGCAAAGTAACTGAATTCAGGGCACTTCTATTTGCCTTGTGCTATTTCCACGCTGCAGTTGTTGAGAGACGCAAATTCGGTCCCATTGGTTGGAATCGCATGTATCCGTACAATTTTGGTGATTTAACCATTTGCGTGGATATTTTGAACAATTACCTCGAAGCAAATAACAGCACACCATGGGACGACCTACGTTATTTGTACGCTTGATTTTTGTGCTTAATTTTATTGCACTATCGTATTTAATTAATCATTTCTTTAATTTTAATTCTATTTCTTTAATTCAAGGTTTGGCGAAATCATGTATGATTGATTTTTGTGGTTGATTTTATTTCCCAAACATATTTAATTTATATCGTTAATTTTAATTTTATTTCTTCAATTCAAGGTATGGCGGACATATTACAGATGATTGGTAGGTGTTTTTGTTTGTTTTCTGATATTTTCTGATCTTCCAAATTTCAAATAATCATCTTTTGTTTACGACAGGGATCGTCGCTTGTGCCGCACCTATTTGGAAGTGTATCTTGAACCGAAACTAACCGACGGTGAGCTGTACTTTTCACCCGGTTTCGCTGCACCACCGTGTCTTGAATACGATGAATACCATCACTATGTTGACTTGAACTTACCCATCGAATCGCCCGAACTCTACGGCCTGCATTCCAATACTGAAGTTACAATTTTAGCCGCCGAATCGCAGAGTTTACTGGAAACATTGCTCTATTTGCAACCGAAACGTGCGGAAAGTCAATCAGAAGAGTCGCAAAGTCGTGAAAGTATAATGCTTGAAATAATCGATGAAATTTTGGGCAGAGTACCGGGTGAATTGCCCACATATGAACTATTGGAGAATACGGAAGAGCGATCACCATTCACCATTGTCCTATTCCAAGAGTGTGAGCGCATGAACATTCTAACAAATGAAATGAATCGTTCGCTCAAAGAGCTGGCGCTCGGAGTGAAAGGCTTCCTTGCAACATCCGCCGATATGGAAGCACTGTCTGAGGCATTATTCATTGGAAATGTGCCTGATACTTGGACTCGTCTCGCCTATCCGAGTAATTTCAAACTTCAAGCCTGGCTCGCCAATTTGATATTACGAGCTAATGAGCTTGAAAGCTGGGCTGCTAATGGCGCTTTGCCACCCTCCGTGTGGTTAACTGGATTTTTCAATCCACAAAGCTTCCTCACAGCCATCATGCAGCAAACTGCACGCAAAAATCTATGGCCATTGGATAGGATGTGTCTAAATTTCATGGTTACAAAGAAGAAGAAAGATGACTTCAAAATAGCTCCTCGCGATGGAGTAAACTTACATGGTATTATTTGACTAACGATATGCTAAGTTTGTCTGAAAGTGAAGTAAATATTTTTTTCATTTTTTCTTAGGTCTATTTATGGAAGGCGCTCGATGGAGCCCAAAACTCAAATCAATCGTCGATGCCATTCCGAATGAACTGTTTCACGAAATGCCAGTCATTTACGTCACTGCAATCACTGTCGACAAAAGAGATTTGAAGAACGTCTACGAATGCCCGGTTTATAAAGGTACGATGAGAGGACCCACGTTCGTTTGGACATTCGACTTGAAAACTGTTGAACCGCAGAGCAAATGGATCTTGGCCGGCGTTTGCTTATTATTACAAAATTGAAATGTAATTAATTAATCGAATAAATCAATCCAATAGCATAACAATGTGTGTTGTTAGTGTAGTTTCCACAGATTTCTACACCTTTATTTGCATGAATTGCATAATATTACAATTGACTTCGCTAACCATCGGAATAATTAACCAATTCGTTTGAAAGAAAAATCTTCGGAAATTCGATATTTTCAAATATTAATTTTCAGTGTTAGTTCTTACTGCATATCTCTTAGCTGTTATGTGTTTTGGTGTGTTCACATTACATCAAATAATACTTGTTATTTAGCATCATCCACTTTGGCAAACAATTCAAAACAAAAAGCGATTGAATAGTCTAACCTTTCAATAAGAGCTCACATCACCATTATGTGAGATGCCCTCTTCTTTAGTAGCACGTGTACCTAGTGGCATTTCTATCTCACCAGACGCAAATCTCTATATTGGACCATCATGGGATCACATCTGATTCAGAATTTATCTGTGTGTCATTGATATTTTACTGTATTGCTAAACATTTGAAATTCGGTATTTTGGATTTGCGACATCCATTGATTTATAAATACGCACACAAGAAATGAATACGATTCATTCCAGTAAGAGTATGGAATCTATACCATGGATCGCAATTGCATTCAATCAACACATATGCATATAACTTCACATCATCCATCGCAAAAATATGCACTAAACGCGCGTTCATTGGTTCTTTGAAAAGTAAAGCTGTTTCTGTTTGGCTGGCATTTGAATAGGTCGGTATTTAGGCGCCACAGCAACATCCATGAAAGAGCAGAAGAGATAATTGGTGGATTTCGCCCCAATTTGAGTGCAAATATTTTTACCGATTTCGAATTTAGAATTGCGTGCATTTGAATGTAAAACCAGCAGTTGTAGCATTTGTTCGAACACAGAAATTGAAATAATAAAAAATATTGCAAATAAAAGACGCAAGTTTATTATCCTAACAACTTTGGGTACATTTCATTTAACTAAAGTTTAATTTGAATTGATATTTTTACGGGCAATTCTTCGAACAGAATTTTGTATTTGAGTGAATTTTTCTAGCAACAAAAACAAATAATAACAACAAGCGTCTAAAGACCATTAATGCCTTGCGGCGTCTGGTCCGTTTAGTAATGATTTTTCTAGCAGAGAAGAAAATAAATAAATAAACATTTATTCAACAAGCGCATTATTATTATTTAAGCGCATAGAAATTGTTGGCAGCTTTTGTCCTGGATTGCCTGAAAGATAGCGTTCATGTCATCCAGTGATTTTTGATTTGATTGTCTGAAACGATGGGGAGCGTGTTTTGTTTTCGTTTTGTTTATATCATTCGTATAAAAAAACAGAAGAATAAAAAAATGAAAAAAAATAAAAAAATTAAAAAGAAGGGAGACATACTCGTTTGAAATGTGCCAGAGGGCTTTGTATAGTGTATGAGCTGATTTGGACGCATTTTCCTCATTCACCGCAACGATACCGAGCTCACATAAATAGCGATTCTCACAACTGTTTGCTCCTGAATGGCTTCCAATCTGTCGCAGCTCCTTAGATCTTTCTAAGAACGATAAGTACTTTTGCTTTTCATGTGTTAATCGCTCAAATTGATTTCGGCCCGTATAAATATTCACCGGCGGTTTTGGTGTCACTGTCAGGTAGAATGGTGGTTTGGGAAAAAACGTAGGCGAATACGGTCTATAGCACATAAATGGATGGTGTGTACATGTTAAAATCACGTGTGTACTGTGTAAATTCCCGAAGAAAAGGAAACTTACGATGTAGAATTTGCGTTCACCAACACAACATTTGGTGCAAATGCGGATATCACCAGACCAATTGGTATGGCAGTTGCCAGCCATTTGAGCGCTGTATGCCAAAGAACGCTGGAAAATTAAATATTGATTAAAGATTGATTGTTCGATTCATTATTATGATTCAAATATTTTCGCATCTCTCAAAATCGCAACTCACTCCTTATTAATCCGTTGAACGGGCGCTAAACTGTCTTTTGCATTAATGTATTCTAATTTGGTGTCGTTGTGCATGTCAATTGGCTGTGCAAAAGCTTCATCGGGTGAATATGTTGGAAATTCGGACGGTTGCACGGATGAATATAAATGTGCCGGTGTATGAATATTTTCAAACACATATGGATGATAGACTGGTGTCGTCAACGATGGAAACGTATTTGCTGAAAAAGTAGACGAACTGGATGTCGCTTCAGTTTCGTATGACAAAATTTTTAGATTTTTATCGACCGTATTGTTCAAGTTGACATAATTTCGTTTGTGCGAAATGCTCGGCCGTATTGTTCTCCACTTAAACTCCCGTTCAGCATTCTCGTATGGAATAGGCCATGGTAATTTGTCGTTTTCAGTGAGCACTGAACCACCGCGATGAACAACATCAGCTGGAGTTGTTGATGACAACGACGACGAATACTGTTCAATGCCATCGTTGAACTTTACATAATCTTTTGCATCGTATGGTTCGTGACTTATGTTTGTCGCTAAATTGCTATGTGACTTGTCACTCGACTTGAATATGGGAAACTTTTTTTTTTCGGAACATTTCGTATTTGAGCGAGTGTGCATGAAAACAAAAACGAAATTAGTCAGAGCATATTTTCTTGTGTGTAATTTTCAAAAAGAAAAACAGACATTGTCGTGTCAACTTACTGGAGCCACGTAACGATGGTTATTAATTACGAAGTTTTCGTTTGATTCCGACGATTGGCTTGACTCGACAATGAGCTCGGGTGAGGGTATGAAATTCTTTGTTGTTTCATGTTTATGTTTTGGCGGTTGCCAATTTGGTGGGCCAATATTTTGCTGCTGTCGTGGCGTAGATAAATTTGTGTTGATGCCATCGTTTAGACCAAATAACCACGCATTTGTCACGCCGACATTACCATTCAATTCGTCACTATATTCGAGAAAGAATTGGGATAATTTGCACAGCGATTTTATAAATCAAGCGTAAATAAACGTGGTGAAAAACAGGGAGTCAGGCGGGAGATAGTGTGCGAGAAAATGAATGTGTTGGATAGTGGAAAATGTGGTATGGTATCTATGAGAAAAACCTACTGCGTTGTCGTATTTCTCATTGCAATTGTGGCTTGAGTTGTAGAGTGGCCATGGCCATGGCTCGTGGAATTTTGTGTACTCGTACTTTTTGATGTATTATTTGATATCTTATCGGGCGAATTAATCGCAGTTGTCAGCAATGCCATTTGCGTGGTTGGCGTTTCATTTTCCTCCTCATGTACACGGATGGCATTTGTTCCAATGAATAGGTAAATAACTTGGAGCACCACAATAATTGACCCAATCTAATTATGCGAATAGAAATTGAGTAATTTCATTTGTGTGATTCATTCAGTTGTATGCGATGAGGGCCACACCACACCAATACACAAAATATTATAGAATAAAAACCATCATAACATATGTAGGCAAAATAATGGAAAACCAACCATTCGCATTTTTCATCAAGTGTTCTCGATTGTTCGAATAATGGCAAAACCCAATTTGAGCACATGGGTTTAATCGATCGAACGCAATAGAATACCATACACACACACACAATCACCGCAATGTCGAAGAACAAAAATGGAAAAGTATCCAAAACTGATAGACACCGACACGAAACAGCAAAAATAACACTCGAAACGAATATGAGAACGAATTAAAATAACAACATCGAATGAAGGTGACAAACTGAAATCGGCTTATGGGAAACCCAGATATTTATATATGAAAAGAAACATGAAAACCCGGATGAGCAGCAACATAAACAACACACATGACGATGTTACATACCACATACCATCCAATTTGTCTTGTGCGTATGTGTGTGTTTCTGCTTCAAATAATTTGCAATTGTTAATCACTGAATCATGTTGACAATCGGAGCACGCGACCATCCAGCCACCAGGTACCACATTGCTACTGTACACAAAGTCAGTTGAAAGTATTCGCTACATTATACAATACGTTTTTATTTTCTGTACGAATGCAGTTTAAATTTGTTCATCATTTCATTGTGTTCTTCTGGTGGTGTATCTGTTTAGCATTTTGTGAAATAAACAAAGAAATTGCTCATTCGATGCTATGCGACACTTCATATTGAACGCTTCAAGTGACGAAAACAATACTCCAGGGCATATTGAGAGAAGGGAAAAAGGTGTAAGATACGTTTAAAATGTCATAGAGTTGTTGTTGTTTAATAGAAAGTGAAAATTACAGAAAAGCGAGCAAACAAACGATTTTAAAAACTTAGTGTGTATAAAATTCATATCCCATTGTCATTGCATTATTAGCGTTTGTTCCGTGGAATCAATTTGAATGGGAATTCCATCAAAACTTGTACATGGAAATATGCAATTAAAAGCTTACGCGAGAGTCCCGACGAGAAATTTGCGGTAAAATAGGTGTACGCCGACATTCCGTCGCATATCCGCGGATACTCGCAATGCGAATAGGAATCCACAATAAAAGTTGCCGCAAAATGTTATCGCTGAATACCCTGCGACTATTCGCGCTGCGAACAACAGTACAGTTCCAACCTGAAGTTGGCTGCGCATGACATTTCAGAGTATTCGCAGGGTACTCGCCAACTATCCGCAATGCGATTATTCGCAAATTTCTTGTCGGGAGTAAGATGTTTTTAGCTCAATACTCTCAAAATGTCATGATCATTAAAATTGGATTTGCGCCAATAATTGTGAATCGGTTGTGTGTAAGACACATGCATAAATGCATCAACGCTAGGCTAACTAAATCGAATTCCCATCGATCGACTTCAACATCGTTGATTTCGAAATTTAAAATATTAATAGATACCCAATGCGAAGTGCATCGTAAGACGAATGTAATCCTGTTCAGAAAGCCAAATTTGCATGTTTCATTTATGTAATATCTCTTTACGCGTGGGCGGATCAAGTGATTAAGATCAATTGATCTTAATCATTTACCCAAAAATCGCTGTGATTAATGTGACAAATAATTACTCAATCATTGGGCCAAATGATTAAGTGATCAATTGATCAGATTAATTAATCATATGAAAAAATCAAAGAAAAAGTTTCATTTAAAAAACATGTCGATTTTTGCCAGACCTAAAAAATATTGAACAAAAATGGGTATGATTAATTAATCTGATTAATTAATCACTTAATCGCAAGTTAATCATGATCAACGAATGATTAAGTGATTAATTGTCACGTTAATAATTTCACCGATGATTAATTGATCACTCACTTAATTGCAATTCGCCCACGCGTACATCTCTTTGCTCCACTCGGATCGTATTGGTCTGTGTATATATTGTTGAAACATCATGCTAAGCCACATGATATATAGAGACATAATTAGCTAGGGGTATTTATGTCAGTTAAATCTATCGAATTTGATCGTTCCATTGCGATTTTGTTACGAATTCGCACATTCTCTGCGAATTCTTTACGAATTGTTCACATACTCTGCTTTGTCACTGCGAATGACAACTAAGATGGCGCCAGCTGTCAATGTTTGGATTTGACCAATTCGCAAAGATTTCGCAAAATTCGTGAAATATTTGAATGAATTTGAAGTCAAAACGCGTGCGAATTGTGCGAATTCCTGTCAATTCGCGAATACATAAATTCCCTTAGATAATTAGTGACTAGATGTGTTCAGGAATGAACAAGTTCAGATTATAAGAAGAAAATGGTCATCATCTTAGATCAATAACGGAGCAACCGTATGCCAGAATATTACATAAATAGACGCGATGCAGCGAACAAATGCTCAGTTTTGAAGTAGATTTCGGCCAGCACGACCTTTTTCCGTTAAAATATAATCAAAGTAGAAAAGAAAATCAGCGTATTGGTTCATTTCAAATTGGTTCAATATTGATATCTCAACGAAATGTCTTTAAATATCTCAAATTTAGGTTGCATTCGTAACAAGCAGCAGTGTTTTTTTTTTCTCGCGAATAAATGGTTGTTGACAAACATTCAATGTTTGCCACTCATAACGTAACGCATAGTTTTGGATTAAGAAACCAAAACATTTTACTGCATCGTTTCCAATTTTATAGACCGACACATTAATAGGTACTTGTAAATACACGAGATGTGTGCATTTTCAACTCTTCGTTTGTTTTCGTTCCGGTTCTTTTAATTTATCTCTTTTTTCTATTTTGTATAATTTTACTTCTCTCTTCTATTTGATTGATACTTCGGTGTGTTTAACGATAATTAATTCGCAGTCATTGAGGTTTTCCCCCAAACGACATGCTGTGGACAAATGACAAAACACAAAGAAGATGAAACAAAGAAATAAAAACGAAAAACACAAAATATTTTCTTGGAATACTAAATAAATTCCGATTCGCCGCAGAATTTTTGTGTTTACTTTATACATACACAAATGAAATGGAAATACAAGTGCGTTAGTCATGGAAATCGACAACAAAATAATTATAATCAATTTTGGTTCGACGTCAAGGCGATAACATTAATGAAATGACTCTTGACTACATATATGTACGTAATGAGTTCAATCTAAATCTTCTTCAACACGCACTGATGTCATTTTTTCGGTTTTGGAAACAAACAAACGAAAAATCAAAGGCCCAACAGCTAAATACACATCACATTAAATCACATTAACTTACTTCATTCGTCTTTGTCAATACCAGAATATAAAAATAAATGTCAGAATAATCTTTGAAAAAGAAAACGAGAAATAAACAGAAAAATATGCTTCGAATGTCATAAGTTCTTTTGCAAATCTGTTTTTCATTGGAAGTTGAATGAACCCATTAGCGCCCAACGTCCTATTTTTAGGACGCGAAATTCGTAATTTTTTTAGTGACTTTTTTTACATTTTTCTTTCTTTCGGCTAAACGGTTTGGAATTTTGGAATGAAATTTTGCAGGGTGGTTGCCAAATGTCCAGAGAGAATTTTCCGGATTTTCCGATTTTCCATTTTCCCGGAAAACTCGTGAAAAGTCGATTTTTTTTGATCAGAATGACATGAAACTTTGGGAAAATCATATTTGGCCAAAAAATAGAATACCCACAAATTTTCATCGGAAAATTCGAAAAAAAAATTTCCTTGGGCGTTAATGGGTTAATGCTATTCCCTTGAGTTTCCGTCGATGAGAGAACATTTCCTACTCTTTGCTCAGTTAAAATTGAACATGGACACATTTTCTATTGAACCCATTGGAAATATATGTATTTACTTTTTCGATACATGTAATCGAAAGCCATAGTAACGAACATTTCGTCAAAGTTCTTTTTCGTTGAAACGCATGACCTTCTTGCTGAGAGCGAATCTATAAATAACTTTGTTGTCATTTTCACAAGACCAAACGGTTTTCCCTATTCAGAACAGTAAAAACACAAATTCGTTTTCTTTTCCGTCTCTTTTTCGAAATTAAACAATACACATACTATTTACCATTGCGATGAAGTTTTATTTTCCATGACAATTTAACCGAGAGCTATTTGAAATGACTCATCCAAAAACCGTTTGGGAAAATTTTCGGTTTTCCGGTTTGTTGATTGAGGCTTATTCTGAAATGGGCAACAAAGGTATTTAAATTTAATTCAATTCTATGGATGAGATTGGGAGAAGTGTATGTTTTTTGACAACTTTTTTTTGGATGGAGTAGAGTATGTTTCACTCGTAGCTTCTGGCGAATTTCATTTTTTAATGACAGGAAATATCAAATTGGTATCGTTGCAAAGTCTGTCGAACATACACCACTCTCAGTACCACCCATGGTAGTATGCATCTCTTCTTTTCCTTGAAAATCCGTTATCCTTTCTCAATAAGAATTGTCGAGAAAATTTAAGTTCATGCAATGATCGACCGTTTATGAAGAGAATTCGCAGCCAGATATTGGAAGCGAAGAAGCAGCTTTTTGAGAAATGTGATGCTCTGTATGCAGAATCTCCATGAAAAAGGTTTTAAATGCCAAGTTTTGCGTATAAAGGTGACGGAGTTTTTAAAAATATCTCGGAAAAATACGGGCTAATCGATTCTATAACGATCTAATTGAACTTTAAGATAATCCAGAATTTGTTCAAGGTAAGCTTCTTTCAACAATTGCACGATACTCATGGGAAAAATAAAATCCGGGCACAATTTCTTGGGTTCTGTACAAACCATGGGAAAATATGATTACAATATCAATTTTTTAGACAACTCTTAAAATTGATATGATTTCCAACGAGTTTGTTGAGTTCATAGTTGTGTATTAGTTGTTTGCCGAACAAATGTAAAGTCTAAGTTCATTTTACTTGGTGATACTTATTGAATGATATTTTTAGAAGTCTGCAGCTTTATGCCGATGACTCATCGATAACATATGTATCTAATGACATGATATTCATAAAATGATTATTGAAGATCTTTTCAAGATTAGTGAATGGTTCAAGAATAACTCGCTAGTCCTACATGCGGATAAAACTAAATTCATGATCTTTAACTCAAACCGTAAAGAAATTCGCAATTTTCCTGATATCTTTCTGAATCAATCCAAAATAAACAAAGTCGATAAGATGAAATATCTTGGATTAATAATTGACAAAGATTTGTCGTGGAATTCACATATAAATTTTGTTTCAAATAAAGTCAGTCCATATGTGGGTGTTTTCAGAAGAGTCTCTTTCATTTGTGGTGACAGTGTTAAACTAATGCTTCTATGTGGGCAATATTAGCACCAAAGATTTATACAAACAATATAATATAATTAATTTTGAAAGTGTAGTCGAATATGAAATTAATACAAAGAACTTCAAACAGCTTTACACTACTCTCCACTTCCATTGGATTTCAACGGTCAACGTGTATCTAATGTAATGGGAACTAAATGCGAATGGAGACGGTGTGTAAAAAATAGTGTAGAAAAACTTTTTGAATGGGGATGGTTCTTTACACAAAATTTTAAAGAAGGAACTTAAATGTGATATTGATACACACGGAAGAAAGGTTTAAATATTCGCTACGCCCAATTTTTTTTCCTTGAAAAAAACCACAATTTGAGATTTCTCAGACAAAATTTATTTCGGCGCCTCCATTTTACATACATTATGGAGGTTCGAAAAATAAATTTTGTCTGAGAAATCTCAAATTTTGGTTTTTTTCAAGGAAAAAAAATTGGGCGTAGCGATTATTTAAACCTTTCTTCCGTGTGTGTATCAAATTTAAAAATAGTATACATGAGTATAGTACAAGACAGGCAGGAGACATGCATAAAATTAAGACAAATAATAAATTTGGCTCATTTTCATTTATAAACCGTGGAATATCTATTTACAATAAATTACCTTCGCCTTAAAAAGCTGCCAAAAGTACTAATATTTTTAAGAAACATTTGAAAAAAATTCTCCTTAATAAACAACTAAGCCATGACTTACTTAATAAGAAACCAAAGAAAAAAATGTATGTAATTCTTAAGAAAGTATAATAGAATAGAGAAATTTTTTTCCCTAGTTTGTAAGGGCGTTCATGTTACAAACATTTGCCGTAAATAAATAAATAAAATAAATACACACGTTTTGTAAAATGAGAACGATACTTTTTTGTAAATTGATGAAGCAGAGACTATTGATATAGGATAAATTAGAACATTAAGTGGAAAAAGAGTTGATGATATGCTATGCAACTTATGAGGTGAGCCAACCAGCAGAGAACATCATTTAAAATGACTTTTAATACCTCACATCATTTTGACTCACATAACTTGTGAATATAGATCACATTTTCACTGTTATTGAATTAAAACGAGGAAAAAAGAAGAATGTGCATGTGCAACATTCCAAAATTGGATCAACAGACTCCCACATAATATTATAAATCAACAATTGGTTCTTATAATTGTATCATCCTTTTTTTTCTCTTCTATTTATCTATCACAGATTTAAAATGTGCTTCGTGCATTGTAGTCGTAGTCGTCGTCGTGCATGCTTCTCCAATTCACTGAATGGATAAAAGTATTCGAAGGGGTCTAGTGGCGACGCCAGAAGCCATGCGCAATGGAAGAATCTAGCTGAAATGTATCGGCTTCAGCATGTATATTCAGCAATTTTCCGCTAATTTTCCGTTCTCTCAAATTATTAACTTGCCATTTAAACGCTTATACTGTATGGATCTAAACTTAGTTGAATGGTAGCACGCAATGAGATTACATCTAATTTGCGGCAAACATAGATAAATCCCATCTGTTTCTAAAGTACTTGTCTGGTGTTACGAATTTCGGCGCTAAATTAAAACCTATATAATTCCCTGTTCGTTGTTGTATATTACATTGAATATGAAAACGATAAAGTGGTTTCAAAACAAACTCTAAATTCATGTCAACAAAAAGTGTTGAGAAAATGCTTTATATTACATATTCCACGGTTGAATGATCATTGTAATTAAATTTCAATACGAATGATTGGTCAAAGAGACAGTTTTTGAACAATTTTTTGTTTCAAAGGTGATTTTTTGTTTCATCAAATTGAATTTAACCAGTTCTGCAAATACTTTGGTCAAAATAATTATTTATGTATTTAATTCATATTTGAATATTAAAACCACAGAAAGCGATTTTTGTTGTTGTTGTTGATATTTTGTGATTTACTGTGCAAACTGTTTGGCGAATCTGTTGTGATGTTCAATTTTAGAGTCCTGCATTGCGATTCCGGCGTAGTTTCAAATTGCAATTCAAAGTTAGTTTCGTACGAGAATAGATGGATTTTGTAAAAACATGCAAAATGTATCACAAGCAAAGTCTCACTTTTTTTTATAGAATCTCGAGAATATACAGGCATTCAAGATACAACAAAAATATATAATAATGATGTATGGTTTCATATGAGAAGACTTGCATTGATTGAATAGACTAGATTGTTTCTGAACTAAATGGCGAACAAATATTGCGGTTGTTGTTGGTGTTTTTTGTTTTCGTTGCTACTACTGTTACTCGTTTCAGTTTGATGATGCCTTTTATTATTTCTGTCCATTTCAATTAGCTTGTGAGAAGAATTGCGTTTTATAGCGACCATATTTCATACGGTGTTGGCCTTAGGTAAAGAAAAAAAAAACTATTTGTGAATTAAATGTGATCGTGAAATGTGTGCGATGGGAAGCCACATGGCAAATACTCAAAATAGAGCAAGCATTAACAAACACGGAGAGGGAGAGACAATCAAAAATAAATCGAGTGGATGCGAATTGATTTTGATTTTTCACAGTGCCAAGCACTGGAACCGACGATTTAGAATTTGACTTTTGTTTTGTGTTTTTCATCGATCATATAACCGACCACTGAAGTGAATAGAAGAACACTTAAATGATTCAACTGCCTCGAAATGAAAAAAAATAAAATCGAAGAAAGAAAAGAATAACGTTGTAAGCAAATAAAAAAACTTTAGATGGTTCCACATGGGCGGCAGAAGCAGCATTTTGATATGATAAAATCAACCAGAGCAATCCATAAAAAAAAGAAAAGCTTACAGTAATCGGATGTTAGCATCCAGCAAATAGGATAGAAAAACTTTACGATTTGTTTTGTGTGTGAAACGAAAATCAAAAGTGGATAAACACCATCGCTACAAAGTTTTTTTTTAAATAATTTATTTGAAAATTTATTACGCAGCATTCCGTTTACATTAGATATGTATATATTGAACTTTCAAGTAAAGTCGGCCAACGTTACGATACACACATAGTCAACATTAAAAGTGAAGAATAACAAACAACTCATCGACTCAAAATTTTCGCTACAAACTGTTGTTGTTGTTGTTGTTTTTATTTGATTCAATTTCGCTCGGTTCAATTGGATCGATATGCAGGAGTGTAATGAAATATAATTAGAAGAGTTTTTATTGGATGACCGTCCATTCCGCGACGCCAAGCTCATTATGGCGAGAAAATGGAAATTGAAAGACGTCTATGAGATACATAAGTGAAGGCGTGAGAACAATATGCAGCGATGATGGACGATCAAGCGTTTATATCGGCAATATACACTCAGTGTGATGGTGCTAATCATTTTCGAAATGTGTGGCTATATGTGGAGGAAAGGAGAAAAAAAACTCATCTCAACTCTGAGCTCACATATCAAAAGTACTAACTGTCATCATATTTAATATGCGAACCGCTTCGCAAGAAATCAAATAGATTCTTCCAAGAACGGGAAAATCCTGAATATTATTTAATCTTTGTTCGAATCTCTGGAACAATTTCTGTATAGGTTTAGAGTGGGTTCAATATTCATGCGTGATTTGCTTATGATGACCAATACTGGCCGAAATAATCTGTAAACCAATATGAGCAACGAAAAAAAAGAGGAATCTTTATTTGGTTCTCATATCCTAATACTACATGACATATGACACATTCTGTTTCCTTTCTACACGCATGGACGTCGGTACATTTCATTTCCTCTCTTCGGCCCAAAACGAATTGATTTAGCCTGTTGCCACATCTTATGCACACAAGCGCACGTTCGAATCAATGCTCATCACTGGTGCTCTTTTGAAAAAATGATGAGATGAGATGAGCAAGCAAGCGTAAATTAAACCACCGATATAAAGCAAACAGCCAACGAAATGGTACCAAGTCAAGGGATGGTACTTCCCAATGCGGTTGTTTCATTTTTTTTCCCGTGGCGTAATTTAAAGTTGGTATTTTATCAGGATTCCATTATCGTTCGAAATGCAAATGTGAAGCGACTCCGAAAATAGATCAAAGCACATTTCCTTTTATAGCTCGTTCCATGCACCAGGCAGATATTCCCAAATTCAATTTCCGTTTTATATTACATGTCATTTCCCATAAATTCGTCAAATTGCGGTTTCAATGAAGCTTGAGCGTTCCTCATTACGAAACGGTAACTTAAGCATTGCACAATTTGAAGGAATTGATGAAGGAGGGAGAGAGAGAAGGCCATGGTCCAGATTTTTTCTTTCGTTTTTTTTTCAAATATAGGAACGTCGAAAAATAAACACTCATCACAGCGGGTCCATACCGATTTTTTTTATGATGTTGAAAGATTACAACATGAAAGATTTGCATTTGAAGTAGAAAAAAGACTTTTTTTTTTAGTGAGATGCCAAAGCGTCGAAACGTGCAAACAATAAATCGTATTCGGCTGGTTTTGATATTCTTGTATAAATTATGCTTATTTATAAAAATGAACTAAAAAAAAACGCACACAATCATATAATCTCTAAATTCATGGTCATTCAAGTACATCAATTTTATTTCCATCTCTTTGCAGAGAAGAAAAGGAGAGTGAGATTGAAATAGACAGAAGAAAAGAACCGAAAAGGGCAGCAATTGCCATACAATCATGTAGACGATGTCTGTATTTTACGTTCGTAAATGCTCGCTCAATCAACAAGAGAATACACGAATCACCGGTAATCTCAACAATGTGAAACATGAAACTTTCAGTAGATGACTTTTCACCAGCGAATTTTTCCTAAAATTGTATCATGTGATTGTGTAAAACAGAGTGTGTGTGTGTGTGTGTGTGTTCCATACCCCAAATAAAAAAGTTTATAGTGATATGAAGTGAAATAAACCGAAAGCATTTGATTGTGTAGACATTTTTAATACAAGCAATTCGATGGAAACCTACAATACATCATCGACAGATTTATTTCTGTTCACTCCATCATACAGTTCTGTAATCAGCAACAATATCAGCGCCAGCAACAACAACATTCTATTCAATATAATGAATCATAGCAAAATTAATCCATACGATGAGCAGCAAATTGTTGCAGGCATGACCAATGCAACCATATCCCCTGAACCAACCACACAAATTTATTGTAATTTTAAGGCATTGGCCGGATTTTTGTCCGTTTATTTCACGCCCGTAATCACCATCGCTGGCACAATCGGAAATATCCTGTCGGTGATGGTGTTTCTACGTACAAAACTGAAAAAACTATCATCCAGTTACTATTTAGCATTTTTGGCCATATTCGATACGGGATTTTTGTGGTGCTATTTCGTCGAATGGCTGAATGTCATCGATATTGATTTGTTCAAACGTAATGGGTTTTGCCAATTATTCAATTGGTTAACAAATGCATGCTCGGTGTTGTCTGTGTGGTTAGTGGTTGCCTTTACCATCGAGCGATTCGTGGCCATTATGTATCCACTCAAACGTCAATCAATGTATACGGTGCGAAAAGCACGGGTAATTGTTTGTGTTTTGGTCATATTCAATGCGATCAACAGTACTCCTCTGCTAGTGTTCACTAGCAGTGTACGCGTGGACGATGTCGCCTACTGTATAGTCGATGCAAATTACACAGTAAGTAAACGAATTGTATTGAAATGCGTATTATTTGATATGGTAACAACATACCATGGTGTTGTATGGCAATAAGCTTAATTCAAGAAGGAAAAAAAAAATTATTCACCACCAACAACCTCAAAATCACAGCTGGAACAAAAAACATTATTCATTGCGAGATGATGAATAGAAGTGTACTGAAACAGAGAGCGATTGTTGAGAAGTTCTATTAAAATTATCTTGTACAAAATGTAATTTGTCATGCTCGAATTTTGAGCTTCCAGCTTTTTTTGCACTCCGATTTCGGAATAAATCACGCGCGCGATGTTTATTAAATTCCGTTTTATGCTATAAAACAATGAACCAAATGCTATTTAATCAATTGTATGCAGGATGGAGGACCAAAATTTGAAGAAGGAAAAAAACTGTGTAAAAAACGACAAAATGCGACCCTCTGAATCGCTCTGAATTTCAGTTCAAATTGAAAACAATGATTTTTTTTTGTAGTTTGTAGAAGCCCGAGAAAAAAATTCGCTCAAAGTTTCATTTTGGTTTCCTAGCTAATTAGACATTGTGGAAACTTTATTTAAAACGGTGTTCATTTTAAATTCATGGCATTCCATGCTTAATCAAAACTTTTCCGTGGTTAGAGCGAGTACAAGAGAGATGGAGGAGGGTGGGAGGTTAGGTTAATACAAAAACCATACGAAAATTCGAAGCATGAAGACTTTGACGAATAAAAATAACACTCGATGAACTTTCGAATATAACATAAGTAACTTACGCTTATGTTTCGATAAAATAATAATTAAATTAAATTCAATGGAAATGTGCTGTGGATCACATCGATGACGTATTTTGTGTGTACATTTTGAATGAGGTGGAAGTAAACATTGCTGACACAGTTACATATATTTATATTATTGTTAAACTGCATCGCAAACAAGTTATTTTTCACAGAAAGGGTCAACACTGTCATCCAAATCACCGTAACTAAAAATGTGCGTTCCATACGTCCTAAACGCATTCTTGTGTGCTTGTGTACTTTGTCTATAGCACCATAATTTTCCCATTTGGCAGTGAATCATGTTTGAAGCGAGCACGCTATTGTTGGAATTTAAATAGTCTAAAAGCCTCAAATCTATTTGAATACTTAACAAATTGTTTGTAATTATGTTCTCGTATACACATGTGGTTTGCATAGAGAGAGAGAGAGAGAGAGAGATAGAGAGAGAGAGAAAGGATCCGTTTGCAGTTAAAATATCTAACATACATGCTTTGAATACTTTGGTCCTTTGAACCGAATAATTCAATTCTGTTACACTGTTTATCGAAAACATTCAACGTCGCATCATGGTAAGCATCATATAATTAACAGAGAGTTAATATTTCATATTGAAAGAGAAGGAGAGGAGGAAGAGAGGCATTGTTTGAGCGAAAAAGCCAATGAAACTGCCCCAAACGTCTTTTTTAAACACTTGTGTGGGAGTGAATTAAAGCAGAGCGCTTACAAATAAAAGGAGATAGCAGTCGTATACGACCACATTTTCATTCTTTTTATCCACACCACCCTCTCTCCATTCGCAATTCGCATGGCAAATCTCAGTTTGAACAATTCCCAAGAGATACACAAAATTTGGTCGGGCGAAAATTGTTCGAGGGGAAACGGAACACGAAAAACAAGATAGCGAAAGTTCTTCAGAGTTGCACACGGATTTCATTATTATGAAGCAAATCTCTTCTGATCCGGAGGAGTTTAAGTTAAGAGTCTCTCTGTGCGCTTAAAATGCTTACAAAATATTTGCCGTAATCTTATTTGGTTGGTGGTAATTTCCTTATCGGTCTATTTGCATAACAATATTCGCCATGGAAATGTGCGAAACGCCGTTATGAATACAAAATGAAGCTCAACAACAACAAAGTTATTCACCTTTTAAAACATGGTATTTTCATGGGCACACATCCATTTTCATATTTTCCCAATCGCTCGATTTTGATACCACATCCATGTCTCACTTATTTTCATTATTAATTTCTCATTCAAAGGAACTAATGGAATATTATAATTATTACGATTTTTTCGTGGGATTTTTAATTCCTCTGACCCTTATAATCACGCTAAACACTGTGACAGCATTTGCCGTATGGAAACCATCGAAAGTTGCACGAACCGTTAAAAGTTATAACAGGTATTTTTTCCTACATTTTGATTTTCTTGTAAAATTTATTTTTCTTCGTCGCTTTTGTTTTCCATTTCTTTTCAACTAACTTTGCAAAATGCCAATCAGTGAATTAATTACTTTTTGATAGTTTTTAATATGTATTCGAATCAAAATCATTAGGTAAAGTAAATTGGTATAGCTTGAAGGATAAAAAAAATACACATGCCGCTCGGATGCGTTCATTTCGGGATGTAGTCGAAAAGCTGTGTGTTTTCCCGAAATATTCAAATTTACATGCAACACTCTACTCATGTGTGTTAGCATAGAAATGGATGTTGTAAAATATATCATTATAACATCGCTCGCATTGAATGACTGGCTGGGCGAGTTTACGTCGATTGAATATTGAATATTTTCCGTGTTTAAGTTCTTGCAATATCTCAGACACAACGACCGAATCGCATGGCAAGAGAATCAAAGTATAAAATTAGCACGTCATATTTATTCGCATCTAATTTGAAATTCAACTTCACTTAGCCGTTTATATGCTCAATATTAAAATGAAGTGGCGGTCAAAACGCTCCAGACGGACAGCATGCTCTAATGTAATAGAAACACAGAAGCATACTGTCTGTCCGGGGCATTATGTCCTCTCCACTCTTGAAAATTGTTTGCCAGTTCCAGTGGCTGATCGAAAAAGATGGTGCTAGTCAGTTCCAGTCAATGAGTAAAACTTATTGAATGTTCCATGTGCTTTTTTCTATCCAGACATTCCGTTTGGCTGCATATTGAGCTGACTGAGCTATTTTCAAATAGCTGGCTGTTTGGTACATTTTGATTTTGTGACTATTTAGCCATGCAAATTCATGTGAGATGATGAATTTGTGATACCTTTTTCAATCCCTGCCACGAATTTTTTTGTCATAAGTGCATCATCTCACATGAATTTGCATGGCTACATAGTCACAAAATCAAAATGTACCAAGCAGCCAGCTATTTGAAAATTGCTCAGCTCAATATGCAGCCAAACGGAATGTCTGTTTCTATCTCAAGTTACGAGCAAAGTTTTAACAAAACAGAAAATGTTTGAATTCATTTATGTTCGTCATGGTGGTTTCATTGATTTTCAATGAAAGCGATGAAAAGAAAGAGTGTGGAACTTTGAGCAGAGGCGATGACATTCAAGTGAATTGTTGAACTGTGTAGCCACAGCGTCACAAACACACACACACACACAATGCGGTTATTTAATAATTTCCTTTTGATTTAGTCAAGCATAACGGGAAATTCTTTAAGGCATCGTCGCCGACAGCCAACCAAAAACAATAATGCACGACGTGAACGCAAACGATTTTGTGCCATGATTAATTTACATAATCTGGGCTGGCCCCGTGGCCCAATGTAGGTACACTCAGTGTGCTCAAATATTTATTATTTATTTATGAAATATATAAAACTCCGATATGAGTTGTTGGCCAGACTTTTGACGATTTGATATGAAGTTTGATTTTAGTAGGTACTACTGGTCAAAAGATTTTGTTTGGAAAGAGTGGGACAGAAAGAGCGTACAAATTGAATTAAATGGCTATTGTTTATCTATGATTGTTTCTAGATTCACAAGGGAGAAAAGTGTCAGCTTCCATGGATCAAGCGCACGAGACCGTCCGTCATCTGACATGGTAGTATCAGATCCATCGGCACGAATAACAATGTGCAGGCTACTGAATGGCCATCAAAGTATGAGGCAATCTTGTCTTGAAACACGTACGTAACCTAAATATTTGGATAGAAAAAAATAATAATAAACATGTAATTTTCGGAAGGCAAAAAAATACCCGTTTACAAATAGGTTCATGTTGCTTGCAATGTTTCATCTGTCGAATTGGCTTTTGTGTAACGCATCTATTTAGTCAATGCAGAGAGCGAGCTAGCGATCGCGTACGACTGTCGATGTTGTTTTTATTTTCTGACGCATTTTCAATTTATGTATCCAATTTTAGATCGACTTCGAATATCCAATTCCACCCAAATGAAAGTTACCAAAATGCTCCTAGTCATTTCGACAGTCTTTGTTTTATTGAATTTTCCCAGCTATGTGATACGCGTGTGGGTCTTTATAGTTTCGGTGCGTAAATGAAATAATTTATTCTTCATAAATTCAAGTGAAAAATATATACAAAGTGGATATAATTTTCATATGTGTTACCACACATTATATATATATATATAATCTGTGTGCAACGACACACACACACACACTGCGGCTGTGCGAATTTTCTCTCACGTGTGTTTGTGTGTGTGCGTCCATTAAATCTTTAATCACACACAAACACACATTTAAAATCATTTGCTAAATAAATTGGAACCCTTTTGCGCTTTATTTGCAGGCCAGTAATAAAGATCATTGGTACATTATATGGCAACACTTTGCGCAAACACTTTATATCTGTAATTTTGGAATAAATTTCGTTTTATATTGCTTGAGTGGACAAAATTTTCGGTTCGTATACACATTGAACTAAGCAAGATGAATGAAACAAAAAATACCAAACCAAAATCCTGTAAAAATATATTAATTCGATGTAAATTTGTCTTCATGTTTATGAACGCGCGTAGGAAGGAATTGATGGGGCTCTTCAGGCGCAATGTACCGCAACGCTTTGAAGCAGGGACACATGTTACGAGTATTGTGTTTTAAGCATAAACTGTCAAATGTGTTAATTCATTGTAACTGTTTCATCATTCAATAAAATAGGGCATTCCGCTTATGAGTTCAATTCACAAACATACCAAATGAGAAAAAAAAAAACAACTAAAGATCGAAACACTTTTACTATAGTTTTTTTTAGTGTTTTTCTTTTAGCTTAAAATGCTGGAACAACTCTTTTTTCCGACTTGGACAATTTTATACAAAAAAAATAACAACTCATGCATACAAAAAAAACCATACAATTAATGGTGTTAATTTTGTTATTTCCTTAATTAAATTGCCGACATTCTTTGGAAAAGCTTTTTAATTTTTCGAAGAAAAAACAAAAAAAAAACTTTTTCGTTGAATTTTCGCTAAAATATTCGATGAGCTGATCCATACCATTTTCATTTCCACATTTTATTTCAAGTTAGCCGAAGTTCCAGGGCTTCCGTGAGAGCATTTTGGAAACATTCCGTTTACTGTGTGGAAAATATTGAACTAAAGTGAAAGTGAACATTCAACGTAATCTGGAAAGCAAAAAAGAAAAAAAAATAAGTTTAACCATCAATATGGATTGAAGATGTGCAAAGACCGACGTTGAATGTCCCAACATACATACACATACACGCTCACTCATGTCAATAGAGATGATGTTTTGTTCGTTATAAACCTGAAAAACTTTGCATAAAAACCATATTAAAACATCGTGCTATGGCTTGCAGCTATGCCATTCCACTGTTTTAATTTTTCTCCCATATTTGTTGTGCATCAAGTGATTGTATGGTGTGCGTTAACAACAGTTAATTGAACACAAGGCAAACTCTCTGACTATTGTTCAACGATAAAATCTTAGCAAGTTTAGTGTTTTTTTTTTGCATTCGAGAATGAAAAAAAAAATAAAACTACGTCAACAACAACATACATTTTAATCGATAGAGAGAATGGAAGAAACAATGCAGAATAGTTTCGGGTTATATACAAGTATATACGTACATTTCGATGCTGTAAATATCAGAATAAAAAGCTTTTTAACGAGCAGAAAGAGCATTAAAACGTAGCACTTAATCGGTAGAGCCGACGTCATACAACAAAAACTTTAATCAAAATGGAATAGTTGATAACACGCGTGTTATCGTCGATGCGCGTACCGGTGATCGCCGTTCGTTGTCGTCGTCGTTGCGGGGGATGAGATAATCTTTTAATTCGATGGAGAGAAAAAAGAAGAAAATCATGTGCCAATGCAAACCAAAAAGCAAGGATCTCGGTGTGAACACATCTTGAACTGTAGCAATTTCAGCTTTTTGTTTTCTTCAAAAGAGTGTTGGTCTTCTCGTGAAATGTTCATTCATTAATTAAAATTGGCCTTGTCTCATTTTTATTGTAGAATCGATCTTAGTGGATGAAACAGATTAAAATGAAAAGATTGAAAATACTTGTCTTCTCAAATTGACTTCATTTGGTCATTGACAGTTTAAATGATGGAGTGAGAATTGAAACGTATATACATCGTCTGAAGTCAGGCAGTTAGGAGAGTGACCCATATGCAATGCTACATAAAAATGTGTATTTTTGTATTATATCTGTAACTAAAACTATTTTCATTGTATAAAAAAAAACCAATACACCATCTAAATGTAGAAAAATGATTGTAAAAAGAAAATAAATTGTAAAGAAAATCATCAATAAAGTAGGTCCATAAATAAACTTTCTAGTTGAATTACAAGAGAGTTTTAAATGGAATAGAAGAAGATGCTATGTCGCATTTTAACACGTTGCTTGACAAATAACGAAATTTGAATGAAAAAGAGTGTGTCACCATAAGATTTCATTTAATAAAACTCGAAATGAAAATGCTAACAAATTGGTCTTGTCAATTGTATATCCGTCTGGTTGAAAATGTTCCAACAGCCAATACATCGCAAGAAAAATTACGGAAACCAATTGGGAATACTAAATAGGAAGGGTATGTATTTTCTTTTTTTTTGTTGCTTGCTTTGCTTTAAGGTCGTTGTGAAGGTACACTTTGCAGTTTAGCAGACAAAGATGAATTGAATGCAAAATAAACGATACCATACGGCGCCTTACAGCAGTGGTCTATTCGTGGTTGGTAGCGGGCTTTTTTTGTCTACTTTCTTTTGTTAGTCTTTTCAACAGTGACTTTTTTCCGTTAACTTTTTTGTGGACAGCACATTGTCAAGAGGGAAAGAGAGCGCAACAACAACAAAAATGTGAGTATGTAGAATACGTTCGACTTAGGGAAATTGCGTGTGAAATCGTTTGGGTATATGAATATTTGGTAACCACACAAAATGAAGAAAACGAAAGTTCCGAAACAGCAAAACACCGAAGAAAAATTCCTAAAAAAAATCCCGAATCCAAAATGCCGAGAAAAAAAAATCCAAGAAAAAACTCCGAATCCAAAATCCCAAAAAAAAAAAATCCGAAAACCAAAAACGCAGAAAAATCAAAAAAATTAGTTCAAAGTCCCATTCCATAGAACAGGAGGGTAATACTATTGTTCGAAAATACTACTCATTCGTCACTTATATCGCCAATTCCTAACAAATGATGCACAAATACATTTGTTGTTGTACCGAAGCGCAAGATGGACTGATAGTTTATAAGGGCGACGACTTTATCCGTAGATGGCGATCCTACCAATGGTATTTTCTGATAGCTATTAAATTGTAATGTATACGTTACTATCGCCTACTGCACAGAACATAATTGATAATTGTTGACCTACCAAACCCTTGTTGACCGTACCATTTTTTTCACAGTCCGAAATAAAATAAAATTGGTAATGCCAATACAGGTGCAGAGGATAGCGGAGAACGACCGCGTGCGAGACCTAGAAGGTCCGCTGCTCTATCCTCTCTACCTATGTTGGCATTACCAATTTTACGTTATTTCGGACTGTGAAAAAAAAATGATCAGAGTAAGGTGAGTGAGCTAATGACAGCTAGTATGTCACCGAGGTACACACACACACACACACAAAAGGAAGTAGTTAAACGTCATCGCAAACACGAGTGTGCGTATATGCACGTTTATACGTGATTATGTGCATCCTAAAATAAAAACAATTACCAATTATGTTCTATGGAATGGGACTTTGAACTAATTTTTTTTATTTTTCTGCGTTTTTAGTTTCCGGAATTTTTTTTTCGAGATTTTTTTTCGGCGTTTTGAATTCGATTTTTTTTCGAGATTTTTTTTTCGGCGTTTTGAATTCGAAATTTTTTTTTCGGTGTTTTGCTGTTTCGAAATTTTCGTTTTCTTCATTTTACTGGGTAACCGAATATTTGAAAGAAAGAGAAAAAAAACCAAACAAGATTGATCTATTTTGGTGGCCGATTTTGCAGATGAATAATTTGCGATAAAAAGCTATGAAAATTGGTTGCGGCAAATGGGATAGTTTCTGTTTTTTCGGCCATTTGATTCGATCACTTTAGATGGATTGCGAACCCTTTTGGATGTTTTGAACAGCAGGCCGCATATACATAGACACACCGAATTCAATGGTAAATTTCGAAGCGACGCTCTGAAATGACGCATCAAACTCGATTCGTCTGATTTGTTACACTCATTAATTAAAACCTATCCGTATTACATTTGTTCTGGAAAATATTCGGCTCATATCGATTTCAAATTACTGAATGGTTCAACACACCGGTCAAACGGAATTTCATTCAAAGGGAATACATAACCTCAAAGATCGCCGTTTTGCTACAAAAAAAAGGAAAAAAGAAACGACATTTCTTTTATTCGTAATAACAATCATTGGAAAAAGAAGCGCCCCACATATTTATGATGTCCGGTTTATGTATCAACATTCTGAACAAAAATGACATGGACGAAATGGAGTGCATGAAACCCAACGGGGCGTTTTGCCAACAAGGGGATACAATCATATTTTTGCCCGCTTTCTATGCTTTTTTTGCTTTATTATTGTTGTTTTGTTGATTCCCTGATGAATGTATGTTCAAAAGATACATTTTGAACGACCAATTTTAATTTTAATATTGAATGTTAATATTTGAATACTGGGCTTTGTCAAGTAGTCAAAATTTGCAATTCTTCAAATCCAGCACTATCCATATTAATACAGAATTTCAATAGAACCATGCTTGTCCCTCGGTGAATTCACTCAAACGTTGAATATTTTACATCTGACTCATAGACGTATTATAAATTAGCTTAGTCAGTAATTGTTAATGGAATTCTTATTATGCGTTCGCATTTTCTGGCGTATTTTTTTTTGTTCTTTCTTTATTCCGCATTTTCAAGCTCCTGTTGGATAGATTAGTTCACCAGAGTCAAGTGGTGTTACGTTCACTTTGTCCTTCTGTCTATTCTAAATAATAGCATTCTATTCTTTTTTTCGTATATATATGTACAATGTACGTACATACATGTGCGTGTGTTTGCTGGAGAGCGAATTAGTTTGACTGCTGTTTCGTTCGATCAGCTATGGTGATAAGATTAATCATGTCTTGACTCGATTATGGATTGATAGAAAGTAGATAAGCGTAGCATTAACTAATCGAGTTAATCATCATAAATTCTGTAATAAATAAACAATACATATTGAACGGACGGCATTTGGGCCAGTTATTAGCAACGGCGTACAGAAATAACCGATGAAATAAAATACTTGGAATCATTATGCGGCTATGCATAGTACATACGTATGTTTCGCATAGAAAAAGAAATCTATTGGCTGTATCAACTGGTGAAATTGTTTAGATTACATCCAACAGTAATCTGTACCTTCATCATCTTGAAATACCGTTTTTTTTTCTCTTTGATTTATGTTTTATTTTCTTGTGCTCCTTTGAAAAATCGTATTCGTTAAACGCGATAAATAAAACATATAGCGCGTAAAATCGATTGAAATTCCCTTAATCGGTATTTCAACTGAATATTGGCCTTTCAATCACTTCACGCACCAAAAATGGAAAACAAATGCAAGAATGACGGGAAAAAACACAATTGAAAAAATATTTGTTCGTTTCCGAAGAAAATTTTCTTCCGTTAAACGTCAGGCACAAATTTAGCGACAATGAATACAATGTCTGCGATTCCAACGTGAACACCGCAGATTGGAAAAGGGCGATAATATATACACATACACATACACACAATACAACCGAATTATTTTCAGCATATAATTACAATTGCAAAGCCCGTCCGTGCCGTTATGCCCACGTTGTTCTGTGAATTGTGTAATTCCAGTATACATCATAAATGTCAACCCTTTATGATTTATTGAAGCACTTGGTTGAGCGTAAATATTTACATACATTTACGGCTCCACCTTGCACATTTAGTCGTCGTTGTAATCGAAATGGCGATGAAAATGTGTGTGTGTGTTGTGTGTGTGTGTCTTTGTGCTTCTGCGATCAAATGGTATTCATCATCTCGAATTGTTGACAACACACAAATTCGAAGTAAACGGTATGGATCACTAGACAATATTCGTCTTTATTCTATCAAGAAGGGAGCCCGTTGGGCAACAGCCAAGGCAATTATGGAGGGCCGAAGCATTGTGCCTATCAAACAGCCATAATTTCCGTTTTTCGTTAATGCGATGCGAATACTTCTTTTTCTTCACTTTGAATGGTGCGTAATTCAAGTCACTCACTGCACACACACACACATGTACAATATACATTTCACACTCGACAGCGCCATTTGTGCGCATCGTCGCGCACACACGTCTTTTATTTTGAACACATTTCAATTAGTTCGTTACAAAATTGTGGAATTTCGAAAGAAAAAAACACACGCACACATCAGCATTGCACAAGCGCCGCATTTTAACAAACCAAAATGTGAAGAATAAAACCATCGGAAAAATGCCATACACTCTTTAAATCTATCGCAATTTTTCTTGTCCAAATTGATTCTAAAATACTCGTGTCTGACATTCAATGGATAATGGATACGAACGAAAACAAAATGAATTGGGAAGTCAATCGATGCATTTTATAACATGGATACAATCACTCATCGCGTACCCTTTTCTCCAAGTATGAAAAATGACAAAAAACTTTCGGGATTTAAAATGAATCTCTCATTTTTTTTTCTCACTTGATTTCATTTCTGCTCTGCCCAGAGCATGGCTTCGGTTTGATCCGAATGAAAAAAGAGAACAACAAAAAAAAAACAATTTTCAACACAACGGTCCTTTTCAAACATCAATGACCTAGAGGTTCGGCGTACACACTTTTCATCACAAGCATTTTTCATCACAACCATCTGGATGAATGTGTGGCGGCAAATACATTTAGTATTCAATAGCTGCCAATCCGATAGCGAATTATGATGAAGAGCATTTGTTGCATGCGATTATAATTTAGCACGTGTCAATGGTTCACCAAATGATATCTTCTTGTAATTGTTGTGACGATTAAAAATGAATGGATGCGTGATATACATACATGTTTAAGCATTTTTTCCATAATAATCGTACTACTCTACTAGTAGAACAAATGTGAAAATTAAATTGTATCAATGTTTCATGTTTGTATATCACGTTTGAGTGTATAACAATAGCTTGAATAATAGTGTCGATTTGTTTTTGATTGTTGCTCATAAAAATGTCCGTTAGCCACATAGGTGTATGATTGAGGAAATATAAGTGTGACTGTTCAATGCATTGCCGTTTGTGTATGGCCAGAAAATGGAAGCACTGACAATACAAAATACACACACTGTCAAATAGAAACTGATTGCTAACAGCGGTAATTTAGAATGAAATACAATTTCCGCAACATTGTTGTGTTGATTTTTGCTAGAAAAAAACGGCATCTTCAAAAAAATCTTCTGTCTAATATTTGTGTATGTTGTTCTTTTGCGAGGTAATAGGAAGTTTTTTCCATTGTGTGCCCGTTTCCTTTTCGACTGGAAAATCGTATCCTCTTGTTAAATTTATCGTTATTTTCTCCAATAGAATATTGTCAGTAACGCCTCTGCACTGTGACGCTCGGCATGCGACTTGCTATCGCAACAGTAACTATTTTCACTTTCTTTTGGTTGGAATGGAAAATTTGAACCAGATTCTTCAGATAACAAAAGTGAGCAGCATAATAATGCTCTACAAACGAAGGTTTATTATTGACAAACAACACAATATAATCCCACCTGCAGATTCGATGGCCGTTGGGCATTTGTCTTATGGGTCTAAATATGGGTTTCATGTTTGTAATTAAAATAGAAAGAAAAGTCTTCAAAATGGGCCCAGTGATAATGTCTGATCAATTGAAACCGAATGAAGATAGAGAGAGAGAGAGAGAGAGAGAGAGAGAGAGAGAGAGAGAGAGAGAAAGAAAGAAAGAGAGTGAAACAAAGCGAATACCAAGTACAAGTAAACAAATAGTTTGTTTTGTATTTTATGCAAACATGACTTTTAATTTGATACAATGAGTAAAATGCATTTGCGTTACTGGCACAGTTATTGGATAAAACGTACACACGACGTCACACTACACATCGTTAATGCTATGGAAAGATTTTAGAGAGAAAGAGATTCAAAGTGTTTTTTTTTCTTTATTTCTGCTTGTTGTTGCCTCTTCTTTCCATTTCGAATGAATCCAAACGAATCTATCGCATCAACATCACTTACAAAATGATAAAGATGTTGAAAATAAACATTTATTCATTGCCATAAACATGTTCGAAAGAATACTCGCCAGCCAGACACACTTGCACACAAACACACTCTCGATCTTTTTCACTTTTTCTATGTATATATCTTCCTCTCATTTCCCTGTTGGCACTCTCCCGTCGGACCAAAAATATGTGCAAACGACGACGACGACGACGACTGACGGAATTGCGCGCGCGATCCGATCACATCTGTAATGAGAGTGAGAGAACTGATTTGTGTGTATTTGCCATATCGTATATTTTTTCGGTGTTTTGTTAGAAAGAGACAAGAATAGAGAGCAAGACTGTGTGGCGTTTACTGTATTCGCAAATCAGAGAGTGTTGGTGTCGATTCAATATGTTTGGCTGCTCTTCGTCGCATTTCAATAAAAAAAAATTTCTTTTGGTTGCTGTTTCTGTTACATTTGGTTCAATTCGACAATTGTTCCGAGGTGTGCGCGCGTGTTTGTATATACACAATTGCACACTGACTGATAATAGATTGAATGCCAATGTAAGCGCTATTCTTTCTCTGTTTCACACTTTTTTTTATGGTCTATTAATTTTATTATGAGGATCGCTTCATACGATTTGGTTGTAAAGAAAGATTTCAAAGTGTTTCAATGCAAATATCGTTGCTTAGCTAGTCGGTTGCGCCATTGGAGCGATTATACGTTGCTTTTTTTTCTTTCTCATCGTTTTTTTCTTCACTAATTACATTAAATTGATTGGATTATCATCGGTGCATACAAATTGTGGTGTTTTTTTTTTCTTCTTTTACTAATTTTGTTTTAAAGCGCCTGTTGCGACAAAACCCATTATCGTTGCTCGATTTTAGTTCATTTTATCGAAATTTAAATGACAATTAACAAGTGATTCGCGCTAAGGTATTCACTATTTATCACATGATTTGACTAACAAGTCTGATTTGAAGATTATTAACATCCGACACAGAAATAGTTTTTTTTAGTTTGGGTTGTGGGCTGAAATTAATATTTATGTGTGCCGATTTCAGAAAATGCTGAAAACGCTGTGGTGGTGTTCGCTGATTTCAGCAATTGTCGTGTGTGCACAAAAGAGCGGCTCTGTCGAGATTGGTGATGATCATGCTTTAGGTCTACTTTTACCCAAAGCAGTTAAAGATTCGTCAGCATTTTTCTATCCTGCACCTCCTGCACCTGCTGCACCTGCTGCAGCTGCTGTAGCTGTCCCACGTGCTGCTACTGCATCTACTCCTACTTCACCTGATACTACCCAAGCTGAGCTCGTTTCATCGTCCAGTCCGGCAACTGATGCTCCACCAAATGCTCCAACTCATAATTCACCTAGTTCTCTACCACCCACATCCACTCCTATTCAAGATTCCACCAGTGGAGCCACTGAAAGTGTGACCGTTGCGTCGTTTGTAGACAAGGAGCCATCATCTGAGCCTCCTGCAGGAAATCCTTCGTCAAATAATGGTGTTTCGTTCAATAATAATAGTTCGCCCGAACCATTCTCTCAGGAAATGATGCTCGATATTCTAAAGAAATACAACACATTGGCGACAAAGGAGTGCAATGCTGTCACTGCAGCCAGTTGGAATGCCGCTACGGATGTTGGCAACAAAGAAAAAGAAGCAAAAAAGGTAAGACAAACATTTGTAATGATTTCAAAGCAAAAAAAATCGTCTTGGTCACACGATAAAATATGAAATAGCAATGTATTTGTTGCATCACTTTAGACCAATATCTGTAAATTGGTCGTAAGCAAATACTGTGTGATATTTGCCCGCTTTAATGGTAATTCGTCGATTATTTGTTTTGTTGAACTAGAGATACCGAGCAATTAACTGTTTCTCATCAGTTTTTGTTTCGCCAATGAAAATTGGTTGTTTTAATCAAATGCAAAATGTCGAGATTTTCGAATTTATGGCACATTTCAATTTTACGAAGCATAAGCGTATCTAATGTCAAACAGTTTTCCATGTACATTGTGTAACGTGATATTCGGTGTGCTCGAATAATGTGTCAACTGAAAACGAGTAATGAGTGAAAAATGGATATGATACGTAGTTCTATGGCTTGCTAACGGTGATGCGAAATATTGATATTTCATCAGTAGATTGCATTTTCTTGTCGTCCATCAAAGACAATAAAAGATAGGGCATTTCTTCTTTAAACTTTTCTCTTTTTTTTCTTTTGTTATTTCTACGTTCTCATCGCCTGGATCGCACTTGAGTTTCAACTAATGTATATAACCATGACCCATTTCAATGTCAATCGATACACATGTATGGGAATTCGACAATAACAACAACATCGAACAATCAATTGGTAACTTTTCTTCAAGTTAATCAATAAATTCTCGGAAATTGACTTTGGGCAAATTGAGAGAATTGGTTTTTCTTCAAGTTTTGCATCTTTTCACCGGTTGAGATAAGCAACATTTTTTTCTATCAAAAAAAAGGAGAGGAAAAAAGTAAATGTAGTGAAGTAAGGTAATTACCGTTACAATCGATTGGCATACATTTTGCATGGTTTTGACCAGAAATAATTTCGGTTTTAATTGAATGTGTACCTGGAAATTGCTTGCCGCCAATATTCACCTCAAGTACAATCAGTCATGCAAAATAGGCAATGTGCATTTGACATAGGCTCAACATATATATGTATATTTTTATAATATGAAAATAGTATCCATAAAACCGTCGTGAAAAGAGAAAACCAATCAACGAAAGAAAAAGAAACTAACAGAGAAACAACAACAAACACAAATATTATGCAATACATTGTTGAACTAACACAGGACGTACAATATTCATGAATTTGGTTTTCGTATTTTGCACGAATTTCGTTTCGCATCACCATTTACTCGGCAATTAAAAACCTACGAAGCACACGCAAATTTGCGCAAAGAAAACAAAACAAAAATTTTGTATATATACCTCAGCAGCAGCAACAACAAGAAGAAGACAAGCGCAACTTGTTCGCATCATATTTATCAATTCGATGCTATATATAGAAGTTGTTTACGATCCAAGTGGATCAACCGAATCGGTGAATGTCATTGACTACCATCAACATTCAAAAAGTGCATGTAGGTGTGTTTACGAGGTAGTATTAATAGCACGAATTTTTTTTTCTGTGGCTGTTGTTATTGTTGTTACATCAAAATTTTGAGTCACGTTTCAATGCACTTTTTTCTATATTTACTTGAATAATATGGGAAATTCTTTTCACTCCGATAACATGCTCGAATTTTGTAACATTCATCGAATTTCACATGGATATGCAAAATGAAAATATTCGATAATTTGAACGAACTCATAACCATTAAATGGAACGTCATAGAATGTGTAACATTTTTTTTTAATGTTCAGCCCCAAATACGGGAAAGCCTTGTAATATTGCATCATAAATATTCCAATGATTGGTATAGCTAACGGCTTTCCTCGTTTTTATAGTTGTCGAAAAAAACAAAATGTTTTGGATTTTGGCCGTATTTATGGACTGATAAAATTGATAAACAACATTTTATTTTGTCATTTGTGACATTACTTAAAAAAAAACTCCAGAAAAACCTTTCGCAGTTGAAAATATTGATTTTTAAAAGAGAAATTTTTTTTCATCTTTTCATGCGGTTAGGCATAATGTGCGACCACCGTAGTGTTGCTTCCGTACTAATTTCGATTGAAACTTTCCTTCCACTTTCGCGCGACACACAAATGCCGGTCCACCGATGCTCTGCAAGGCGAACAAATATAAACCGTTGAAGTCGATATATATGCTTAACTTCTGTACGACATTGTTCTAGCGAATTATAAGAAAAACTCACTTCTCACTTTAGAGCGATGTGATTAGTAATGAATATTAAATATTTATTGAAATGAGCGTAGGAAATTTTTTTTTTCTTCATCAAAATTCATATCAATAAATAAGAGATGGGAAAAAAGTTTCAAGTGAAAAAGTGAGAAAAAAAACGAAATTTTCAGGCCGCGCTAGCGTCCTATCTAAATACATTATAATGAATAAGTACAAGCTAATACATATGCATTTCGCTATGAATGCGTTTCATGTTATGTGTTTTGTTTTCATTTAATTTTGGAAATTGAAAAAAAAAATATTTCTCGACAAAATATATTTTAAAACATCATTGCAATAAAAAAAAACTTCCAAGTAAGAAAATTCGGTGAAATCGGTGAAATACTTGAATCAAACATAAACGTTTGAAAAACGTACGACGCGCGCCAAAGCATAAGTGATGTCAAAGTGTGTACAAAGAGTGAAGCAATAGTGCGTTTAATGCTATGTGCTATAGTGTCTCTGTTGATGTTGATCGCTGACGTTTATAGTGGTAGGAAATTTTATTCGTTAGTTTCGAAGCAAAATATTCGTTGACCAATAAAAAATGTTCACAATGCTATGCTGCAGTTTGTCATAGACGTTATCAGTAAAATTGACGCTGAAAATGTATTTTTATCTCAAAATATTTTATTGTCATGAAACCCTTATAAATTTTCTGCTATCGGATTGAATACCATTAAGAGGAGAACTGAACCAAGATTATATGTAATACGGAGCCTTTTGAAAGCAGCAGAAAGTATCAAATCTGAGTTATTCGATTGATGCGGACTTTTCGAAATTATATCGACATCATTGTCATTTGTTTTTGTGTATCTGCACATTTGAAATATTATAATATTTCAAATATTCCATTTGTTTTGTTTCCAAACAGAACTGGGCCCATCCATTGAATGAGTCATAACTGTAAAAATTATTTGGTCACTATACAGTTGATTGTTTCGACAGATGGTCTTGCACATGAGTGGTTCCCATTATTGTATTGATCAAATTTGTTTGTTTTTCTACACTCAATACTATATGATTCATGCGAATACTTCCATCTTATTAAACAGATCGTGGCCATAGGTAAAAGAGCTGCATTTATTAAAGAATGGTACGAAGCACAGTGGAAAGATGCAAATATGTCCTTGTACAAGGATCGGTACGTCAAGCGGCAATTGTATTTCTTGAAACAATTGGGACAGGCTGTTTTACCACCAACTAAATTAGACTTCGTATGTATTTTTGTTCGAACATTTGATTATTTTGATGTAATATACAATTTTAAAATAAAAAAAAACTTTTCTTTCGATTCAGCTCACAGGGACAATTAGCTCTATGACAACAAACTATAATACGGCAACGGTGTGTCCGTATTCAAATCAATTGTGCGAAAGTAATGACACAAATCGCTTAGCTCTTGATCCAGAAATTTCCAATCGTTTTGCTATATCTAGAGACTACGACGAATTGAAGTATTTGTGGGTGTCATGGCACAATGAATCTGGGCGAAAAATAAGATCGGCTTATACAGATTATGTGGGCATGATGAATGAAGTGGCGAAAGGAAACGGTTTCAACGACGCAGCCGAATACTGGAAAAACGATTTCGAGGATCCCGACTTCGAACAGCACATAGATGATTTGTGGCTGAAAGTGAAATCACTCTACGATGAACTGCATACCTATATGCGATACAAATTGCTTGGAATTTATGGTAAATATTGTCGCAAATGGTTTAACGATTTCCTGGGTGTAGCGTTCATGATCACATGTTGAATTTCATTCCGATCGACAGGTATAAAAATGAACCGATCTGAACAGAACATACCCGCACATTTGCTGGGCAATATGTGGGCACAAAGCTGGGATAATCTGTACGAAGATACAAAACCATATAAACGTGGTGCTGCGATGGATGTCACGCAAAAAATGAAGGAACTCAATTATGATGCATTTAAAATGTTTGAAATAGCAAATGATTTCTACATGAGCATGGGCCTACCGTCGAACAAAATGAGCTACACTGGCAAATCGGTTATCATAAAACCAGCCAATGTTACAATTCAATGCCATGCATCTGCTTGGGATTTTTGTGACGCCAAAGATTTTCGCATCAAAATGTGCACATACGTCAATCAAGAAGATTTGATCACTATTCATCATGAGATGGGTTTGTAGAGAGACAAAACGCAATTCCACTTTATTCAAATAAGATTCATTTAATATGAATAGATGGAGAGATTAAGCCATGCACGGAATCTAAGGGTTAGACACGAGATTCGAATTGCGATATTTCTAGTATTTCTATAGAACTATAGTTTTTGTAGCACCGAATTCGTGTCTAATCCTTAGCACGGAATCTCATAGATTGTTTGAATCAAAATAAAACGATAACTAAAATAAGAATTTCATCGCATCAAAACTAATCATCATATTATGAATGAAACAAAAGAAGAGAAAAAAAACAGTAGAAAATTGAAATTCATCACGTCGAATAATTCAGTGCATGCATCTATAAGTATTTGAATCGCATTAGTTATTCGTTGAGATATTGTTGTTATTGTTGTTGTTGTTGTTTTGGTTGAAGCAAACAAAAATCCGCCATGAATATCGATAATAATTTCGATCATAGTAGTTTTTTACCCTACATAATTTATGACCATACACAAAAAAGTTCAAGTAATCAATATCAAGTGCGAAAATTCCCATCGCTCACACTGAGATTAAATCGCAAATAACTTGAATGTTGTCATGTGGGTCAATCATTTGTTGAAATGAATAAATCAACATTGTTTTATACGCATGAAAATGATAAATTGAAAAACATTCGTAACCAAAACAAAAGCTTACCTATTTCGGTCGAATGTTATTTTTTTTTCTTTCTTTGTACTATTAATGACAGTTTTTTTTGTATAAATGTATAGAAACTGAACAAATGTTTCTTTCTATTTCAAAGGACACATCCAGTATTATATTCAATACAAAGACCAACCCGATACATTCCATAGGGGCGCAAATCCTGGTTTTCATGAAGCAATTGGAGACACAATAGCACTATCCACGGCTAATCCGTATCATTTGTCGAAAATTGGTCTGATTGACCAGTTTACCTCCATGCATGAAAACGATATCAATGGATTGTACATGGAAGCACTGAAAAGAATCGCATTTTTGCCGTTCGGTTTGTTGATTGATAAATGGCGTTGGAATGTATTCAGTGGCAAAACTCCAAATGCCAGATGGAACGAAGAATGGTGGGCACTGCGAAAACAATACCAAAAAGTTATACCACCAGTTGAAAGAAGTGAAATGGATTTCGATCCGGGTGCGAAATTCCATGTGCCAGCAAATTCAAAATACATTTCGTATTTCATATCGCACATACTGGAATTCCAGTTTTACAGGGCGCTCTGCATCGAAGCCGGCCAATTCAATCCCAAAGATCCGACCATACCATTGCATCGCTGTGACTTCTATAATTCGACGGATGCTGGAAAAAAATTAGCGTAAGAAATTGCAATGAAATAATTCATTTTTTGGAACGAAAACATTTCAATTGATTCATACCTTTTTTCGCTTTAGCGCTGGCCTTAAGGTCGGTGCAAGTCAACATTGGTCAGAAGTATTGGAAATTATTACCGGTGAAAAGGAGATCTCGGCCGATGCCATCCTTGAGTATTTCAAGCCGTTGCGGGAAGTGCTAGCGAAAGAAATCGAAAAAATGCGCAAGGAGGATATAGTGCGTCAAAAGTTGGAGAAGTACAACACAGAATACCTTCCTTATTGCCAAACTTTGAGAAGTGCCGACTGGAACCGAACGACAGATTTGGATGATCCACAAAAAGAAGAAATCTATGTAAAAGCGGTTGCTGCTAATGCGGCATTCGTCAAAAATAGCTATGAATCGGCTTTCCGTGTATACACAAATGAAACATTCCCCGATGAGAAAATTAATCGACAAATTAGATTTATGGGAGACCTCGGAACGAACGCATTGAATGAATCAAAAGTATCTGAATTCACTGGTTACGTCAATGAAATGATCAAAATCTATAATTCTGTCACATTCTGTCCGTTCAAAAATCAAAACTGTACCGAAGATCAACGCATGTCTTTAGACCCAGGTTAAAAATCGCTCACTTTCATTTTTGGTCAATTGAATTTCATGGACTTGATCGCTTATTTTTATTCTCGAAATTTAACTTTGATTTGTCATAATCGTTGCATAGAAATCACTAAAGTTATGGCCACATCAACTGACGCCGCTGAGCTTCAGTACACATGGGAAAAATGGCATAATGAGACCGGACTAAAAATGAAATCAGTGTTTAAATCATACATTGAACTCAATAACGAAGCCGCTAAATTGAATGGATATCATGATGCCGGTGAAATGTGGCGTGCCAAGTACGAAGATCCCAATCTTGTTGACAATTTGAATGCAATTTGGAAAAAAGTTGAACCGCTCTATCTCCAATTGCATACATATACGAAGAATAAACTAAACAAATTGTATGGTACGTAGCAACAATTTATGCTTGATCCAACAGCAACATCGAAAAGGATTTAAACATTTTGAATTTGATGATTAGGTGATAAAATAGTTGATCCAAAGAATGAAAATATTCCCGGTCATTTATTGGGCAATATGTGGGCACAAACGTGGGAAAATTTATATGAACGAATCAAACCATTCAATGGAAGTGATTTCGATATCACGGCTGCGTTGCAACGTAAAAATTATACCGCCTTCAGAATATTCCAAGAAGCAAATCGATTTTATCAAAATCTTAGTCTTCCATCCAACGAAATGAGCTACACCGGACAATCAATTATCGAAAAGCCAAAAGATCGACTCATCGTTTGTCATGCGTCCGCATGGGTATGTAGATATTTTTTTTTACTCAATTGCATCATTTAAACTTGTATCTAATTTGATTTGGTTTTTCATGCATAATTCCATAGGATATGTGTGATGGGAAAGATTTTCGCATCAAGCAGTGCACCGTTGCAGATCAGAAAAATTTCATTACCGCTCACCATGAAATGGGTCACATTCAGTATTATATTTTGTACAAAGATCAACCGCTTATATTCCGTGAAGGTGCTAACCCCGGATTTCACGAAGCAATCGGCGATGTGATGGCTCTCAGTGTGTCAACACCAAACCACTTGCACAAGGTTTGTCTAACTGACAAATTGCATGATACTTTGACTGTTTTATTTAGACTATATCTGTTTAAATCTTTGAATTTTTTTTCTTCCACGGTTAGATTTATCTATTGGATGAATTCAAAGACTCGAGAGAAGACAATTTGAATTCTTTATTCAAAATGGCGTTAGATAGAATTGCATTCTTACCCTTTGGACTATTGATTGATGTATACCGCTGGGATTTATTCGCTGGTAATGTGAAAAATAACGAATGGAATATGCATTGGGAAAATTTGAGGTATGTTCAAGAAAAGCAAACACGTTGAGCCATGTTGTTTGGTTTGGATTTTCTTACGATTGATTTGTCCACTTGAATTTCCAGACGGAAGTATCAAAGAGTAGACTCACCGGTGCCACGAGATCGAATTCACTTCGATGCTGGTGCAAAGTTCCATGTTTCATCGAATTATCCCTACGTCGCATATTTTGTATCACATATACTAGAATTCCAAATTTTTAGATCGCTTTGCATTGAGGCTAAACAGTATGATCCGAAAAATTCGACGTTGAAACCGTTACACAAATGTGACATTGATGGTTCGGCAGCGGCCGGTCAACGTTTACGCGACGGTCTTTCATTAGGCAATAGCAAACATTGGACGGAAGTATTGCGAGTGATAACCAACGGTGAAACCGAACTCAGTGCTAATGCTATCCTCGAATATTTCCAGCCATTACAAGAATTCCTTGAAGAAGCAAACAATCCATCGATTGGCAAGGGTATACTTCTAATTAAAATTTTCTTGTCAAATTTACCAAAATCATTTCGGTCAATGACGCGTTTGTTTCTGCATTTGCTTTGCAGGTGACAAGAGCACGAAGCTTCCATGGATTTTAGGTGGATTTATTTTATTGGTTGCCGTCGTTGCATTAATAGCATATGCAATTTACTACTACAATCGAAAATAGTCAGTTCAGTTCTATTCATTTTACCATTACCATCGTTCGTAAATGCGTTGTCATTTAGAAAGAAATTAATTTATTAGAATTGTATATATACGGAATGTTATTCTATGGATAAAACAAAAATAAAGTCACGCATTTAATAGTCAAATCACAACGGCTGTACATGTATGTGTTTGAAATGTGGCGCGATTTCAATTCGCCGCATAAATTGCATTGGAATGGTATGGCGGTGCCTCTAGCGGTTGGCTATACAACTACTCACATTTGACATTATTCTTTTGCGATATTTGTAATAACACTGTTCTGTGCTTGCACACTTGTAAATAACATTTTCTTTTAAAAAGAAGCAGACAATTCAAAGCAGAAAAAAAAGACACGAACAACCGCACCACAAAATTTCATTCGAACCAAAGTGTGTTCGGTGCAAATTCCAAATTGTTGTCGTTGGTGTACCAAACTAAATGACGCTCGAAGTGAATCAGCTCACAAATGATCCGACAGCAGCATGGCGAGAAATGTGCAAAATTCAACGTGTGATTAAAATCACGATGAAACCACCAAATCCAGACGTACAAAAAAATAAAGTTCGCGTTGTTTGCATGAGTGACACACATTCACTGACGCCACACATCAAATTCGATATACCTGATGGTGATTATCTCGTTAAGCTTCCGCCATAATCTATGGCTAAAAGTCATGTCAAGCGGATTTTTCATTAGAGATTTTGTTTCTTTCTTCACTTAAGTGCTCATAACTAATTCATTACAGGTGATATTTTCATTCATGCCGGCGACTTCACAAAATGTGGGCGAAAGGAAGAAGTTATCGAATTTAATACATGGATTGGTGCGTTGTTTTGCTTTGCTTTGATGTCTATTACTTTTCCACTCTCGATGCGCAGCCAATATAAATAATTGAATCTGTTTTTGTAGGACAATTACCACATAAATACAAACTAGTGATTGCTGGCAATCATGAGCTAAGTTTCGACCAAACGTTTACGCATCCATTTCAAAATTTGTCCAGCGGAGCTGACAAAGATCGCCGCCTACATACGGGTTACATACAAAAAAAAAGTACACCAAAACATTGCATTTCTAACTAATTCATTTTATTCAATTCAAATTTAGGAATATCGATTTTGGACGAAATTCCAACGCTGGGCAATTCGAAGGAGAGTCTCACGGCGGCTGTACAAACCGAAAATGTTCGACAGTATTTAACCAATTGCACGTATCTGCAGGATGAATTAATTGAGATTTATGGTTTGAAAATATATGGAACGCCCTGGCAACCGGAGTTCTGTAAATGGGCATTTAATGTGCCACGCGGCAAAGATTGCTTAGACAAATGGGATATGATACCAGCGAATATTGATGTACTGATTAGTCATACGCCTCCACTTGGGCATGGTGATCTGTGTTGCACGAATGTACGTGCCGGTTGCGTTGAATTGCTGTCAACTGTTCAGCAGCGGGTTAAACCGAAGTATCATGTTTTTGGCCATGTTCACGAAGGCTATGGCATCACCTCCGATGGCAAAATCATTTTCATCAATGCATCCACATGCGATATTAACTACTTGCCACACAATCCACCCGTTGTTTTTGATATAACGTTACCGCCCGGTTTCAGCAAAGATTAACTGCTTAGTGCCAATTCACGTTGCTTCTGCTTTAAGTTCCAGACGAAACAGAACCAAAATACTCATTCGTTGTGTTGTTGGCTGAAAGTCTTGTTTTTAGTCCTTGTTTGTAACATTAGCTAAAACCGAATGTGATTCGCTCAATATTTTAGTAATTTATTTATGCATATTTTTTTTCTCCTTTTTTTACCTTACATTAATTTTTGCTTAAATTGTCGACGAGACGAGATTACACACATACAAAAAAGACAAATGCTCGCTACATGTATTATTTAACATGAGAGTAATTAGACTTATTTGGTAATTTCCCACTGAAAATTAAAAACAAACTAAAATAAAATAGAAAAAAAACTCAACCATTGTAATTTTATAATTAGAATGTAACCGAATAAGTCGTTCAAATAAAATGAAAACACACAATTTTATTAATGAAAACAACAAACATTATTCTCTCGTTGCATTCATTTTGTGTCGCTATTATTTTGTGCATTCAAATATTCATATGCCCGGGAGAAGAAAAAAAATGCTCATTGTAAGTGTGTGCATTGCGCAAAGTGCATTTGACAGTATAGCATTGTAACAAGTCCACACAAGTGTGAATGGTAAAGCAAATTCGAAACGAAAAAAGAAGAAAAAAAACCCAGAGAGACAGAGCGAGACCCGTAGTACATTGTGTAAACAACACACATTTTGACACATACACACTGACAGTGAAGCGGGTAGCGAGTGTCGCCGCCATTTCGCCTCTCACACACTCAATCAGCTGATGGAAGCTCATGATGTCAGAACAACTATTTTAACAAGTTTTGTGTATATCGATTGCAAGAATCAAGCTGTAGACCATTTCATTTTTATTTAAAAGAAAAAACGCATTTTTTTCGGGATAAATGATCAGTTTTTCGCATTAAATCAGTGAATAAATGACAGCGGACAATAAAAACTAATTGAAAATACGTGAGAAGACATAAACATTTCGGTTTTCCGTGTCTTTTGACGCGGTAACTATGGATAATGTGGACGAAAATACTTGTGACAGCTTGGATGATATAAATTTTGGTAGGTGCTAAATCATTCATCTTCACTATTTCTTTCTTGGTTAAAATGTTTTTCTATACACAACAAATGGAAACATCAATATGCAATACACACATAAATACACATGGAAAAAATCGACCGCCAGGCAATTTCATTTTTAATGCGAATATGGAATCGAAAACAAAGGCCACTACTGTTTGCTAGATAGAATGGATTCAGAAATGGTGTGTTTGTGTGTGTGCCCGCAGTACGATATGTTTATATTTAGCGTTTTGTAATTAAAAACAACAAATTGAATATTATCTGAATTTTGTAGAAAAAAAAGAGAAAAAAACACAAGTGTTGAACATCATCGCTTTTGGAACCAAGTCCAATTGTGTTTGGAACCAAGTCCAAAAAGTGACGGGTGAAACGTCAATGTACTTTGTTATTATTTTAAAGAGAATATTATTCTTTTTCGTCTTTCTTTTTATTTGTTATTTCGTGTTCTTTTTTGTTCGTTCGTTGATTCGTTCGTTCATTCCGCTGTGTTGTTCCATACAATTCATTTGCTTGTTGATACACGCACACGATACGCAAGAATTGTTTACCGTTAGATGCGACGCCTATCATAATACACATATCAAACTGACTATTCACTTACGGCCACATACAAACACTCACCAACACACACACACATATAGTAATACTACGGTTCACATTTGCAACAATGTTCGGAATTTGCACACGAATAAACAAATATGTTTTTGTGTAAAAACGAATTATCGTTATCATTAAAATGTCTTTGAATAAATGAAGAAATGGATAGAGAAAAGAAACAAAGCACAGAAAAATTTGCATGAACGAATCATTTGAGTGCTGCCGACTATTGTTTATTAGACGGAAATGGCATTGAAACAAAAGAAAATGCAAAATGCTAATCGGTGGTAATAGACATTGTGGCATATTTTATGATGGTGTTTGATGAACAAAGTGTTTCTCATATGAAATGCATGCATTTACCATCCAATTCGAAGCGGAATGATGACTGATTGATCAGGTAAACATGAAATAAAATAATTCTGTTTACATCTTCATTTTTCACTGTAGACGGTACACGGTGAACGGTGTGTGTGTGTGTGTGTGTATGTGTATGTACTGCGATTGAGAATAGTGACCCATTTGCGGTTTATGTTATGGCATTTAAAACAGTTTTCAACCATAAATTTTAGTGTTACTTATGGATAGAATCGCAACACACGAATACAATATCCATAGTATAGATATAAATACATGTAAACTCAACACGTACTAAATGTCTTGAGCACTCAAAAACGTCAAACATCAGCTGTTGATTCGTTCAACCGCTGACACTAACAAACTGAACATTTTTCCGATTCAATATTTACTTGTAGTTGAGTTCGATGGAAGGGACGAAAAATTCATCGTCAATAAATATCGGCGCTAGCGTGTACAGTTTTTTAATTGCGAACAACACAAGTTTGTGATGTTATTTATGCGAGATTCGGGTAGTGCCACTTTTCTGTCACAATTAACAACCAGCTAAATTTATTGCAAAAAATTCGTTTGATGCTCTGTCTGACTCAACACAGACTCTGTTTAATTACAACCATGGAAATGAGTACGGTGCTTGGTAGTAAAATTGATGCAGTCTGCCGCAATAAAATAACGTTTTTAATTGGCTTTCGTTGAAATAGTCGATTTCGATTTTCCATCAATTTTCGAGTACCGTTAATGCCGATACTGTATTGAAAAATGGTTCTGTTGGTAGAACCATTAGAAATTTCCACTGAATATCGTCAAATCATTGTAAAATTCACTTTTTGCTGATTCTAAAACATTTCAAAATGTTCAATACATTCGAACCAATGGAATCGTTCCGAACGATCAATATTTCGAATAATTTATGGCTTTTTTTAGGAGGCTTTACTTTTGAATATGGTTTGGCTTAGGCCCATCACTTCGATTTCAATGAATATAGAGTGTGCTTTAAGCCAATTGAAATTTATTAGAGAAGTTAGCCTGAGATTAAATAAACCATAATTCAATTCACTCCAAAACAAAAATCCACATAAATTAATGCATTTCCGATTAGGATTCCGATTGGAACTGGTGCTCTTCTTTTAGCTGAAAGTGCGAAATGGATCATTTGGAATACATAAGAAATTGTAAAATGAGAGCAAACATGTGCTCGTTTATCGGTGTTTTTGAAGTGGCATACACATGCTACTCAATTTTTCACCAATAGACACAAATACACCGGTGTTTAATGTGCAAAGATCAGCACGTAAACACCCACGAACGGAGTGAAATGGGAACGTGATACATCATCGAAAACAACAACAACAACAACAACAACAACAACAACGACAACAACACCCAAAAGAAAATGACATAAATATTTATTTGTGCAATGTCATAATCGAATCGATAACGGTTAGCACATCCCATGTACTATTCAATAGAAGCAAAGCGCTCATTTTTGCTCCCTTTTCAGTGCGAAGTTTCATTTTTCAAAATTTTCACAATGACTACTTACTGTCTTTCGCTCCTTTCATGCACCGCTTTCAAATGCTTATGTTGACATTATTGTTATTTATATTTAAATATAAAAATGATATGGAATCGACTCCATTATACGATGAATTATATGCGATTTATTTTCGCTCTATTCTCGAAGATTTATTTTATTCGAAATAGCATTGAACGATATTTACTATTTGAATTCACACCATTCTGACCGGCAGGGCATACACACAGCAAATAAAAATTCAAAAATATGCAGCTTCGTCTATGTTCGCCATCATCTAATTTTGAATGAAGTGCAGTTTTTATTTTCACCGATATTTTAAGTAAAGGCACATCGTTTGTGCACAGACCAAAAACTAAACATCTGATATTCTAGATCATCATTCATCTAATGCAAAACTTTGATCGCGCCTCTTCTCTCGTTCACCTATTTATTTCGCTTTAACCGCAACGGAATTTCTCATACGCATAAAGTTAAGTGAACGAATAAACGAACATTTGGGACTTTTGAATAAACAAACAATCGGGATTTTGTCTGCGTTTCACACTTTTCAGACATTTTCCGTTCAAATTTGACAAAGTTCTTGATAAATTGAATGAGTCATGCGTTATGAATGAAATGTTGATAAAAATTAAAAATGTCATATTAAAAAATATGTTAAATTCTTGATTGTGACGGGTTTATCATCACTGTGCATTTTTTTTAGATAATTTAATTATGAGTTTTATCGTAAATATTCCCAACACAACAGTCGCAAAAATATTTGATACCAATGAAAATCACTTGATAATAGCGCATGAATTTCATGTGTGCCTTTTGATTTCGTGGGGGATTTTTTTTGTTTTGATAATGGAATATTTTGCGTGAACATGTGTATGAGCTTTGGGGTCAAAGTTTACCTAAGTGGAAATTATCACAACGAATGATTGAAAATTATATGTGAGAATATGATATGTTGATGTGAAACACACAAGGAGTCTTCTTGATATGAATAAATGTGAGATCTCACGTTTTTCCAACTGACCCCGGCCCATTGTTATACAGCACTAATATTCCTTTTCAATAGATTATTTTTCGGGAATGGAAAAGAAAAACACACACAAGATTGTTGGTATTTTTGATTCGTTGGTTAGTTGGCACGTGCATACGATGACTATGAGTTGAAAACTTAGCAGGGCACAAACATTCTGAATACCATTTACTGTCACACTTTGTATCCATTTTAATTCAAGTATACGGTAGTTTTGTTTTTTCTTTGCATTTCTGTTCGCTTCTTCGGATTGTCACACACAAGTTTTGTTGGCTTCTTTTAAAATAGACCAAAGCCAATTGAAAATGACCACTTAAACTGATTTCGTTCGAACGTTTATTATTGCAATTAATGTAGTCGACTCATAATTTTTTGTTTTCGTTTCGTTCCAAGCTCTCGCTCTCTCTCTCTCTCTCTCTCTCTCTCCCTGTCTCTGACTCTCCTTCGGCTTTTCGTTGTTTCGTTCTCGCTCGTTCGGCTCTCTCTATCTCTCTGCCTCGATTCCGAACATAAGCATAATTTTAAAAGGCACACGTATATTTCATTTTTTCGGTTGTTCACACTGTGCTGCGCTTTCCTAAGCTTGAACTTTTTTTTCTGCCTTTCGTATTTGTTCTGTCGTCCAAATGTGATTTGTGTGTGTGCTTTTTCCTGTGTGAAACTTTTGTGGAAAACTATGTCTTGAAATCGATCATTGTGTGATAGCAGCCTCATTGACACCTAACTCGTGAAAGATTAAACGCGACGAACGAAGAAACGAAAAGAAAGACACACACACACACAGAGAGAGAGAGAGAGAGAGAGAGAGAGAGAAACGAACATAGTGAGAGAATAAAAGCGAAAAGAAGTGTGCTAAGTCGCAAAGTACCAATTTTCCGAATACGAATTGTAGGCTGAAAAACTGTCGCGATAATGTGAATTATTTGTGCTAGCGAGAGCGTCTTATTTTTAAGTAATATTCCGAATGTTGTGTGTTGATTCTATAACGATATACACACTCATGTGTGATATTTTGATTCGAATAAATACGTAATATTGTCATTGGAGTGAAGCCAACGCCGAGAACGAGCCGTTGAGCATAGTCGCTAATGAATTCGTGTGTCTGCGCATCATTAATGTAATTCAACGTGTAATATCAAGCAGCAATTGCGCTCAGTTAAGCACGTATCATTTTAAGAGATTTATAACAACAAGTATAGAATTTTTTCATTCTCGGGAAATTGGTGGCAGTGCGCTTTTATCATTTTGTTTCTTTTTTTGTTTTCCTTCGATTTTATTCGAACCACTCGAGGCTAGAGAAAGAAATTGCCGATTTGCAAACGCAATTGCAATTGTTCTCATTAGTTTCGAACCGACCACATACCCGTTTTTTTTTATGAATGACCCAACTCAAGCGAATCGTCTATCAAACAAATTGTTCAATTTTGTATTTCGATTCGGTCATCATCTGCCACTGGCGATACATTCAAGTAAGTGAACATCGCGCGCGAATGCACCGAAAGTCGGAAAACAAACACATCTCGAACACATTTAGTGAAAACAATCTTTGTCTCTTGGTTTTTGTTGGTTTTGGCATTGTTGGTGTTGTTGTTCATTTGTTTCGTCACACACACACATGACGTGCACACGCGCAAGCTAACACACGTTTTTATTTATGATTTCAGATTCCAATACACAGAGTAGCGATATTTATACGTTGAGCACAAACAGCGGTTCGGAAAATTCAAAGGCCAGCTCGAGCGATACGTCGCCAGCACTGCGAAATTCAGGAAATCAATCCAGATTATCGGCTTCATCACGACCAACATCTGAACGGAGTTCGAACGCAAATCCAAAATGCGTTTCCGAAGGAAGCGTATCACCGTTGGGTCACAGCTCGTACAGTGGTACCACTGCGGCCGATGTTTGTGCAGACAATCAAACCGTCATTAGTTTAGGTATGTACAATCTGATGTTTCAAGCTTAAACGATCCGATCGTACTGACTGTTTTCTGTTCGATTTTCTTTTTAGATCTAGATGCAATCAAATCATCAAATTCATCGAATCGTCAAGCACTTTTGCCATGGGGTACACAGAGTAGATCATGTATAGCGGCCACAGCGGGCATCATTGATATGCAACAAACCAGCGACAGTTCATTGCGACCCGGTGAAATTGTGATGCGAACACTGTTTGCCGAATTCACGCAACAAGCCGAAAAGAAAATTGAATTGGTTATGCTGGAAACGTCCGACAAAAATCTTGCCAAACTATTACAACGCGGCGAAGACGCACAGTTTGATCAATTGCTTTCGGCCTTTGGTTCGGTGGCCGAACACTGTTTACCATCCCTGTTGGTCACACTGTTGGCATGGCACAAGCGACAACTATCCGATGCCGAAATAAAAAGTGATTTAAAGCGAATGGAAAAAATTGCCAACAAACCAAATGTTGACATTGATCTACAGTTGCAGCGTCGCGAAACCGCGGTCGAATTCATTTTTTGTTTGGTATTAATTGAAATTCTACGCCAACTACCGTTTCATCCAGGCCACGAGGACATTGTAAAAAGTTTTGAAAATCTCGCATTTAAACATTTCAAATATCGTGATGGATTACAGAATAATCCGAATGCACATAACATTCACATGATTGCTGATCTCAATGCAGAGGTGATTGCTGTGTTGGCACAAAGTCGCTTCAGTTCGGTGCGAAAGCGTTTTATGGCCGAATTGAAAGAGTTGCGTACCAAAGAGCCAAGCCCACACACCACACAGAGCATCATCAGTTTGCTTATGGGAATGAAATTTTTTCGCGTAAAAATGGTGCCAATCGAAGAGTTCGAAGCATCATTTCAGTTTATGCACGAGTGTGCCCAATATTTTCTCGAGGTGAAAGACAAAGATATCAAGCATGCATTGGCCGGATTGTTTGTTGAAATTCTAGTGCCCGTGGCGGCGGCTGTTAAAAACGAAGTGAATGTTCCGTGCGTTAAGAATTTTGTCGATTTACTGTATTCACAAACACTGGACGCTTGCACCAAATCCAAACACAAATTGGCCTTATTCCCACTGGTCACGTGTCTCCTGTGTGTTTCGCAGAAAACGTTCTTCTTGAGTAACTGGCATTGCTTCCTTGCCATGTGTCTGAGCAATTTGAAAAATCGAGATCCAAAAATGAGTCGAGTGGCACTGGAATCGCTGTATCGTCTTCTGTGGGTGTACATGATTCGCATCAAGTGCGAATCGAATTCGGCCACTCATTCGCGTCTACAGAGCATTGTCAATTCGCTATTCCCAAGGTAATTGATTCGATTTGAGTTGAGTTCGCAAATGGAATTGAACTAATCCAATCGGTTAATGTGTGAATATTTAAAACAATTTCAGGGGTTCGAAATCAGTTGTACCGCGTGATACACCGCTCAATATATTTGTGAAAATTATCCAGTTCATCGCACAGGAGCGGCTTGATTTTGCAATGAAAGAAATCGTTTTTGAACTATTATGGGTTGGACGACCAATTAAGGTAATTTACCTGGCCCCAAACTATCTTCTGAAAAAGTGCTTAATTCGAATTTAATTTTCGTTCAACAGATAATTATGACACCGGAGCGTATGAGCATTGGATTGCGAGCATTTTTGGTGGTTGCCGATTCGTTGCAACAAAAGGACGGTGAACCGCCAATGCCGCGAACGGTGGGCGTTTTGCCATCGGGCAATACGTTACGCGTCAAAAAGACATATATCAATAAAATGTTAACCGATGACACGGCCAGAAGTATTGGAATGTCAAGCTATTTCCCTCATGTTCGTCGCGTTTTTGTCGAGATTCTACGAGCATTGGATGTGCACTACGGTCGTCCGCTGATGATGACAAACACACAGAATTTGAACAAAGAGCCCGACGAAATGTTGACCGGCGAACGTAAGCCACGAATTGATTTGTTCCGGACATGTGTGGCAGCCGTGCCTCGTCTGATCCCCGACACAATGACAATGCACGAACTGGTCGATATGTTGGCTCGTTTAACCGTGCACATGGATGAAGAGCTTCGCACATTGGCCCATCAATCGTTGCAAACACTGCTCGTTGACTTCCCCGACTGGCGACAAGACGTCATTCAGGGCTATACGCAATTTATTATTCGTGATGTTTTGGACACGTTCCCACATTTGGTGGACAAATGCACAATGCTGTTGCTAGTTTTTATCAACGTATGGCGTAGTGCATTGGGCAACTATAGTACGGGCTCATTGTTAAAATCAACCACAACAGCAACGGTTAGCACGACCACGGCCACCGTATCGCAAGCCCCATCGTCATCGGTACAACCGACATCAACGATTAATTCCAATTCCAGCGGAGCGTCCAGTTTGAATTCAAGCGGTGTGTCAAGCATTACACAGACAACTGCAATCAATGCATCCGAATTATCATCGAAGAAGAACGATCAACTGCCACTAACCACCACCATGCACTATGTGGAAGGATTTGCGCTGGTGATGCTGTGCAACTGTCGATCGTATCTACGAAAATTAGCTGTGAATATTTTAAAAGACGTAAAAAATCTCTATCGTGCCTTGGGACTTCCGGAAACCGAGCAATTTCTCATCGATGTTATTGATAAATGTTGTCCAGCGGTAATTGAAATTTGCTCATCTTGAATCTAAACATATGTTATCTTAAAATCTTTCGAAATCTTCAGTTGACAAACAAAACTTACTTATTTTCCTCCTTTTTTTATTTGCAGGTACTCGACAAATGTTTGCCCATTTTACCGCAAGTTGATCGAATGGCAATGCTAAATGCAAACGTTATCGATTTGCAGTGGATAGCGGAACGCACGGGCGGCCATTGGATTTCGGGACATGTTGAAGGTGGCATTGGTATGGATTACATTTTAAATGGACAATAATTTTGGGTTTTTTTTTCTCTTTCACTCTATCCATTTGTTGGTCATAGATTCAACGAAATCGTCAACAAGCACATTGAATCTAAATCAAACATCGTCCACATCTGCTGGAGACCCGTGGGCTATTTGTTTGTTTGGTTTTATGGAACGTGAGCGTGTGCTGCAACAGTGTCCAGCCGTTGTCGCTCAAGCATGGCCGATATGCTATCAACGTGTTACCACTTTGTTCAACGTCATTGATCCCACGTAAGTGTTTTTTCGCCAAAGGTTTTTCCCTGCAAGGTATTTCATCGGAATCGAAATTGGTTAACCAAGAAAATAAATTTGTATTTTATCTCAAATAGGCCGGTTAGTGATAATCGAGCTTCGTTGCTACGAAGTTCAGCACCGCCAAAAAAGACACCATCCGAGAGCCAACGCGACTCGTTGTCTCGCCTCTGGAAATATCAAGTAATAATGGCGATGCGGCTCGTGCCACCGATTCCAAGTATAGCGGTTCGCTGTGCATCTCCTGATCTTAGTTTAAGGTATGTCATTTCAATTTTACTTTGACAAACACAACTTCAGGCATTTACATATTTTGAGTTACATTTGCGCTTAACTCATACCATCCGTTAAACACTTTTTTGTTGATCATTCGTAATATCAAAATCGAAACAAACATAAACCAAAAAAAAAGAGACAAATTCTATGATTTGGACGAATTCTCAATTCGAAAGAAAAGCGTTTCACATTATTGTCATGTTTTTTTCCTTTTCTTTAGTTCATATCGTTTTGTTCTTCTTCTTTGGGATGAATCTCTTTTCTTTATATATCAAATAAAATGAGAAAAAAAAGAAAAGAAAATGCATATGTATTATGTGTTTGTAGTAGAGATCGCATTTGTGTTGTCGGTCGCTGGAACGATTTGGTGAACCATCATCTTTATAAATGTGTGATCATTTGTATTTTCTCTCACGTCATCATCAATTGATGGGCCTTAGTTTGTACATGGTGTTTATCAGTTAGCACTTGCATTATGAATTTTACACCATTTTGTTCCATATAATATCTTGTATTTTTTTTCTACATTCATATGATTATTATTTTTGTTGTTGTTAGATCAAATTCCGTTGTGCTAGCGAATTTATATTTTCTTTCTGTTATCTCACTGTGTGTATGTGAGGGCTATCGTAGTGAAGCCGAAAAAATCGGAACAAATCATTCTGTGTAATTAATTGAAATGTCGAGTGTCGATTTTGTTAAATCATAAACATCCACCCATAAACACAAACACAATTACATGCATCATTGTTGTTGTTGTCGTTATTTGTATATGTGTTTTTGGTAATGGGGCTTCTGTGCCGAAAGTGTAACATCAAAAACATTGCTAAAATTCTGGGTGGGCTAGACCATGTGTGATTGTGTATTTATCCAAGCTAACGCATAATTGAATCCTTGTAGGTCTTTGAAAAGACAGACACCGAGAGACTTATTTTTATTCACAACATCTCTCTTGTTGGCATTCTTGATAGTGAATTTCAATTATTTATCGCATATACTATAATATGTTATGAGTGATTTTCTTTAACGTCATCTCTATCACTCCTTCGTTGTTTCCTTTCCAATCTCTCTCTCCCTCTCTCTATCTCTCTCACTTTGTCTTTATCCTTCTCTCTTGTTTTCTTAACATATATTCGCTAAACTACTTCTTGTGATTCTTATTTTGTTTTTCATTATTTGCACTCATTCTCACACTCAGACAAATAATAATAACTTCATTGTTGCTGACATCTGTTTTTTTTCTATTCCAATCAAATCCATTGCGTTTTCGTTCTCTCTTTTTTTCACAAATTGTTATTATTTTTAATTGTTTATTTTTGAATAAATGAACAAATTTTTTTAGTATGCATGAACAATCGGATTCTCGTTCGCTTTCCGATTCCTTGGATAACATACCATCGAATGTTTTTGGACCGGAAGGGCTTGTGACGAGATTCACATTACCGCTTTCTTACGGCCGTAAAGAAGCTAGACAAAAACGCGTTGGGTAAACGAAATTCATTTGAACACAATGAAAAAAAAAATCGAAGAAAAAAAAATTATAATTGAAAACAAGTTTGACATTAGCCAAACAGCCAATTTTATTTTCCATTGATTAGGTGTGTTGATTGTTTAGTTTTGCCATGAATATTTTTTTTTGTTCTGTTCATTTCGTTCGAAAGTTTTTCTTAAGCATCTCCATTTATCTGTATGATTCCTACCGAAAGAAAAGATTGTATAGAAAAGCTCGATTTTGATTTATTTTTATTCGCATTGCTGAAGCGCACCAATTGTTCAATCGAATTTCAAGCATTTTTCGTTTTGCTGTTTGTTTTTTATGCGATGAAAGAGAGTATATTGACAGATAAAATTGACGTATGTTTGATGTTTCACCCAGAAAATTATCGTGGTTGTGTGAATTTTTTTTTCGCTCCTACATTGACATATTGCACGGACGACAATACATCAATTTTATCTGTCAGAAATCATGTCGATTTTCATTATTTCGACAAAGCGAATGTGCTTTTGGATGATTTTATTGATGATGGAAAAACCGTTTGAGAACAAGTACCAGTGACATGGCAAAAATCACGTTTTATTCGGTGCTTGTTTTTTTTGTTTTCTTGTTCAAGGGTGAAAATAAAAATCGTATACGTGTTTGTATTGGCATCGAAAAACATTCAAACTGATACTCTCTTTTGTACGTTTAAAATTAGTAACTGTATCAGTGAATTATTTGTTTATTTCTCTTCAAATTTACGAACACTCCTGCCTGAAGCCTTTATAAGCAACAGCTTTTTTGTTGATACCTTTCGAATTTTTCGGTTTAAACTTTTTATTTTTGTTGTGTATTGCGGTGTAGAAAACTTAGTCACTTGAAGCACTTTGTGTGTAAAAATGTTAACATTAGCAAGCATGGGAAATTTATCTATTTTTAAGTGTAAATTGCGAACTGTTGAAGAGCATAGCGATCTTGGAAATAAAGAAAAAAATACGGAAAATTTTCTCATTTCCGAGAATTTATCTGAACTTTTAGCAGTTAAGCAAATGAGAAATCAAATTTCGTATAAGTAGTTGTTTTCTTTTGCACAACAACAATAACGAAAAAAAAGACACACATATACAATTTCTTACACACACGCTTACATGAAAATTCGGAAAAATTTAACCAAAAAAAAAAAAAAAAAAATACACAGAATTTGTTCGAAATACGGTCCCAAGCTGTTACAGTTTTTTTTTAGTGAGCTTTTTTATACAAATGTGTTTTGTTGTGTTTTTTCTTCTTACTTCTTTTGACTTGAATACACAAATAAAAGCAGTTGAAATTCACAAAAAAGAAATTTGTCGGTGGATTCACGGGGAAATATACACACAAAATACAACACCCCACAAACAAATAAAATACACCATAGAAATTACCTCCAAATTTTGCCAATATTAAGCTAATGAATTGTTTGTTTTTGTTTTCATTTTTTGTTGGTTTTGTTTTGAATTTCACGAAACCATGTGAATATCATCAACACACACACACAAACAGCTCATCGCCAGACTCGTTAAATGCAGATCGAAGTGATAAATCAAATGCAATTTCACCATCACCTGTTGCACTTTACAAATTAGTCGTACCACTATTGCGATGTGAAGTGGTCGATGTTCGTGATGCAGCTGTTAATGCGCTGGGAATGATAAACCATGATGCTTTGAAGTAAGTTTTATAATATCAAGATTATATGCAATGTTGAAGTGAAATCGAGTTGGAAAATTCATAACTTTTGATACATTGTCAGAGATTTAATGGACGAGCTGGTGCTTTACATTCGAGAGGCAGTCGATCGAAAGCAAGAAAATATGCGTCGAAGACGTCGTCGTGATGCATTACGTTTGCAATTAGTCAAAGTATTGGAGAAAATTGCTGAAAATCGAACATTCGCCGTCAGGTAAAGTTATTTCCGAGATTATAATGTTCGACGATGAGCCCGGGCAACTAATCGCTGTTAATTTGTTTCGAATAAAAAATTTCAGTCCATGTGTCATTGAGCGTGACACAATGTCGTTGCATCCAACATTTGTCGAATATATGGACGGCGCTCGGCTCTATCTCGAAATGGAAACGGACAAGGATAACATCAGTATACGCGAAGTGAAAATTCATTTTTGTGATTTTATCCGAAAAATGATAAAGAACTTTTCATGTGAGTTAATCAATATAATAAATCATCAAGCGTTCGTGTCTAAATTGGAAACCATTTCCATTTATACAACGTGCTATCATCACAAAAATGGTTCTATAACAGAAGGAAAAAACGAAGCAAACAATTAGCCTGTCGTTTTATATGTTCAATGACTGATGAATATAAAGTCTAATCATTTCATTTTTTTTTCATTTTCTTCTTCTTTTCATTCGACGCTAATGTCACCACCGCCGGTTGCTGTCGTTTTGTTATCATGAATTGTGGGGGTGATTATCGTTTGTCATCAAGCAGTGGAGAGTCGTGCAACATTGTTGTCAAATGATTTGAAGCGGCATTTATTTAATTTGTTTGCATCATGGAGTGGACCAACGGCAAAACCACTCGGTTTTTCACATGCTGGCTTCAGTGGAGCGAACAGTAATGGTGGAGCGAGCACAGCAGGTGCCAATAGCAGTAATAACAGTGTCGGCATTAGCGGTACGATTGCAAGTGGGACGAGCATAAGCTTAGGAAGCATTTCCGTTGAAGAGGAAAAATTGCAATTTAGTGCGCTACAAGTAAGTCAAAGGCTTTTACATTGAAATCATTATTATTATCTTGCTGTTTGCTCGCGAGCGATCGCTTTAGAAATTAATTATCGAATAGTTTACTTGCAACGCCTTTATAATGAATGCAATCTGATTTGTATGCAACGTACATTTCTATTCTTTTCTTTTCTTTGGTGCGATGTAGGCGATGAGTGCACTATTGTGTTGCGGCCCATGTTTTGATCCACAATATTTAACTGAAGAAGGTCTCATTTATCCTTGGCTCGATTCCCTGTTGATCTCCATGGACGAAAAGGTAAATAAACGCCATTCACAATTTGTTCCAGTTCAATCTGGAAACCGATTCGCTAGATAGATTTTTTTCATATCCGATAGCCTTTTCATAATCTAAATCTTAAATCCTTCATGTGAGCTACTTTGTTTGAATGCCATGTAGCCCACGACATTGGTTTGTTTGTTTACCAAATACAAAAACAATAGAATGGTTAAAAAATTGATTGAACATCGGAAAAAACAATCGACCGTTCTTTTCATTCATTTTTTGTGTGTGCTGAATTTGAATGAAAATACAATTTAATCAACAGGTTTATGATTTGGCCCGAGACATTGTCGTTTTATTACTCGAATCGAATCCAGATAGTGGCCATTTATTGGAATGGGTTATTGATCGATGCTACACAGCACAACCACGCGAAGCCGACATCTGCTTTCTATCACTAGCAACAGTATTTAGTGCAAGGTAAGTTCATTTCAAATATTTATTTAGTTTTAGCCAAGTGAATAGGAACAAATTCCTTGAACACAACTTTAAGATGTTGTGCAAACCTTGAAACGGTTTCGAAGATAGTTTGGCAAACGGTTAAGATAGCAAAATCGTTTATGGAGCAACAAACAGTTCTTAATCAGAAACCTTGATGGTGAACACTTATTTCGAATCGAGTATTCTAATGAAATATATCTTAAAAGACTTGTTACCAGATAGCTAACAGTTTGTGGCAAAGAATAACACCAAGTACCATGATACCAATCGACAAAATGAGGGCAATCAAAGACGAACTTCTTTCGCAACTTTTCCATTTGTGAATGGAGGAAAAAAATACAAATAATTAAGGGTTATTGGAAGTTATAGCTATTTGAAACGTGAGGGAAAACACAAAATTTAGCTCAGTTTTGATAACATTCACAATCAACCGTAACTTAATTAAGATACACATCTAGCACCTCGAGAAGGAAACAAATTAAGGATGCTTACTATTCAAGTCTTGACTCAATATGGACACATTCTAAAAAAAAATGGTCCTTTTCGAGGGCTTGAGCTTAAGTGAAGCTCAATCGAGAGAAATTTATAATCTTTGATGCTTCATACTCAACCCTTGCTGGGTGAAAGGGAAATTAGCATTTTTTTTCACATTTAATTTCTCGGTTTTTAAATCCAGTTTCCTTTAAACCGGTTATTTTTTCTAATTGATGTATAAATATATTCCAAGGGCAATTATTCATATAGAACAAAACTAACCACATGCAAATAAGCTCTAGTTTTGCCAGCTGTTCAAAATAAATGCGCTTGAAAACATAGTCGAAGGATAGCTTAGTTGGAAACTGCATTTTTAGCTCAGAATAAAGTATCCTTCAAATAATTCTTATTTTCATCTTATTTTCAAACAACAGTTTTTTTGTCAATCACGCAGCGATTTTAAGCGGGTTTCTATTGTTCAATTTCTTTTATTATTGGGATAGTGATTGTATTATAACTCATTTGATCAGTGGATGTACATTTGAAAAAAAAGCAAAAAAAAAATAAAATTGAGAATGGAGCCAATGTGTCCTTCTATTCGGAATATTTTTTTCAAATCGGATCGGTCCATGCTATTAAAAGTGAATTTTCTCCGACTCCTTGTCCGCAACTTGTTCGAACCATAAAGTTTATGTACAGATAGCATGCATGCAAAACTCATCAATATCATCTCGAACCCCATCGTTTCACCGTTGAAAATTCAAATGATGATGGATTTAAAACTCGACATGTTCGCACACCGACGATGATGAAAAATTCAAATTTAATAATCATATGTTGCTTTGGTAAATTTTTTCATTCGAAAAGCTCCTGCATTCAAATTTGTAATTGAAGAATACGTACATTGAACATGTTCAATAGAATAATGTTCGATATTTACTGTATCATTCTAACTTTCTCCTGTCTCTTTCATAAATTATATTACGGGACCTATCAATTATTCCACTCATGGATTTGTCATATATCAAAACATTTTCCCGCAATGTACCAAGCAACTTTTACGTAAGCAGATATGCACACACACATCGACACACCCATGTATGGAATAAAGTCTACCCAACTCCGAATTTACTGAGCGGCTGTGCACACAGCAAAGCCGCTTTAAAATCAGCCTACGAGCCCAACAAGCTCGATAGTCTGACAATAATTTTCGAGTAACGTTTCTGTCATTATGGTTGCCATACATTCGGGTACTTGATTGGATGTGCGAACAATGACTCTTTGTTCATTTTTGACATTTGTCGATTTTCGATCCCTATCGATATGGTAATTTATGGGGCAACGAATTTTTGCGGGTGAAAACTCTGGTGCAGAGAAACGCGACATCCTATACTCTTTTGATTTAATACTTTATTTGATCGTTTGATGTGGTATGTGACGGTTTTTTATGTTCGGCTCCGTTCAATACCAGAATTTATCAACTCATGTATAATAAAGTGACTCGTGATTTGATTATTCCCATTTTTTCGGTGTTGCTAATAACACAGAGACAATGATTTCTGATTGAATATTCTGATTGATGGATTTAACACCCTGTTCATGATGTACTGGGGACACTTTGTGGGAAAATCATCGCTGTAATGGAAAATTCATTCAAATTTAAATCATACGAACTTGTTCGATTATTTTACAGAATTTTTTCTCTTCCTCTTTCTATCGATGGTTTATTTGATCGACAAAAACCAAAATCTGCTTCATTTGCTTAATTTGATTTATTCAAAATTCAATGCGTGGATTAATACATTGTCTCTGTGTACTTTTTTTTTGCATTGCAGGGAATATCCATGTGATCACTACACATCTGTGATAAATGTTACGGTACTGATGACCGGATGTCCACGTGTCGATGTTCATACAATAGCTGTACAGTTGCTGCAAGTGTTGGACAAACGATTTTTCGGTAATGTGGGACCCCTCCAAACTGAAGGCGAAAAAGGTAGGATTTATCTTTGTTTATTTTGGTTGTTTTTTCCCCCTTTAGTACCACATTGATACACTTTTTTCGCGTTCTAAAAACTTTTCCTCAAACGAATCGTTTGACTTTGTGTGTTTTTTGTTCGTATATTTTTCATTGATGTGTATTTCAACGAAAATGGAAACCACTTGAGATATCTCAAAAGGAAAAAAAATGAAGAATGATGCGAGGAAAAACAAAGCGAAGAAAAAAAGTTTCGCTTCTACCTCTATCCTGGATCATATGCATTTAAGTAAAACTCGATTCTCTGGCGAACTTTTACACCCGTTCGGCGTGTCCAACAATGTTAGAGCAATCAAACAATCTTTAAACGAACCATATCCCCGCGTGCACATGCATGACTTCATCAAATATTGATATTCATTCATCTATGATGATGGGGATCTAATCGCTATGAAATGATACAATGTATATGCAGGAAGTTCGAATCGCATTTACCATGTCGAAGGCGTTTGAACATTCCATAGCGATTGTCGGTTGACCACAGCAGATTCACTTTGTTGTCGAAATTTCGACCACGTTCGATCATTTGAATGGGTGGGTAACGGTAGATGCACAAAAATAATTAGATGTGTTGTCGTTGTCGTTGCCATCATAGCCGCTTGAAATATCATCAAAACACTGAATATTTCAATTCCAATGCATTGGAAAACTTCAAAAGCTTCATTCTTATGTATTTTAACACATCATGTCCAAGTGTAAATGTTTGCTTAAAAAAATCCCCAAATTCCTTAACACACACTCTGATTTCAATTGTGGAATCAAAGAATTATTTCAATTGTGGAATTAAAGAAGCCCATCTGCATACAGAATCGGAATAAAAAAAAACGAAAGATTATCAGAGGAAGTAGACGACATTCACAAGCCTCTAGTTCGTGGAAGTAAATCGATATATTCGTACATATTTTTCCGAATAATAGCAATCCGCGCGCCCTAATGCGTTCTACGTCACGAATGTTTGGCCAAAGGAAACATACGGCGAGAAGCGAAAGAACAAACAGCAGATAGAAGAGAGATTGCGGAGGATGGAGGAATGGCAGCAAGCATTTTAAATGTGCGTCGTCTGCGAATGAGGGCGTCATCCGCCGAATTTCTCAAGTCAATGAACACGGATAATAGTAATCATATTTCAGGCAAGTGAATGGCCTGATCGATCGATTCATCGTTAACTTAATTTCAGAACATTAAAATCAAATATTTGCCCGAAAGTAGAAGCAAAAGTCGAAATCGAACGGAAATCATGGAAAATATCGGTGCCGACGTCCCTTCATTTTCTCTTTATCTTTGTGACCGGCTGCACTCAATTTGAGTAAATATCGATTGATTGAAAGTAAAATGTGAGTTTCATTTGCCAAAGAATTTTCTATTTGGACAAAGCTATCTGATTGCTGAAAAAACACACACGCCAGAAACAGCAAATGCGGGACACACTCACACAAAAGGAAGAAGAATGATGAGCGTTTTTCAAGTTTCAATGAAGTGATAAAGAAAATCATTTTTGTTAATGTGTCAACAAATCTATTAGCATTGATCTTTCGTTTATTTAAGCCGAAAATCGGTGCTCGGTTTTGGGTTGCGGATAACGGTCGGTAGCTAGGTTCTCGGAACTCAACGTATCTGTTATCATAAAATGTTTTTTTTTCTTCTCGGCTGTTATTGAATACGTGGAATGCTATTGCAGTGTGAGAACAAGAGGAGAAAAATTATGGTTTCGGTTTGACGTTGAACGTAAGGCCTTGTTTACTGAATTATCGAAAAATGTTCTTTATATTTTTTTCTCTTGCTCATTTTTCGACGTTTGAAAAATGAATACTTCCAAAGTAAATAGGGTTTTCTTCTCTGTTGCGTCTTGATTTCGTGTTAGTTGTTTCACACACTGCAACATTTATGAGTGTAAAGACTAGTATTGAGATGGGGCAATATAGAGGTTTCAACTATTTTAAGATGAATTTACACCGAAATTTGGGTAAAATGAGTTATTTTCTATGCGTGTGTCCAAACGGCTACTGTTCATATACGCGCTAATACATAGGCACGCACTGGCGCCGAGTCTGTGAATTTGTATGTATTGTATGAGTTGTTGAGTACAAAATTTACAATACATTTATTTATTTATTTATTTATTTATTTATTCAGGCAAATGTTATACATGAACGCCCCTAAAACTAAATAGTTACATCTCAATAAATAATTAACTTTTTTTCTTATGTTTTGTAGTGACTCTGTTTGTTTTGTAAATATATTTCTGTTTTTTTTTGTTTCTTAATTTGTTACATTGCAAGTTTTTTGACTGCTCTTCCAGTGTAATTTTTTTCAACTGGTTTTTAAATGTCTGTATTTTGTGAATTCTTTTCATTGGCGATGGCAAAGAATTGTATGAATTAGTTCCCCTGTTAATGATAGAATATTTTCCCCAATTATTTTTGGGTTTAATTTTGCGCAGTCTTTTTGATTGTCTTGTTTCATACTCGTGATGCTTGTTGTTAAAATCTAATTTGATATCTGCTTTTAACATGTACGTGCCTATGTATTAGCGCGTATATGAACAGTAGCCGTTTGGACACACGCATAGAAAATAACTCATTTTACCCAAATTTCGATGTAAATTCATCTTAAAATAGTTGAAACCTCTATATTGCCCCAACTCAATATTAGTCTTTACACTCAAAAATGTTGCAGTGCATGCGGATAAGTGTTGTATGCGGTTTTGTTTTTTTTTCTATGTTCAATTTCGGTAACACGTTCTATTGGAATACATCAACCGCATCGTAATCATCGCCTATCCCTTAGGCTAAGGGCCTTGGGCATCTGAATACATTAAAGATGCACAACGTTGATTTGTAAACAGTATGTGCTTGTTTGTATGGGTTCGTTTTATTTTTCATTTTGGATGAACATACATCTTAACTATCTCATGTATGCTTGCCAGGCCCGTAGCCAGGATTGATTGTATGGGATGGCATGACCAATTTTTGGGGTGGCGCGTAATTTTCAATATTTCAAAAGAAATTTTTGATATTTAATATCCCGAAACTTAATTTTCCCTTGATTTATTGTAAAATTTTCTTCAACCGTCGTCGATTTCGGCTTTCTTGGACTGGCGGCAAATCATTTTCAACCATAAATTCAGTTGCTTTAGTTTCAAATTCGTTGAAACTTTTTTATTTTGTAACTTTTTTATGTCCTTGACGTACGGTGGATTTCGTGACTACGAAATTGGTTAACGTTCCAATCCTATGGACGCTGCCATATTCAAAATTTACGTGCGATATGGTGCCCGCACTCAATAGTTCCACCTATTTTAATAAGGAATCTATGTAGGGGGCGCTGCCACATCGTCATTTACATCGACTCAAGTATCGTCAAATATAATAACATTGTTTATATTGGCTTTTAGCGCAGTACGGTCCTTGATGACCAAATCAATCAGTGGGATTGCTCTGACGTAGCTCATTTCTCGCGACTGATGCAATTTATTGGCTGGCTCCAATAAATCTAACACTCTTTTCAAGAATAAGAGCATGTGAATGAATTTTGGCTTTTGAATGGCGTGCAATATATGTAAACAATAAATGTCGCAGACGATAAATATTAGTTATAAACAATATCATATCGAGAATGATTTTATAGGTCTCAATATCAAGTCATTATAGAAGATGGAATAAAACAAAATTCAGAAGTCGTTCGGCAATTCGTTTGGAAGTGTATCGTTCGGCTGCTTTCTTGTGTTGACTAATACTATTGAAGAACGTAATGCAACTCATTCTAATTTCAATTCCATATTTGCTTCACGATTATTCATATTCAAGCATTTCACTTTCGGCCCTCTAAATGAATTCATTACGATGATTTTATTCCGCATTTTGATTTTTGAGATGACAATGATTTTTGGGGTGGCCGCAAAAATTCCACGCACTCGTCTGGCTACGGGCCTGATGCTTGCGATTTGTACTGCAAATTTATTCGTCTTGCACTTCCCTGACTTCAGTGACCACTTACACTCCGCACACACACACATAATTGTTTGTATACGTTTATTGGTGACTTTCACGTGCTCTGTTTATATCTCTCAATCAATTCCGCAAGAAGGTGGATGATTCCAAGAAAATGAAAACCAACGCCGACGAAAAATAAATGTTTAATTTGGGTAAACGAATATTAGTAAAATTGAACCGTGATCAAATATCACCATCGACACGTGGCCAATGTGAATGGGCAAAAATAAGATAACAAAATAATGAACGATGAAACTGAATTAAACTGAAATTCGTGTTACCATTCATGAAAGTGTCTTCAGTGCTGTGGCTCAACAGATTAACGATAATACTTCCGGCATCCCAAAAAGAAATTGACACCAGTTTAGCGCTGGTTTGCTGCTCTCACACCACACACAGTATGCTGTAGTGTGAGAGCGGCAAAGCGGCAGCATACTGTGTGTAATGTGGTGTCAGAGAAGCAAACCAGCACTAAACTGGTGTCAATTTTTTTTTGGGATTTCACGTACGCTCTCGCAGCTTATTCAAGCAAAAGGCATCTAATGAAACGGAAGAGAACGTGAAAAGACGAAAGTTTAAGTTTCGACACGGTATAGTAACTCCAACGGAATCAAAAATTAATAAGATAATAACTCTAATCAAGCGAACCCCAAAACTAATTTGAATTATATATGTGGTCGATATTTTAATGGATACTGTGTTTGCATTGTCGCCGCAGCCGATAATGATTCCCCGGGCACTTTTGCCAATTGGCTTCGGTGACAATTTGCTCGTAACTTTGGCGTAGACTATTTATTATCAGTTGGCTGATTAATGCTCGTGACAATGCCTTTCACATTGAACAGTTCACAAAATTCACTCCGAAATCAATTCTTTCTCGATTCCATCCCTAAAATGGCAATCGATAATGCATGTTTTGAATTTGTAAGATGATTCTGTTTTTGGCTCATAACATTTCTTCGATAAATGTGGCACGTATTTCATGAGATAGGAGAAAAATCATTGACGTATAGCACGCATATACGCCTTTTGATTGTTTGATTCGCCTTTTAATACTTCCGATTTTTTGTTCATTGAAAAATTCACTCCTTGGTGATAAATCTCTTTTTTTTCCTGCTTTTTTCGCATGACAAAATGGTGAGAATACACAAGACGTGTGACCTTTTTCGCATTTCATGACATCTGTTTATTTATATTTACACAGAGTTCTTCTTTAATCTGTCTTCAGTAATCGTTCCGGTTTCTTCATTTTTCTTTTCCATTCAAAATATTATTGAAAACCGTGTCAATTCCAATCAATAAATCGTTAGAGATATGGGTTTTGTGAGAAATATTTCATGCTCGCGTGAATTGGTTGTTCGTTTGCCGCATGCCAATTTCAATTTATGTTTGACTGTGCAATCGAGTGGTTTGTCTAACGCACATTGGAGTGACTCTCTCTCTCGCTCTCGCTCTATACAAAACATATATTTCCATCAATACTCCGTTTTTTTTTTCAAAACAAACGCTCTTCGAATCTATTGTGAAAATTGTTCGCCAACCATCAGAATACTCCTTCTGTTTGTTTGCATCGCAGCGTAATCAAATTGATTCTATTGTCATAGAAGAGCGGATACATCAATTCTCGCTTTTGATACGCATCAACTTTAATTCGAGTTAAATAATTTATAAGGCGTTGAGCTTTTCTATACATGCAAATTCGTTTTATTCTCTAAAAACCCGTTCAAACCGAGCAATTTTTTTTGAAAACCAATGTGCGGTTTCTTCAAATTCTACTTTTTGGATTTTGAATAAAATATGAACATTTTAGAAGAACATAATAGATGCTTCAAAATAAAGGAGAAAAAAGGAAACGTAATCCATCCAAAAGTGTTAACATAAATTTAAATGCGAAAATACTTCTTGGTATTGATTACGTCTGGTATAATAGCAGCAAGGCAATCTATTATGCTGCGCTGGGAATTCTTTTTTTTTTCGACTTGTTGCAAGTAGGCGATTACATTTGTAAGCATCATGCATGAATATTACATGTTTTACGGTTGAAATCATCGTTAACAATCAAATATTGTGATCACGAACCTCAGTGACCTTAGATGATATAAATAGATTAATTCAGCGATGTTTGAACCATTCACAGAAGCACATTTTCATCAACATCGACGAAACAAATTTCGCCAGAGAGAATGATAGACGTTCGCATTTGGCAAAATATCAAAATCTGCTTTACAAACAATATACTTGTTCATACGACGATGCCTTCGGAACTACTGAACCGTTGATGTCGACGAACGGTGAATGTGTGTTTGATTTCATGTGTTTTTATTCAGCAGACGATTGCTGAATAAATTCTCTCCCTTTTGGCTGGAGCAGCGAGATGAATGATTTTAATTTCCAGTCCCACCTCCCCTTTTCTTTTGCTGGAACGTACGAAGGGATGATTCCCCACAATTCTCCGCCACTGTTGACGGAATATGAATATCGAAAGTTCTGATTTTTGAACACTCACGTTGATTCGATTGAGGAACGGTTTTTGGCGTGCGATATGCTTCGGAATGTTCTATTGATTTATCGCTATTTCAAGACATCCATCGATTGAGGTAGCAACCATTTTCTATACCCTTATAAGAGCTGATTCAAAGCATACGATTCCATTGTGATTAATTATTAACGACGTAATCATCTAAATAGCTTTTTGGTTGCAACAAACAAAAGTTATAAATTGTATTATCACTTGAATATTGCCTATTTTTTTATGAATATAATGAACACGCCACCAAATTGAGCCGCGTAAATTATATGGATAAGTTCAACTTCGGTGGTGGCGCTATGGGTATTAATCTAAAAATACACGGCGAGAAGGTTTTTGCCATTTACTTATGCAAACATGTCCATTCAACGGTATTAAACGTACATTACAGACTCAAGTGAATTAAAATTTATTTTTTTTTGCTTCAACGACAACACGCACAGTCAACGACTTTTAATCGTTTTCATTTTCTATCTCGATTCTCTTACAGATGACGATAAAGTTGGAACACTTGATGCGATTCTCAGCACAGCCTATTGCCGAACGCAAATGTATTTATCGAAGCAAATGGCTCAACTGCGACCGGAAATCACGATGCCAATGTTCTCAGGTATGTTATTCGAACCATTTGATCATTTCCTTCTATTGATGCTTTTTACAAACGGAGAAATTATCACTAATTGACTTGGTTCACATTACACGGATGATGCCATTACATTACAAATAAATCAATCAGTTTCTGAGTGGACGCGATGCTATTTTAATCGAAATACTTGAAAATCTGTTTATACTGTCAATATTGGACAATTTATAATGCCAATTTGCTTTATTGCTAATCTCTTTCTCTTGAGCGTGTTTTGTTGTCTATAATCACAAATGCTACTAGAAGTCTAGTACAAATCAACTCTTGTATGGGGCGATACAAATGACAATTTCACAAAGGTTAAAACACTCTAAACAAAATATCGCCCGTCTCAGGGTCAACATTTCAATTTTGAGTAATCCAGTCTACACCAAGCGAATTTATGGTGAATTTCAAATGAATTTCCAGCGATTGATGTTAACAAATTGAGATTGAGAATCGGGCGAAATTCACTCTTGAAATATCAGACGACCGTTATAATTGGATTATGACGCACAAAACGCAATCGTCCACTTCAGTTCACGACTTTCTGTCTTCGCAAAGCATTAGAAAGATATGTGTCTGAAAATATACTTTACAAATGGAAAACAAAGAACGAAAAAAACGATGAGAAAAAAAAAGAGTGAAAAAGAAAAACAACGATCTGCGCTATTTGTTCAGATTGTTTTATTTTTTTGGCAATAGTAACAATAACTTTTATCTCATTTTTCCATTTTTTTTGTCGTTCTTCTTCTTGTTGTTGTTGTTGATCCACTGTTCCATAGTCAATTTTCTTTTCTTTAAATTTGTTTATTTTTATTTTTTTTATTTTTCTTCCCATAATTTGTAAATTTGATTAAAATATATTTAGATTTCATTCTGTACACATGTCATCATTCGATGTTAAAATCCATATTCATTATATGGAGTACAATTCTTTTGTTTCTTCAGCATTTGAAGTTTATCCTTTGGTAAACTTGCTGTTAAAATTCTCGATATTTGCTTTGTTTTCTATATATACTATTATATATATAAATCGCAACGATTGCATGACAACTAGTTTCATTGTTTTCAATATCACCTAATATTATTTGGCAAGTTGTATGCCCAAGTGTGTGTGTGTGTGTGTATATATATATCGAAAAATCAGGAAAGTGTTGTTGTGTAATTTTGTAAGTCGATCGTGTGCCAGTCATCGACAGTACAGTATATATCACAATACTCTCATGATGTTCGATATCACAACGCAAAAAATTCTACCTAAACTAATTGACTTTGATATTATTTATGTGCAACACTGTGTGTTTTTCTTTCCATTCTCCTTCACTCTCTCCCTCTCGTTCTCACTGTTTCTATTTATTGTTTGAAGTTGTTCAATTTCGCTGGTTGAATTCACTACTGTTTCAATAGACATATTTACCTACAAATATTACATAAAAAACTAGAACCATGACTTTGGTTTTTATTTCTTCTCATTCTCTTCATATATTCACTTCAATTATTAGATATTTCAAATGGCTAGTTGTAACATTCCAGCCATAACAATTCTTATTTAAAATGAGCTCAGCTCTTTGTTGAATTTCTTTGTTATCTTTAGTATCTCTTGCGTCGTATTTAATGTTTTGTTTATTTGTTTGTGTGTGTGTTTTTGTTTTTGTTTTTATTTTTGTCTCAATTGTTTTCAATTGGCCATTCTGTCATGATTTAAATCGAATGCACCGTAAAAATAGGAAAGCAAACGTTTCGACTGAAGCTCGCTCAATCTCATCTATTTTGTGACCGATTGAATGTTAGTAAAACGATGAGCCGCACCATGAATCGTGTAGGTGGACATGATGATGTGGATTATTTTCGGTTTGAACATTGTTTATGCTTGTTTGTAATTGTGGCGTTGTGGCCGGCATACATTGAAAACAATAGTTAACACCATGGTTACTGTCCCAAAATTGTTCACCTTTGCACGAAAATCGAATGGCAATTTCGATGCGTTGCCCGATTTCCATTGAATTACCGAATACGGTGAATGTGAATTTATCCGAGAAACCATCACACGAATTGGGCACATATTCTGCCTGCAGATCGGAATAAGTTTTCCATGCGTCCAGCGAATAGCGAATGTGTACCGATTTATGGAAGTCAAGATTTCGAACGCGTACGAGTCCGGTTATGGTAAGGCAAATGGGATCGGTGACGGCTGCATTTTCCATTGCAACATTTTGAATCTGAACGATATCCAAAAAATTTGGCGATGCTCCCGGCTGTTGAAACAGTGGTACAATAATCTTGTCTAAGCGTTGACCCAACGAAATTGGTGGCTCGGGAGCAATGGTCAATTCGTCGAATGCTGATTTTGGAACTTTCGGTATTTCATCTAAAAAGGTTCGCACATCGGCCAAATCCAAACCCAATACGTCGGCAAAACGGACGATTTTCTTTCGACCTGGCGTTCCTGGCGGCGTTTTTCCCGTTTTTAACGATGACGAACGACGAAAACGCTCGGAACGTGGTACTGGCTCGTCCTCCTCCTCGGACGAATGACCATTGACATAGTGGTCGACGGTGAGCGATTCTTTCGGTGTGTTTGGATCGTACTTTGGTATTTCGCGAACATCCACACCATGCTGAACTGTTTCATTTGTACTAATACTATTTGTGCGTTCGAGTTGAATGGCCACATGATTCTGATCGGGCATGTCTTTGGCATTGGATGTGTGATGTTCGCCACCATTTCGATTATTTTCGTTCAACAATTGTGGCGACGCACAAAAATCAGTCACATCCGCATCATTGCCGACCGTGACCAGCGACTTTGAGGTAGTGACGGTTGAATGAGTCAGTGTATCTGGAAGAGATTCGGTACTTTTATCGCCATCGAAACCATTGTATTGCTGTTGATGTTCCTGATGTTGATTTGTTGGTGGGGGTGACGATGATGGTGGTGGCTCTCGTTGTTGTTGTTGCTCTTCTTCTTGATGTGGTGACCATTTGGCATTTACATCTTTTTTCGAATCATCACAATCATAATAATCGCAACTAAGTGAAGTCGATCGCTGTTCATTATCCGAACATTCTGGATCAAAAAATGGATCATCCGTTGACGAACTATCACTGTGCTCTGTGCCAATGTTATTATCCACGGATGAAATTGGCGAAGCGCACACGTAACCCGATTCGGGTGCATTTTCTTGAGGTGTTGCCGTTGATGTGTTTGATGTATTGATTAGACGTGCATATTCGCCTTCGTCGACTGGACTGCCTGGTATATCAAAGTCAAAATATGAATCGGCTACATCGTGTATACCGTTGCCGGTCGCCACTGGCTGATGATTGGTCACATTTGCTGAAGCTTGTGTGTATGAACCTGAATTCAACCAACTATTTTCCGTGCCTGTATTTCCGGATGTGATCGGTGTCGATTCGTTGGACTATGTGTGTGTGTTGTTGCGCAAAGCCGATAGGGAGAAACGAAAGAAAAAACAAACGCGTTTGAATTGAATACGTTCGATCGATTCGATAATCCGACAAACTGAAATCAATGGTTAAGTAATAATATGTACCTGTGTTCCCAATGTACGAAGACGTGATTGAAGGCTTCGAGCAAATGCTTCCGCACGACCTCTACAAGACATTCCTATGGGCAGTAATGCCGTTAACCCACAAGGTCGCTCTGTACTGCTACTACGATTACTCGAGTGACTCATGTAGTTTTTTATTCTTCCCTCCGCAAGAGTCGTTCTGATCAACAAACGAAATAGATCAACAAAACCCGATTATTAAATAACATTTGAAAAAATCAATTTCGATTTCACATCGAATAACAAGAAACAAAAAGTGTTTTCGGGTTTTCGGACGATGTTATTCTGAATGCGCCTGGAAAACAAATGAATCATTTCGCCGAAGTGATTGCCCGAAATTACGTTTTTAATCGAATCCACAATCGAATACAATTCAACTTACTTGAACCACTTCTACACAACAAATCACGACTCAAAGCTTCTTCTCCTTAACGCATCTGAGATAATTTTGAAATGTGTTGCTATTATTATAACTTGTATTATTTACTTGTCATTCGGAAAATTGTGTGTTTGAGTCGGGTGTAGAATGAAAGGAGACATGAAAAGAAAACCGAAAATCCTGCGGCGACAACCGTCGTAATCATACATGCAACGATCACGTTAAATGTCGTCATCGTATCGTGTATAGAAGCATGTTCGTTGCTGCTACTGCTGCTGTTGCGGCTCCTGCCACAGATCATTACCAAGTCAAGTCGGCATAACAATCAACATTTCTCGTACACTTGTGAGATGTGTCGAGAAACCGCTTGCGCTGACACAATGCAAAAATTATTGTGTGCGAGAGTGTACGGGACGGAGAGTGACACAGAGAAAAGAGACAGCATTTATTAATTGTTACATGCACAATGGTGAACTTTTTGACTTAATCTCATTCACACAGTGTTTGGGTACGTGTACTGTATTATCGCATAGTATTTAGATATATCCCATATAGATGTGTGGCTTGCGGAAAATAGCAAGAATTCACTTTCATTTTCACCAACGCGTGCACATATACACTTTATACGCTACACATTTCTCACTTCACACATACACTCGTCTCGTACACTCTTTATTTTTCGTTAGGCTGAGAATGAAATGCACAAACTACGTTCTACGAAAAATCATCCGAGAAACTTGAATGGAAAATCACCAATGAATTAAAGAAAATAAGGAGCACGACGGAGATGCGAAGGAAAAAAAAAACGTACACAAAACGGTTCGTCAAATAAATGGAAGCTATTTGACTTTATGACTGCGAATGCTATCTGAGTTCATTTTCATCGCTTTTTTCTTGTCTTCTTTTTCTGAAATTGTGGAAATATATGAAAAGTCGTAGAAAACCAAAAATAATACCCTGATTTTCTGCTTGTTGCGCAAAAAGCTACACTCGAAAGAAGTCGAACGAGCCGTCTGATTCGAATCCTTTCTCACTAATTCAACAGCAGCAGTAGGAAAAAACAAATCACCTGACTATTATAGTATATGTTTGAATGATGAGAATCGTAATGAATTCTCGTCGTAGATGCACGTCGCTTGGGCCGATGTACATAAAATAGAATCGATTACGAATGATCGAGATGAATAGTCACTTACCGTGTCTAAAAATATCAAATCTCTTCTTTGTGAACTGCAACCGTAAACTTGGACCGAACAAAAACTAATGTCAATCGAGTCGTAAGATTATTCGTCGATAACGTCCCTTTCGGTTGATTAGTACGAATCCCAAATTCGTTTGTTTTCTAAGATGATAATCAATTCATGTAACACACACAGAGAGAGAACGAGATGGAAGAGAAAAAAGAAGATGAAGATGTAGAAAAAATATAGGAAAATATAATAAACAAAATAATGAAAATAACAGAAAAAAAATCAGTTTCGTTTGGAATTCCTATTATGTCCGCAGCGGCAAAAGCTTTTGGTGAATTATGTGTTTGTTTATACTTGTAGATTCTCTTTTCAATATAATATTCGCTGTTATTTGCATTTCTTTTTTGTACTTATTCCAGTAACCGATTGCTATCATTTGTCCAATTCGTTGTCAATAGCGTTTTGCTTCGTTTTGTTTCTACAAATTTGGTAAAAATGCTCGTTTTTCGGTTTTTGCATTCGGTATTTTTCTTCAGTCACACTTCACTTTAATTGAGATATATTCAATTGTCTTTGATTAGCCGATTATTGGTTTTATGATTGTGTTAACAATTTCATCATGTGGTTGACATTCTCTCTCTCTCTCTCTCTCTCTCTCTTTCTCTCTCTTTCTCTCTCTTTCTCTCTCTTTCTGTTTTTTCTTCTGTTATTATTGCGGTATAGCTTTTTATGTCCTTTTTGGGGCGTTTCCTTATTTTAGCATTGACTGCGCTTTTTGTGTCAGCTTGTTTAAGCCAATAAATGTCAAATAAATCTCTTTTTCAATCAAAACATAACGGCGTAACGTAACGCGAGCAAAAAATGAAAACTAATCGTCTGGCAAAATTGAACTTAGCTCAGAAATCAATGTCTTCAAATGAATTAGAAAAAAAAGAACGCAACTTTTTCTTTTTCAAATAACAAATATTAATCAAATGTTTTTAATCGATTTAATTTATTTTTCGAAATTTTTATAACCGTATCTCGCATTTAAATCGTTGCTGAATGAAGTAGAAATGAAATGCGATTTGAAGGGAATAAAACTGATGTTTAACTTTAATTCGAACGAATACAGCAGCAGCAGTATGATGACGAGTCTGCATTTAATTTTGCGGTTGCTATAAATGCCACTGCGATGTTTTGGTACTTGAAATTTCTTGTTTTTTTTTCGGATGATGTTCGCTCTTTCTTTGCGCAAAGCCAACTTGTATATGTATTTATTATTTCACATGCTTTGATCTCTTTTGTTCGGTGGTATTTCTCTCTTGCTCTATCTGAAATATCAGCCCAATATACGCGCTACTGACAATCAAATCAATCGCGAACGAAATTTTTCGAATAATGATCAAAAGCAAACAAATTTAAGAATATGCGTCAGCTTACGGTACGTTCACATGGGCAAGTGAGCAAACGAATGAGGCGATAAAATTGAGTGCATTTGCCAAATAAGAATGAAAGACAGCAGAAGAAGAAGACCGACGAAAGAAAGAAAAACAAAGCACACGAAGAAGAGAGAGAGAGAGAGAGGGGAAAAAGTGTTGCGCGGCATATCATTCAGGCAAAGAATCACGAAAAACGCCTCAATTGACAAGAGAGAGAAAAGCATTCTTAGTGGGATTTTGTTTATATGTAGCCGACTATCTGGCTGATTGTGTGCATGGTAAATATGCACAGCTCCCATTATCTATCGTTCGCAAACGGTAAACAGAAATTAATCGCTTGTCACCCGAAATACAACACGTACCACAGCCAATCTTCAATTCATGCATTTTTGGTGTTTTTTTAGTTGTGTTTGTCAACAACGCCAGATAATTCCATTGAAGAATAAAAATAATCCAAATTGAAATCCAAATTCATCTCCCTTGATCAATTTACGCATAACCAAATACATTCTTTTCTTATTTTAATTGGATTCTTTTTTTTCCCCGTTAATTGCATTACTCTAAAAGTAAGCATATTATTTGAAATCACCGTTTGCCACTTTATCTCATAACTTTGTTTCTGTTTTTTTTTTCTTCGCTTTCGAAACAATTGCGGAATTATTTGCTAATTTCATTTTAGATTTGAATAAGTACACGACAAACAAATTACAATTTCTTTCACCAATGAATTTCACCGAATGGAAGAGTATTTCGCATGCCAAAAACAAACGGCATCAAAATGTATATTATCTTCGGTGTGTTTGTTCATCTTAGTCCAAGTAATAATAGTACACATTTCACACACAAATCAAATTATAAAAATAAAATACGCGAATAAATGAGAAACAGAAAGACAAAAATTTCGTATAAAAACGAAGCGAACGTGTAAAATGTCATTCTAAGGACGAAATAAGGTCAAAATAATTTTGGACGCCGGATCGCTTCATTGAATACCGTTGGTTTCGACAAACTGCACTCGAATATGTGTGTACCGAGAGAAAGAAAGATGTGTGTGTTCGCATTCGTACCCGTATGTATATAGATGTTGTTTTTTCTTCTTATCCGTTTCGATATGATATATACTACTCTCTCACACTTTGCGTTTGACGTTTATTTTGTTTGTTATTCTCTTCAAAACTTCTTCTATCACATGAACGTTTGTTTCGAAGTGACAAACATAGACGATAGACGAGAGAGCGAAGAAAAAGAAAAGAAATAAAAACACATAACTAAGCGCAAAAAATCTATACAATAAAATAGACGAACCGATTACATTTCACTTGGTGTGCTTGCCTCACTCAACTCATCGTTAAAAAAATTCTTTTTTTTTCGCTCATCTTGATATTTCTGATATTGTAGTAAATTCACGTGAAAGATTGATAAGAGCGCCTGCGCCAAAATCAATCCCACTGTCATACATGCAGGCACACACCGACACCAATGTATCGCTTCAAATTAAATGCCCATAACTGAAATAATTGCCTGACTTCGAATATGCGATGACGTTTGTACATTGCTCAGTTCGGCTTTTTGGCTCGCTTCCTATCTCTACTGTTAACGAAAGCAAACAAGCGAGCGAATGAGTGAGCACATACATTACCATGTGCATACGTCACACATATGCTCACACATACATACACACAGAGAGACATACACACACCACCATTGACGCAACTTTGGGCCAAACAACAAAATTTCATTCAGAAATCGCTTTGACTATCTTGATTTCGTTTATGAAAACCACACAGCCGCACCGTATCGTGGACAACGCTTTAAATATGCTACACACATGTTTCGTTTACAAACGAAATTTTTGTTATCAATCTCAGTTTTGGTACCTTTGTATTTGTTATCAGGGCAGCTGTTTTAACGACATTTGTCTCCATTATCACAACCGAATACACATTGAGCATGCCGATGTCAGGGATGTCTGTTTATAGTGCAAAATTCCAACTCCATATATCCCAATACTCAAAAAAAAATTAGAACCGCTATCATCACAAACGCAAAGGAATGCATGCGTATACGCTCACCTCAACTGGAGTGTGAAATAAGGTTAAACCTAAGTTAACCATTTTACTGTTGACCCATCAAAAAAAGAGGAAATCATTACGACAACACTTTATTTCACATTGAAAGTTCAATTGAAGGAAATCGCAACGAAGTTCAACGTTTCAAATAATCAAGTTTATGCTAAAAATAAATAGCATCGACAGCCGCAGAGTAGAAGCAATAAAAAAAAATCACAGAAAGGCGCAAAGTGCCAAATATACGTCTGTTCTAATCTTAGAAGACGAGCTATTTGGATAGATCATTGGCTTCTTATTTGTAATTCGAGAGCATCACATGACATCCAAACAAAATTTTTCCACCACAAAAACGTACATAGAAAAACGTTTCCGTTATCAACATTGAAGATTATGCAAAAGAAAGAAATACAGCATTTGAAAACAGACACCATTGTATGTTCCAAGGAGGACCCAATTAATAATCGCTTGCCCACCACAGACAAACGACTGTTATTCATTACAGAAGCATTTCGTTCAAATATTTTAAGTTCAAACTCATCACTCTTCCATCCATCGTAGTAAATTATTGGCCTTAAACTACATCATGTTCTAACGACTTTGTTTTTTCCTCTGTAGAAATTACTCATCGCTTTCAAACAGCGCGCCCAGAAATTCGGTCACTTTTATTGCAATGCCTATTGCCATGGCTCGAAAATATGGAACTGGTGGCTGCAAACGTAACACCAGCCACACCCCTATCATACATCATGGTATATATACAATTTGCCATAAATATGAAACATTCCATTTGATTTATGACGATTTAATCTGGCTTTTTCCCCCCTTCAGTTCTACCCGGACTCGAGCGCTCGCTCAAAACGAGATGGCTCTGGATCGACCGAAGCCACTGAAATGATACTAAATAATTTGTTCTACATCACGACAAAGGTACATTAGTGGCAAAATTATTCCGAATGATAGATCCAAAGGTTCATACTTTTTGTGGAATGAGAATTGAATTTGCTTTTTTTATCATCAAATAGTATTCGGACTCTCATACACGAGAAATCGAAGAGATATGGGGCAGCCTCTGCCAGTTCTGGCCGAATAATTTGAAAGTTATTTTACGCTACCTGGTGATAATATCGGGAATGGCACCAAATGAACTCTTGTTATTCGTAAGTTAATCAACCAATTTTCGATTCAGTTTACATTTTTTTTACACATTTGTCTTAATGAAGTATTCTTGTGAACTTTGAACTGAATTGTGTCTGATGCAATTTTGATTTTGTCGATTCTAGGCAAAGCGTGTTGCTTTATATCTAGCACGGGCATGTCCAAATCGATTGTTGGATGAGCTTATGACGGAACTGCAAACCGTTGAAACACTCAATTGCTTAATTGAACGGACAGAAACGCCACCTTTCTATCGATTGACCAGCATGCGAAAGGCATCAAGCCATTCAGATGGTAATTATCTATGCTAAATTTAAGTATGTGCATTAAAAATTTAATCACATTATTCATCTTCCATGGCAAATAGGACCAGCAACCGGTGCGAATGATTCTCGTATGCCCGATTTGGCTGTAGAAAAAGGAACGATTCACACGAAGCGACACAGCGGAGAGGATCCAATCAAAACAGGGTATGTCTGTTTGAATATTATAAATTCTAAAATGATCGAAAGCGATATAATCAATTCGGAGACGCTTTCGCAAAGAAAATGGAAATGTTTGAGTTTAAATGTACGGAGTACGAATTTTAATTTCAATTCTTTTATCGGCAAATAGAACATGCAAATCGGATAGTGGTTTGCGTGCATTTTCAACCAATTATCGACCACCGCGTGGCAGTGACAAGATTCGCGCCCTGTCTGGCCCATCGATACTACCCAGACCCGAAGACATGATTAGCAATGAGCCAGAACTTCGTGCCGAAGAATCGTTTGATTTACGTAGCACCGATCCACCAACCGTACTTCATCCACTTCCGATGCCCGAATATGGCGGCTATTTTGCTCAACTCACCGAATTTCTGCCCGATATTAGCTTGCCTATAAGTGGTTTTCATCGGTAAGTCGACAATTTTGTCAGTCCACGCAGACTATCGGTCGCTTGTAAATTCAATAATGAAACCAAATCGATTTGTGAATAAAATAATAATTTCTGAACTTTCTATCGTAATAGATGCAATGTGGCTGTCATGCTCTTGACTGACATTGTCATCGACGGCATACCCGAAATCGATTGGACACTTCACATACCGATCATGTTGCATATTCTGTTCTTGGGTTTGGATCACACACGTCCAATCGTTCGAGATCATTGCAAGCAGCTACTTTTGAACTTGTTGGTTGTGCTGGCCGAGCACAATGATCATTTGACCGTTGCAAAGATCCTTTTGAATGCACAAACATCCAAAATGGGCCTTGGTCTATCCATTCCAACACTCCCAGTGACGCAACATAATTTTACTGGTATGTCATTTGTCAAGCTTCCGTTGAAACGCTTACCGTTTCACATTTTTCTTCGTCATATTTCAGAACCAGATTCAGAGTACGATGCCTATTTGTACAATACAAATTTGAATGCAGTAGCACATTCAACGTCATATTCAGTGACACCAACTTCCACGGTAACAACGATCGTTCAACCAACGGCCAATGCAAATGCAACGCCAAGCGTTGGCATAACTACAACGGATTCCAATGCAGAAGCCACAAATGTCCACACGACACCCGAAGAAACGACCACCAGCACGACAATGCAAACAACGCAGGTGATAAAAGATCTCATCGGATTTATGTCACAAGAGAGCTCGCAACCGCTGTGGAACTATGAAGATATTACTGCCAAAGTGTGGTCGGTGAAATCGGCCGAACAATTGACATGCTTCTTGCATCACATCGTTAAGGTTTACTCCGACAGTTATCCACATGCACGAATTTCAGAACGCTGGGCTCAAACAGCACTTCAGCTTGGATTGAGCTGCTCATCGCGTCACTATGCCGGTCGCAGTTTGCAAGTGTTCCGTGCACTGAATGTACCAATCAATTCACGTATGTTATCCGACATTTTGTCACGATTGGTTGAAACGGTGGCCGAACAAGGTGAAGATATGCAGGGCTATGTCACGGAATTGCTTCTAACACTCGAAGCAGCCGTCGATAGTTTGGATTCGGATTTCCGTCCGTTGGACGTTATGAAAGACATTTTCAAGAGCACGCCAAATTTGAACAACAAAGATGGCGTGAATGTATCGGCCGGTGGCAAAAAATCACCATCCGGCATCATACAACAAACACAAAACCACATTACCTCATCCGGACACGCGAGAAGCACCAGCTACTCGGTTTCATACTGTACTCGCAAAGTATCCAGTTCACCGTGTGACAAACAAGGTAAATCATTTGTCGATAGGGTTTTCAAACTTTCATCTGTCGCATATTTTCTTCTATGTTCTAACGAGATTTTTAGCCTTTCTTATCATTATGCAAAATATTTTTTCGTTTGTTCTCTATCATTTTGCCATTGTTTTACGTAGTTGAGCTAAGAAATCGTGCGGCCGCTATAGAGCTAGAGCGAAATTCAACCGCAAAATTCGGCCCGTCATTATCTCGGTCACGTAGTGCGCAAAGCTTGAAATTGCTTGGCGACACAGCAACACAAGTAAGTATTTTGTATGTATTTTGCAAGTATAGCTAGAAAATTCTGTTGAAATTTGCAAATTCATTCGTTACGAAACGAATATGTTTGAACCGAACAAAGAAAATGCTTCGCTAATTTTACCTAATGAATGGGGTCTCCTTCACGCTTGTTGCGTTGACAACGTTAACGCGTATTAAAAACGTGAAATAAGCGTGAATCATTGAAACCAGTTGAATTATTTCCACAAAACATGTTCCAATTTTTAATGCGAAATTTGTACAATTCTTTTTTGCAGGATGATAAAATGACAATATTGGCGCAACTGTTCTGGTTGGCCGTGTCGTTGTTGGAAAGCGATTATGAGCATGAATTTTTATTGGCATTACGTTTGTTGGCCAGAGTGCTGCATCGTCTGCCTTTGGATCGGCCAGACGCTCGAGACAAAGTCGAAAAATTACAACAGCAATTGAAATGGACCGGATATCCCGGTGTTCATGCACTTTTATTGAAAGGTTGCACACACTCCGTTACATATGAACAGACAATTGCGCTGTTGTCACAAATGGCACCGTTGCTATGTCTGCCGGTGTGTGATCCAACGCAAAGCTGTGCATTCCCAATGAATGTTATCGCTCTCTTACCGTACATGCTGCTACACTACGAAGATGCCAACGAAGTGTGCGTTCGCAGTGCCGAAAATATTGCACAGGTTTCATCCGAGCTCGGTGCGAAATTGGAAAATTTAGGCACGGTTATGACATTGTACAGCCGAAAAACATTCAGCAAAGAATCATTCCAATGGACAAAATGTGTCGTCAAATATTTGTACGATACATATGCTCACATGGGTAGGTCACATTTTCATTTTTTTTTGACGGGGTGACATTCCGTAAATTGCGATCAAATTCTAATCCGCGATTGCTTGCTTTTCGATAATTAGGTCTTCATATGCTAGCATTTTTGGTGGAAGTTCTCGAAAAGGGTATGCAACAAGTGCAGGTGCCTGTTTTGAATATCATACATTGCATGTTGCATTATATCGATCTGTCGTCACCACACGCGCAACCAATTTCATCTGATTTGATTCGAGTGATTGCTAAATACTTGGATGTAAGTGTACGTTGTTCCACAATGTATCGAGTAAATATTGGCTAATCATTGTTTTTCCCAATTTTTTAGAATTCTTACTGGAAAGATGCGTTGAAAATTTTGAAATTGGTTGTGACCAGAAGTTCAACACTACAAGTTGTACCACAGGGTTCACCCGGTGGAACATCACATCATTACTATGGCAGTTTCAGTGATTCCGAAGTGTTTTGCAAGAAGGTTACTTATCGCATCTATATATAACAACATTCGAATGAAAAAAAATCATCTTAATTCTAATTGTTTCAATTGTAGGAACTTGCTGGTCGCACAATGGACTTTACGTTTGATGTGGCACAAACACCGCTAATCGGCCGACGTATTTTACTCAAATCTGAAACTGGTTCAACGCAAAATATTAACCGAAATAATGGGCAGGCTATCCATTTGAATCACAATATCAGTGGAACACCAAATTCACCGAGACGAAGTGCCAGTTTGTCACCAGCTGATACAGCACCATTAAGTGGTTGGAAGAGGCCTTGGCTGTCTCAATCACGTGTTCGAGAATGCCTTGTTAATTTACTAACAACATGTGGTCAACGAGCCGTCGGTTTACCCAAGAGTCCATCGGTATGTGGCAAAGCATTATTCTATTGGATTTTCGGCTGTTTGTCAATAACATGCAAACCAAAAATATGCCAAAACATTTTGTGCGTATATTCGAATGAATTGCTTGAAACAAAGAAAAAAAATGCCGAAATTTGTGTATGCACCTGGAGCATTTCAAATAATTGATGATGCAGATGTACATTTGTCTGAATGATTAATGTTTTAAAACCCGTTTAGAAAAAATAGATTGAATGAAGATTTGCTAGTCCTGAATGAGATTTATTTTTATTTTTCGTTTGATCCAAGCATGAATTCATATCAAACTAATTATGTCCGTGAATTTATTTTGCAAAGCATTAATTTTAATTTTCTTTCTTTGATTGTGACATTTTTGTTTCGATAAAAAAAAACTCAAACACATTGATTTGAAAAAAATAGGATGATTTCATAAGCTCGGTTTGTTCCAATTCCAAGGTAAACAGAACAGAACATTATATTTCATCTCTTCACACAACCTTTCAATTATGTTTTTTCTTTCTTTGATTTTATGATTTTTTTCTTCTCTTGAGTTACGAAAATCTATCTGTAGCTATTTTATCGTTTCCATCACACTTGCATTTCTTGTAAACACATTTATTCGTTTCACCGGAGAATGACACACAAACACATACACACAAGTAGCTCTTAAAGTTGTTATGCAACTCGTGTACAGAAAAAAATTCCCCAAACTGAATAGACGTTATCGAATGATGTAACACATTGATTTGAAAATGCATTTTTTACGTTGATGTACGTTAGTATTATAATTATTGCACGAAAGACACAGATGTTTGTATGATTTTTGATTTTTCTCTTGTATCATTTATGATTTTGTTGTTCAAGCACCGAAATACTCGCACAAATTACTTTTCAAATGAAAAAAACAAAAACGTTCGGAAATCGTTTCGATTGTTTGGTATGGTTCTAAATGAAATTAACAAGATGTTTGCGCGATAATGTTGCAGGTTATATTCAGCCAATCCTCTGATTTGATGGAACGGCAATCGTCGGCTGCGTCAAGTACCGAGGAAACGAGTGGTGCACAACAGGATCTAAGCGGTGGATCGCGACGAGATGATGGCCAACCGGACTTTGGCGTTTTCAAAGATTTTGACTTTTTGGAGTATGAAAGCGAAAGCATCGAAGGCGAATCCACAGACAACTTTAACTGGGGTGTTCGTCGTCGACCACTATCCGACAGTGAACCGATCACCGGTTCAAAGGGTCATTCGGTGATGGAGGAGAGCTTAAGCGAAAAAACACCAATACTCAACAAGCGACGTGTAAGTAGAACATACATTTGGTTCAATTTATTTTCATAACCCTAATGCATAAACCGTTGATTTGCCTCAACAGACTCGACACAATCCGGAAGATTCATCCGATGATGACGTTGAATCGGAATCTCCACTTGATGAATATCAAAAGCCAATTTTCATCAAATCTCAATATCACAGCGGCCCACCAACAACGTTGAGCATACGTGAACGTCGACAGAGGTTGGTCGGATTGGTTCATTTAATAATTTCGTAAAATGTATATTTAACCGTGGAATAATTTTTACTCTGCTAATTCACAGACGTGATTCGGTATCACGGAGTGATACAAGTGGTTCGAGTGCTGGTGATTTGGGTGAAATAACACCATGCAATGCGTCGCCGCATATGACCGGCATGATATCATATCGTGTCCCAATTCGAGACGAAGCCGAAGACCAATGGCGACGAAATATTGAAGCTCTTCTATTTAATCCAGCCACTAACTTTGCCCCAGATCTGCTCATGCAATTGTATCGCGTGGTCAAGGTAGGCGATTGTTTCGAAATCTCTTTTGAGTAGATTTTATACCTTTAGATAAAAATAAATTCATTTAAATTTATTTGCAGGAATTAACATTGAAATCGATAACCATATCGAAAAATGCGATGAAATATTTCACTGGTACCGGTACACAACTTGGCCAGCGCATATCTATTTTGTCAGATTTATTGTCAACGAAAGAGGAACCGCCACGTGTTTGGTACAATCAAAGTTTTCCAACCACGCCCAGACTCTTGGAATCGTTGCGTTTCTGTGTGCTCGAAGTTCAAGAGCATCTCGAAACATTCTTTGATCGTAAAGATCATGTTATGGAGGTAAATTGTTTGGGGTGGTAAAGATTATGGAATAAAATACTAATGGCAAAACCATTATGCACATTTCAGTGTTTGGAAGCGATGAAAACTACATATAAAATGACTCTGTTCAGCGATACGGAATCGGCACATGAGGGTTCAACAAGTGCTGCTCTCGGTTCACCAGATCCAGCCACATCTGAGCTACTCATCGATTTGGGACGTGGCATTTACAAGCTTATTTTTCAATTGCTATTGTTGATTGAATCGAATCACAAGATTGCAATCAGCGTAATGACGAGCATGCGACAAAATGAGAAAATGGAGGATTTATCGAGTGGATATATGACGGTACGTGGTGCGTTGCTACGTTGTATCGACGATGCCGATATGGATTCTCTAGACACATCCACTTCAACGGAAGGCGATCACACACCAACCCGACCATTGCCATCGATACAAGAATTCGAAAGTTGTCTGCACGAAATGATCGACAAACACAAATGGAACTCAGCCATTGCGCTGACACGTCAATTCCGGAAATATTCGTCAACTGTGACTCTGTCACCCGTTTCCAATTTTTCACTACAACCGTCTGGTAGTGCAACGTCATGCATTTCAACATCAACATTAACGTCGGGCTTGGTTCCATACACCTCCGAAAATAATTGGGTATTGGATGACACTGCCCTGATTCTAATGATCTATGCGCAAAGACTGACCAAAGACCGTACCGGTAAGACCCATCAATCATTCACTTTTTTTTAATTTGATTCGTACACAGGCTTTATTATGCGCTAAATCCATTACGCTGAATAAATTCATGCGATAGATTTATGCGATAAATGTGATGTGCTCGCTTTGCGGTGAACGAGTTCTGTTGCTCTTCACTACCGCTTAGCGATGCGTTCATGCATGAACGTTCATGCGTGAATAACTGAAGAGCAACAGAACTCGTTCACCGCAAAGCGAGCGCATCACATTTATCGCATAAATCTATCGCATGAATTTATTCAGCGTAATGGATTTAGCGCATAACAAAGCCTGTTCGTACACGAGTTACCAACCATACTCCTTTTTTTGCTGTTTCAGATGTCTTCATATCGTCTCGCTCGGAACATGAACTAACGGAAATTTACAATATTCTAATGGAGAATCTATACTATGTCTCATCGGCATTAACGAACATGGAAATGGTATTGAAAAACACGGTGGGCAATCCAGGCATACTCAAGCAACCACCATCTTCTCCTGCTATTACACCTTCACCATCGAAAGATGCATCCGTTGACATTATTACCACGCTGTAGTAAATTGTATATAGAATTCATTAGATTATTATCAATGAATAAGGGGCGTGAGAGAAATAAGCAATAAAATGTATCGAAACTAAAAAGGAACGAGCTGAATTCTGTTTCGTATTACTGATAGAAAAAATAAATGCGTAGTACTGATGGAAAAAATTGTTTTTTTTTTTTAATTCAATCTCGCTGAATGTCTGATTTTTGTTGTTGTTATGAATCGTTGAACTTACTTTTCCATTATTGTGGCGATTTTGAATGATTAGAGCCGATGTCACAATGCAAACGATCGGCAATGTTATCACTTCCAGATGTCATTCAAGAGTATATCACTTAAATTTGATTTGCACAAACTTAGTTTTGTGGGATGGAAAAACTCAAAGGGTTAGTACTTTGATCTCTTTAGCATGAATAAGTTGTCTTGTGGACAGTAAAACTATGGTTACCCTGTAATTTTTAATTATTCATTTTCATATTCCTACTACCATACACATCAACAATTGTATTTGTTTTTCTTTCCTTCAATTCCTTTGTGGCTGCATTTTTTTCTCTCCTCTTAAAAACATCCTTCTGGGAAAAAATCGATCAATGTGCTGCCAAAATTGGTTGGTGACAATTTTTCAGAATTCATTCGCATAGATACCTATCACCGAAAAACAGCAATTCAATCTACCATTGGCAGAAATTGAAGAGGGTGTAATGTAACTGAATCACGTTTCAACGTGCTACGTGCCGCTTTTTAACCTTTCATTTCGGCTTCGATTCACACAGAGATTCTATTTCATCTTTTCACGGTTCGATTCACGTAAGTCAATATACTCTTTATATCATATTCAAACTTTACATTTTTCTTTCTTCTATTTTGTTCTTGGAAATATTATAGCACTTAATCCGTGATTAAATCCAAATAAACAGAATTCTAGGAAATAAATTTTGCGTTCAAAGAAGATTATCGTTATTGCAATTTTTATTTTTCACAGGAAATGAAATTAGGAATTTTCCACCGAATTCCTCTTGTTATGCCGTAGAAAGGTTTTCTAATTTTAAAGAATCATACTTGCTCATTCATCGAAACGACAGAAAAGTTCATGAAAGTTTGCATGCACATTTGCTCCCGTTCATGCCACCTATACCTGCTACAGCAAAATAGAAATCATTCCTAAAATGAAGATATGGTTGAAACCATTTGCTACTGCTTTTGAAAAATAAGTTATCAACTGAGACATTTTTTTGCTCAAACAAAAAAAAAAACAACTTACTCTCTCTCTCTCTCTCTCTCTCTCTCTCTCTCTGTTTGGAGCGGCCCCGAAAAAGAGGGTAGGAAACTGCGATTACCAAAGTTTATCGATCGCTTTATGTTGCCATGTGGATTACAGAAAATAAGTGGATACGAGCATGTAACAGCAGCTGGTGTCAAAGTAACTTTTTGTCCACTTAGCTTTTCAATTTGTTATAAGTTATTCTAAAAAAAAATCGCATCTTCTTTTCTTTCATCGTACGATTTCTGAAACAAAGTATGCTTCGGTGAGCATATTCAACAGTTAATTGCGTCGGTTGCGATATAAAATCGGGTTTTTTAATTTCATCCTATTCTTGTGGCATTGAGTGAGTTTGGTGAAATGAAAAACGAATCTAATTATTAATTCTCGGTCGCATCAATATATCGATTGAGATACAGTAATATCTCAAATTGAAAGACATTTCGTAAATAAAATGTTAGACTCTTTCGCCATTCAGCTGTTTAATGCAAGATTATTTGTGATTATTTGTCATGTAATTTTTTTTCATTATTCCTTCTTCATCTGTTGATTTTTTGTTTTTCAGCTTGACTCAGTGCGATGCTGTGTAAACAAAATGATTTTATTCGAGATATTTGTTGGTAATGTTCATCAATCTTAATTTAAATATGCGAGCAAACAGTTAGGCTGTTGTCTGTGTGTGTATCCGTGCCAAAGGGCATTAATTTGAATGGAGGAGGGAGGAAAAAAGGACGGACGACAATGGCGAAACGAAGAAATACTTTTAAGAAATGTTAAGAGCAAGATATGCGCTTCGATTTTCTTTTATTCTTCTTTAACGCTGGAGGTAAAGAACAAGCAATATTGTGAGTTGAATGCCTTATATGACATATACACTACCATCATGGTTGTGTTTGCTTTATTTTGAAATGTTTATTCAGCCATTTCAGTGAAAGCGTTAGACGACAGACGTGGATTAGCAAGTCTATTCCCATTCATCTAATATCCTCATCAACACTCATACACTCTCACACACACTGGCAAACATTCATTTTTGCGTGTCCATTCTGAAGTTTATTGAATCACATTGATCCTGTAGACATTCAAGCACCGAGTTAACAATAAACAATAGCACATCGTACACGCACGATGATAACGAATGGGCGAACAATTGTAGAGCGCCGCTACAGAGTGATGACAACACTTAGTTCAAATTTGTTCGCGCTCAGATTCACTCCGTCATATTCATTCGTGTTTTGATGTCGAAACAGTGAAACAAATAATAAAAAATAAAAAAAATAAATTTGAAATAAAATAAAATACAATTTAAATTAAATCCGCACATATTTTGCATGTTTTGCTGTTTGTCGTATGATTTCGCAATAATCCATAATGGTGACGAAATATTATGAAATATTGCGAAATCATATGACAAACAACAAAACATATAAAATATGTGCGGATTTAATTTAAATTGTATTTTATTTTATTTCAAATTTACTTTTTTTATTTTTTATTATTTTTTTCACTGTTTCGACATCAAAACAAGAATGAATATGACGGAGTGAATTTGAGCGCGAACAAATTTGAATTTTTTTCTTTCGCATTCTGCCCAGCCTCTCTGATCGTCTGTACAAATAGATAGGAAACGTCAAACAAGAACAATAAAGCGGCACCTGGCGACTGGTTGGAGAAATGAAGAATCATGCACATAGTTTGCTGTAACAAGTATGCGTACTGTGTAAGTGCGTCTGTGTAATTCAAACGTTGAAAGTATGACATGTTGCACTTAGTCCCCAGGTGCCGCTGTATTGTTTACTATTTTCATGATCAGAAAGGCTGATTCTGCCGTTCTCCAGTAGTGGCGCTCTACTATTTCACACTCCATGTTTTGCATAGAAAAATTGACAGAATATTGCCGGGTGATCGTACACGGCTTGGAACATCGGCTCGTTGAAAATTCCAATCGAAACTGCACGCAACATTGAACAATATTAATTTTAGATAGCGTTTTGTGTTTTATCAAAAGATAAACGCTTCCAATCAAAGCAATGACCATCATATTCGTTTGGACGACATATGGAATATATATTTAAAAACAACACCGCAGATTGTTCTGCGTTCTTGAGTTTTTAATTACTTATTCTATTTTGTTGTTTCACAACAAACTATTTTTTGGCGCACTATATGAATGTATTTCATCAAAGTGAATTATTTATTTGCAACAAAGTACAGAAAAAAGATTCTCAGGTATTTCAAAAATGAATTACAAGATCTTGGTTTTATTTCTTTTTTGAAATATACTTATACTGGTGTAAATTAAATAAATAATATGAGCATAGAACGAAAGTCACTTTAATTCTGTTCAAGACCTAGAAAATACTGTACGAAAAAAGCTTGAAATAATGTAATTTTTAAGAAAACATTTTATAATAAAAATTTGATTGTCGATTTGAGATAATATGCACTTATTTGTCGTTACTGCCAAGGTTTTAAATTAAATAAAAAATATGCGCATAGAATTCAAATTCACCATAATTTTTTTTAGTAGTCAAAAAGTATTAAGACAAAAAAAAAGCAGATTAGTAGCTCTACATTTCATGTTGTGCTAAAAACGAATTGTCTGCTAGTATGCTCAAGTTGTTGTCAGCGTTTGGTTCTGTCCCAGAAAAAATATCTTGATAAAAACGAGATAACCTCAAAAATGTCCAAATCCATCTAGATATCTTTTTTAAATTTATCTTTTTTTTATCTTTTTTCCGAAGTAGTCTTCACCAATCTTTGAGCTATCTTAAGATAATCTTTTTAGAAATATATTGGGTCTGCAACTTGAAAACCGGAATTTTTTGTAAGATGGCGCCACGTGCTTATGCGTTGTCGCACATCAATGACATATATACCATTTCAAAGGTCTATTTATGAGCTGTCAACATCAGTCAAAAATATTTGTTTTTATTGCGCACATCAAATTTTGTACCGTGATGGAAAATTTTCAAAATTGGCGAAAAAAATAGCATTTGCGGGAGCAGTTTTTTTCATACGGGAAAAATGTGAAAAATAGATTATTCTTTTATCGAGTGGACACTGGTAGTGAAGAATGGACGTTTCTCGATAGACAAAAGCATATCAAACCACATTTTGATCGTGGTTACTTGTCATTATAGGGGGCGCCACAATCACTCCCTCGAAAAAGGGTGATTTTCCATATTTGCGGGGGTGGGGCAGATATGGTGCATTGGAAGGTGGTAGAAACTTATCAAAATGTTAGCTTTTATCATTCCCAACAGAAACTAATCGGTATATACCAATTTCTGACAGCAAAATCGAAAAATTGACTTATCGCCGCAAAAAAGCGAATTTTTGAGAATTTTTTTTTAAGAAGCTATTAATTTTGAAAATCCTTTATGCCCCCGCTGTAATCTCCAGACATTGCGCTTTCTTACTACCACTGGTTTCAGTCGATTCAATATCACCTAAATGGAGGACGGTTCACTTGCTTTCAAAAATTCAAAAATTGGCTTGATTCGTTCCTGGCCTCAAAAGACGAGAAATTTTTTTGCGACGGAATCCATAAATTGCCTGAATTGTGGGGAAAAGTCATAGCTTCCGATGGACAGTATATTGAATAAAATCGATTGTACCGTTTTCTTTCAAAAAAGATTTAATTTTTTTTTTTTTAATTCCAGTTTTTAAGTTGCAGACCCAATATGATTCTTTATTTATATGTCAATTTGATGAATTTTCTTCAATTTTGATTGAATAATATATCCCAATCAACAAAAAATTTCAGTTGGAAGATTTACGTGATTTACCCTGATTTTGAAGTGTATTTTTTCTATAAATATATATATGGATGTATATAAGGATGTGTATATTTTCTTATAAAGTAGGACAAATCTGTAGTGTGAATCATCATTTGATATC